CTAATCACAAACACACCCACACTCCCTAATTTATCGCAGGTCCGCGTGTGTGACAGCGTTTTAATGTGTCGCGCATGCATAAAACCAAAACCCCTTAAAGTCCTTAGACAATAGTGATGCAAATAGAGCCCCGCGGGGCCCCTCGGTTCCACGTGCCTCATCCTGGGAGGGGGGGGGGAGGGGCCCCTCCAGAGGATGGGGCTGGAGGGGGGGCGGGGGGGGGGGGGATGTTATGAGAAGAATCATCTGCGAGCCAGCAGAGGAAGACCTTCCGTTACTGAAGAATACTTTTCGGCCTCCCGCGCTAAAACACGTGCATTCTTCCATCAATTAAACCGGCCGCCGCGCACGCACGCGCGCCGCTAATTAACCACCGGGCGCGTCGGGAGGCGCGCGGGCGCGAGGCAGCGGGTTCCTGTGAGCTCTCGCGCGCGGAGGACCCCTTTCCTGCCGAGTGGAGGCGTCGCGCGGACACCGAGGACGCGATCCGATAAAGATGGATCGATGGAGTCCGGCGCGCGGGACGCGGCTGCCGCTGCTGCTGCTCTTCTTCTTCTCGGCGTTTCACAGCTCGAGAGCAGGTAGGCTCACATATTAAACACTCTGTAGCTTTTCTGCAAACAATTAGCAGTTCAACTGAACTAATCAAGCCTTTTTTTTAAATGGAAGTTTAAAAAAAACGTTTGAATGTTTGCAAACACACTTCCTGTCAGGACTTTATTCGTGCAAACAGATGTTGACGTTTTTTTTGTCATATAGGTACAATCCTACACCCCTCCTTCTCCCCCATTCCACCCAGAAGATATAAATATTCTACTGAGCTTCCATAAATTGGAATGCTTTTTCCCCCCCGAGCGGCTCATGCGGCTCGATGAAGAGCACCTCGATATCTTCTGCTGCACATTTTCACCATATGTCTCGACTTGCCCTTCATACCTGCATCGCTGTGTATTCCTTTATTCCACCTGGACAGGTAATGGGGCACCGATCAAAGGGAGCAGTGCTGAACTGCACCGCTTACATGGATCCCTGGATTCTTCCTCGGGGGGCTTTTAGGGCCTGGTGTCGCTGACGTATAGCAGGGTTGTGTTTCCACGGAGGACAAAGCGCTTCAATCCTCCGATGCGCCATAAACGAGCCCATAAAAACCTGAGTGATCCCTATACGCGGTAACTTAATCCGGCCTCCACGAGGCTCCGCCGTGGAACCCAAGCGCTCGGTGTCTGCTTTGACCCGAGTTGGACCGCGCGCGTCAATCAGGACAGGACAGACGAGTCGGGTCATGCTCAAATATTACATTTGACCTCCACATATTTTGTACGTCTACTTCAGCTCAGTTTCGTTCGTAGAATTGACGAGTTTTAAGACCCCATCATTTTGGGTGTCAAAGTTCATGCTCGACTTTGGAGAGATTTGATTTAACAGTCACTTCTTGTTTATTCCCTTTAGCAGCTTTTTGGAAGCTTTCAATCAATAGCACTAGTTGATTATGGAGTGATTGAGCCATGTTTTCCTTCCTCCTCTTTTCCATCTGAAAGGTCAATAAGCCGGCTGCAGGTTAGCTTAGCTTAGCACAAGTATTTCTGCACTGTAAAGCTAATTGATTAACATGTCATGTCCCTTAAAGTTCTTCTTCAGACTGTTTCACGGCCCGAGGGGGATGAATGAAAGAGGGTTTTTTTAACTTAAAAACCACTTACTTACACTTCAAAGTCACTTCTTGACCTCAGAGAAAGAGTCAAATCGATTTTCCTCGTGGATTCAACGCAGCATCTGCGGCTCTAAACCGGTTCCCTCTCCTCCTCTTACATCCGCGTTTCATCTGCAAGGCAGCATCCGACTGGGATTACGTCAGCGGCGAGAGAGTCAGCCAGCGGTTGACTGGGCAAAGACTCCGCCATGTTGCCTCCACGTGGGGGCCTGACGCCGAGGGAGGAAAGCCGAGACGTATTCATGTCGCGACCCCCCCCCCCAACTGCCTTCAAAGAATTTCTCTTTCGATGACTCTTTGTGCTGCAGATAAAAAAAAAACGAAAACCAGCCTCCTGTTTGTTCGATCGGCCCTCAATGACCATTAGCGGTTTTGGTTATCGCGCATCTCTCCTCCGGTGAAGGTCGTTAGCGGTGTTACTAATGGGACCCCGGGACCTTTCGGGGTCCTCTGGGGTCGAGCCCAGTCGGGTCGGGGCTCTCGCACCTGGCAGTCAGAGGTCACAGCCTCGTACGGAGGAATTTATTGGTAAATAACCCACCTGGCAAAGAGGAACCCACAGATATGCACATACTTCAACACACTTCCACTCTGCTCACATTCCTGCTCAGCTGACGGACAAACTCTGTCAGAAACGCCGTAAATCAGCCGTCTGCTGCTGCTGCGTCACTCGTTCTTTTTTTGTTGTTGCTTTCTTTAAAATGCGATCACACACCTGGCTGTCAGCGGGTCGGGTGTGAATTATGATTATGGATATTTGAGAAATGTGGTCAAGTTACGGTCAAACGTGTCCCCGTCTGTCCCGAGGCGCTTCCACCCTCTGAACCTGGAGTTTGTAACTCCTCTCGCAGAAAAATCATCATCAATTTATGCCAACACGATGATAGCGGAATAAAGAGTAATATTCGTATGCGTAGACACACTTTATCTGGGTGGACAAGCTTCACCTTTTCAGCTTGAACTACTTAGATTTCAATAAGAAGGTTAAAGAATAAATGTTGACAAAAAGAGGTCTGCATAGGTTAATAAAAACAAATGGTGCTCCCTGGCCACACCCCCAGTCAGTGATGTCACAGCGGGGGGTTTTGATTGGACAGATGACGGGAATCGCTGTGACGTCACTGAATAGAAGCAACACAGTAGTAGTTTTTTTACCACATTTGATGCAGTAGAAATCGTATTCTTTCTACATTGTCAGCAGCTGGGTTTCATTCAGGAAGTCCAAGGGGAAATATTTTCAACAGTGGAATCATCAGGTGGAATATTTTGGGTTTTGAATACTTGCAAAACCGATGTTATTCATCAGCTTCAGCTGTGCTTACTATTGTGTTTGGTTCTAAGTGTTTTAAGTGTGTAATAGTACAGTTAACTTGTTGTCATTTTCCTCTTTAACTAGAAGTTGTCTCAGTACTGTTTTAGCAATATACTGTAAACCTAAAGAGATAAAAGTGCATGATTTTTTAATAATATCTTATTATTAATAGCGTTGTGCTTCGGTAAATCTCTGCCACTAAAGGACATTTAAAACCACAGCGTCAAGGGCCGTAGTATGTTTGCACGCTGCACACTAAATGGGAGTAGTGACCATGGTAACATGTCAACATAGCTAACTGTGGAGGGTCCAACATATATTCGTGTTATAATCAGTTTTAGAGAGGTTGGGTAAGTAGGGATATAACTATATAAATATATTCCTGTAGATGAGGTAGAATTCAACAGAGGGAAGATGCAACATAATGGAATGTCCATTTCCTCTTCACCGCCATACGTGCCGGCCCCGTGGAGGCTCTGGGTGTCTCCTCGCCACAATGTGCGCAGCAGAGCTTCATGTGGTTCCAATCTCCGAGCGCGAGTGACCGTCTGTTTTGTGCATTTCAATAAAAAATAACAAAAGGCACCGCGGCCCGGGGAAAACAACCCCGTGTGTCCGTACGGTGGTGGTCGGGGGGATCGAGTGAGATGCAGTGTTGGAATGGCTCGGGAATTGAAAAGAAATGGACGTAGATGGCGTGACTTGGTTGGTGGAGTTTAAAGCCAAGACTCCTGCATTTTGGACGTTGCCATCTCGTGTTCAGTGGTCGCCGGCTTGTTTTTTTGGCGACCAGCCAGCAGGAGTGACCACATTTGCACTGCGGAGGACTTGTCCATCACAAGGTGGCCCTGCCTTAAAGCATTCCCTACTTCATGGTATATTTTACTGTATTTGGAACCATCATTTACTAAATGATCATCATAAATAACCTTTCTGTGCTGTGGTTAATAAATGGCGCCTTTTTAGGGCAGAAGTCAGTCGTCAGAACAGACAGAACTGAAGAGAAACTGAGAATCCAAAAGAGATTTAAGCAAGCTGTGGCTTATATTATATTTTGCTCAAAATTCTTTGAAGTTGCACTAAACGCCTCTGTTTTGTTCTCTTTGTCTTTGAGCTGTAATTGTAGGTGTGTTTTGGAATTTCACTTCGTAGAGATTCAAACATTTAGCCCCGAGGGAAGTCACTCATGTAGCTTCTTCTTTTTCTTTTTGTTCCATCAGCGCTCCAGAGATCGGAAGAAACCATCAATTTCAAATCTGCACTGGCATTATATTTGAAATTATAACATACTGAAAAAAATGTATTTAAGTATGAGTGAGTGAGTCTTAAAGTCTACACAGAAGTCAATAGCAGTTTGAATATTTATTATCTTTCAGTCTGGTCTCAAATACTCATTCGGATGGATTGCCTTGATATTGTCGATTTTCACGATATAACATAGTAATAAACCTAAGAACGTTTACAAGCATTCAGCCTCAGAGTGCTGCTAGCATGTCTGTTTCCTGCCATTTATCACATTTTGTTTTTAATTTCCTTCCTACCAGACAAGTTTAAAGCTTAAAACGGCTGAGTCATCACCGATGACGCTCGTTGTTTCACTTGCTGATTTGTTGGCTGTTCTTTACCGCGCTGCCAGCGATTTGTTTTGTTCTGTCACGTGGGTCTCTGCGATGCGTCGCTGCAGCTCATTATCCAAAAACACCAAACCCGCAGTCGCTTAAAAGCTTTGGCCCAGATGTTTCAAACCCCCGCTGCGTGAAACAAACTCGACGTGACGCGTGATGTAATGAGTCGCTGATTGAAGAAATGATTGACTTGGATCGGGTAAAGACGGTGTGGTTCATGCTTGGCTCCTACCCAAAACACACCATGCTTTGATCTGTGTTGGAGAGGAAGAGTGGACTTTTGTTGGTATGAATGTCTGTGAGATCTTATGTTGTTGGTTGGAACGGGGGGGGTCAGGAGATGTCAGGACTTCAAGGTGATGTCCGATTTTTAACAAGAGTTATTCGAAGGAGATAATGGGCACATTTCTCGCCGTCTGCAAGCTTCTCCCGTCTCTCTGCAGCCGATATTAAGGATTAATCTAAGTAACTGCACGTGTGTGTGTGTGTGTGTGTGTAGAGACTATCAAGTGTGGTTCTCTGATCAGAGCCAGCTGAAGTGGGACGGGGATCTGAGCGGTGGCGGTTCAACATTACCTCTTGTTTCTGTCAAATGTTTTCGCATTTCTGTTGTTGCTGATCTATCTATCTATCTATCTATCTATCTATCTATCTATCTCTGTCTGTCTACCTTTCTATCTGTCTACCTACTTATGTATCTATCACACTCCATCTTGGTGTTCAGACGTCAGTGGCTGACCTTTATGTCGAGGTTTGCATCTGACATCCTCTGCATGTGTCTGCACGTTGATGCCCTCAAACCACCACGACTAGGAGGCTCGAGGAAACACGGGCAGCTGATGAAGACCAGAACATCACCGTGTGGCTGTAAAGCCCAGTACAGTTACAACGTGTGTGTGTGTGTTACGTGGTTGCTGTACTCTGCCGTACTCATGCATGCTAAGAAAGGACAGCACCTGACGTGTTTCAGTGCAGACGAGCAGAGGGTTTCCGTGTCCCATCTTGTCCTCTGCTGCATTCAGATGTCAGATCGTTTCTTGGTATGTACGAGTGAAACCCCTCTTCTCCTACACACCGCTTATGAGTGTCAGGAGCCGTGTCACCTTAAATCTAACCGTGGCTCGAACATGTCTGAACACCAGGTCCTATCTTGTAGCCTTTTGTTGTAGGCCTTTAAGAAAGGAGTGTTTTTCGAGCTAGACATGCTACCTATTGGCCAGAAAGATGATAAAGACAATACCATCAGGGCACTGACCACGTCCAATAGGGGCCGATTGAGCTTTACTCATTTACTTTCCAGGACACAACATCCTAAAATGGATGTATTTACCATTCAGCGCCCGTTTGCTTAGAAAGGGATCATTTTGCGCCAAATATCTAGAGTAAATGAATCCCGTTGATCCCACATTGCCGTCTGGAGGGTGAATCTGAAGCCGATTAGCGTAGCTTTGCACAAACGCTGGACGCGGGCCAATAAAGCCACCGCATGTCGTCTGTACACTTTGTTTTATTGTACAGAATCAAACAAACAAGGCGAAGCTGCATTTACTCTGCAGGAGCTGGTGGGTTTAGTTTCCTTCGGTCAGAGCTGTTTTGGACCGATTTGTTACAGTCAACAAAGACCTTACTGTCATCACACCGCTGGACAGTTTTTCCACTGTTGCGCTCAAGCGGTGCATGTTTTGTCTTTTGGGTCTGCAGCGAGTCATCGGAGCAGAAATCCCTGAAGACAAACGATCCCCTGAAGGGTAACTTTTTACAGACGCTTCTCAGCTCGTGGAGCTACAGACGGTTTTGATAGTGTAGTTCTCTGTGGATCAGAAAAATAATACGCCACCCTCCTGCACACAAAAGACATAATTACACACACAGCAGTCGGGCTGGCAGACGGACAACCAAGGAAAGTAGAGCAACAAGTACATCTGGTACTCAGACGCCATGCCAACCTGTGTGTGTGTGTGTGTGTGTGTGTGTTTAAAGGTGCAGAGCAGATGGAGAGTTTACATAAACCCCAGAAAACACCAGTAGAGGCATGCCCTCCTCTCCTCCGCCATCTTTCCTCTGTCTCCGCTCAGCGACCCAACACATGTATTATTCACTGCCCTCGGGTATTAGTTTTTATTGCGTTGATTGGTGCATGTGTCATTGCGAATAAGGGTGCAATCAGGAGAATACACAAAGCTTCTGCTACAACGACACGTCGCAGACGGAGAGAGAGAGAGAGGGAGGCAGACGAGGAGCACATGGTCCGACTGATGAAAGTGGTTTGTTAGTTTGTTTACAAGGGCAGCTTAATCAAAGGGCCGGCACGACCCACATGTCTCAGAGGTGACGTCACGCAAAAGCTGTTGTGTGCGTTCACTGGAAGTTCTTTGTTTGTGTATTTTTGCTTTTGCTCAGTAAGTCAAGTCATCTGGTAGGAAATGCATCGTGGGCTTATGAGAGTTCGGTGAAAACATTTCTCTGCTCAGCTGGAAAAGAGGTTGACGAGAGAATGTTTTGAGTTAGAAAACTGCAAAATGAGCTAAAAGCCATTATGATGTGAGAAATATCGAATGGTGCATCTAATAACGGGACTTAAGAGTAGTTTTGGTTTTCAATCAGTGAGCAAAGCTAAACTAAAGGCAACGACTAAAGATTACTTCAACTGGATTTAATCTTGATCACTTTTCCTACATCCAAACGAAATGTAATGCGCATCGTCCACCCGGATGGACTTTGCACTCGGGAGGTGAGTCTTCACCTCGCGTGCGCAGATACCCTCACAAACGAAGGTTCCGGACCCGGTGGTGATGACGATGACGACAAACTGCAGATCGAACCCACCGGTCCTTCTCCCCTCGTTTGTAGCCAACCTTCTCGACGTCCTGAGCGTCCTGGAGCTGTCGGAGGACATGGAGGGCGTGTCGCTGGAGTCGGGACTGTGCACCAGCCGGCAGGGGCGAAATGTGACGGACCTCTCCTTCAGGATCGACAAGAAGATTCAGCTGAGCGCGCCCACCAGTCAGCTCTTCCCCGGTAATGCAGCCCCCCTCGCGAGACGACCCGGTGGGTGCTCCTCAGTCCTTATGTGAGTGCGTGCGCATTTCTGCTGCAGATTCTCCATTTCCCGTGGACTTCTCCGTGATGACGACGGTCCGAGCCGTAAAAGGCTCCCAGGTCTTCCTCCTCTCGCTGTACGACTCGCAGGTAACGCATCGCACGCGCTACGGTGATCAAAGCCAGACTTACATGTTCAACAGCTCGACAGATTTCTGCCTGTTTTCCTACCATTCAAACGTGGACCCTTTGGGACTACATGTCCCTCCTCCCAGCCTCATTGACTCCCATCATCCTCTGTCCCGCCCGTCTCTCAGGGCACACAGCAGCTGGGCGTGGAGGTCGGCCGCTCTCCTGTCTTCCTGTACGAGGACCACGAGAGTCAGCCACCTCCGGAACTGTACCCCACCTTCAGGAAGATCAACCTGGCTGATGGCAAGTGGGTAACTACACGGAAACACACACAGTACTTTTTTGTTTCCACCTTGTTTTCACCTTAAACCTCCCGAGAAAGTTGAAGTAGGACAGGAAGTGATTTTCTTCTTCTCTGCTTTCCCCGCCAGGTGGCACAGAGTGGCCTACAGTGTGGAGGGCCAGTCGGTGACTCTCTACCTGGACTGTGTCAAACTGGAGACCCTGGACCTGCTGAGAGGTCACGACCCCCACGTCAGCACTGAGGGGGCCACCGTGTTCGGAACGCGACTGCTGGACGCCGACGTGTTCGAGGTCTGTGCATTTACTGTGTTTGTGTGTGCGTGTGCGTGTGTGTGTGTGTGTGTGCGCGCGCCGTGCAGTGGATGGTGAGTGGCATAATCTCACCTTGTGGAGCATCAACCCACCTCAGATTATTTGCAAGTGTGAAAAAGCAACTCTGCTTGTTGCTGCTGATTCAATCCATCCATTAAACTGATGTGTTGCCGTAAAGGCTTTTCTCCTCTCACTGCCCTCCGGTGGTTGTGAGAATGTACTGCGCCTTTCGCTCAGCTCCAAACCATCATTGCTGGCGTTCACAAAGCTGCAGACGATTTGGAGGCATGCAAAGGGTCTTGGATGTCCTATGATTTGAATGATTCCCCTCGCTCTTCAGTAGTGATTGAACAGTCCAGCTTAAGCTCACAAAATGCTCCAATAAAGCACTTTGAGAAGAATCTCCTCTAGCTCCTCTAGTCTTTTTGTTGCGTCCTGGGCAGTGTGAGGTCATGCAGAGGTCAGGCAGATCCCAAGTGTGCTCGTCGACCTTTGTTTTCTGAGTGTCAGGTTTTCCATCTGTTTAAAAAGAATAACTCTGCTCCATGTGTCCGTACGTGTGAACGAATGGGAGAACCAGTCTTTGTCCGTCTGCGGACTGAATCACCCCCCGCTCGAGGCCGGCGCTCTGGAGGCGATTAGCTGCAGAGCGGCGACACAAAGCTCCCTTTGACCGGCACAGAGACTAAGATAAAGACACGGGAGGCCGATGCTGCAGACATGTCCTTCATGCAAGGTCACGGTTACAGATGCAGGCAGCAGATGGCAATTTAATAAAATAACACTTATGTATTTATTTATCTTTCGTTTCAGTGTTTTCATATTTTGCTGCACATTGAAAACAGATCCCACACATCCTTGTTGTCTAGTAATTCAATATTAAAGCACTTCCATATGATTTGAAGCAGTGACATAATGTGCCGAGTCACAGCTCAGCTTACCTTGTGTGCGTGTGCGTGTGTGTGTGTGTGTGTTGTTGTGACACAGGGAGACATCCAGCAGCTGCTGATCGTCGATGACCCCCGAGCCGCAGAGACGTACTGTCGGGACTTCATCCCGGACTGCGACGCCCCTTTGCCCTACGACAAGATACTGGCGGAGCCCGAGGAGGTGAGCCCTTCACACAGCCAATCACGGGAGCCCGTCGGACCACATGGGCCGCGCTCAAGTCTTTCACGATGCGCATGCTGCAGGTGGATGCTGCAAATCGGGGAAGGAGCCCCTTCATGTTTCGTTTGAGGGGCAACTACTGCACGTATTGATGGACAGTTTAGAAATGCTATCTGACAAAAAAAAGAGTGGATTAATCATTTTACAGTCAAATATTCTCGACAAGAAATACTCCTGGTAGCATAAATTTAAAGAAAGAAGCATTCGTGTTATGGAGGGTCGAAAATTCAGCACACATACATCTTCCTTTCACTTTCTGCCAGAGAAGCATCACTCGGGCACCTGGGCTGTTTTCAGCTAAAGTACTGACTCATCTGTTTGTACTGAGATCCAACCCTCTATTCACACTTGGCCAGGCTCTTTCTGGCAATGCTTCAGTCTCCCGGGAAAAGGTTTCAAATCCACTTTCGCTGTTTGATTTGTGGCCCGGCTGGCGCGCTCCAGACTCAGCGGGTCTCTTGCGTTCGGCTGTTTTACTGCGACGGGCCAGCGGATGAATACGTGCACTCCGATGACACACCGACGAAGCCCTCACGCCTTTAAACAGGCTCTCCTGAAAAAATACTCTATTTCTTGGCTTCTTCATGACATCTTTCATGTACCAGAGCACTCAGCCAGGACTGCTGGAGGAATCTGATAACTTAATCCTCCATCTCTTAAGACTGGCGTCCCGTCTCTACAAGTTGATCCATCCCCAAATCCTGTGTTGTGTATGTGTAAACAAAACGTTTGCATCCTCCCTGTTTTGATCTGTTGTGGTCGTCAGGTGAAGAAAGCACCTAAGAAGGTGTACGAGGAGTTTGACTACAGCGACCTCTACGTTTCCACGGCAACGGCAGGTCCCAACGTCGCCGAGTACGAGGTGAGACTCCTTTTTTTTGTGCGTTTTTAAAAAAAATTTTTATTACTCGCCGTTTGAGGCCGCTCACGCTTTGTCTCCCTCGGTCGGACAGATCATAGAGTACGAAGACTACGACAACGCAACGGACCCGTACCACGAGAGCGAGTACGAGTACGAGGAGGAGTACGACGAGCGCTACGGGCCGGCCGAGAGGCAGCGAGAGGACGCCGTCAACGCGCTGGTACCACCCGAACCGCCCGAAGTTCTACGCGAAGCGGCTCGGGCCTCTTGTTCATGTGTGTCTTCATCCTTCTCCTCTCGTTAGGACATTCCGGAAAAAGGAGAGAAAGGAGAGCCGGGCCTTTTGGGATCGGTGAGGAAAACACACACACAGGCTTAAAAACATGCTGGATGTTCTGTTCTGAAAGGTTTCATTCGGTTTAATAGACAGACGGGAACAAACGAGAAAAAGTGCAAAGAGAATCCCGCTGCACTTCTTTTTACCTGGGAAACCGGGGCGGGAAATGACGTTTCTCCCCCTTTTCTTTCTCTTTTTAACGTTCTTTTTAACGTCGCGTCGGCTGTCGGGAGCGAACGTTCTGACTAATAACAGCTTATAAACTGCCCGTCAGCTTTTACAGGCAACAACAGGAGGCCTTTCAGTTGAAACTTGGGCAGATGCCTCGAATGTTGCTTCCGCAAAGACACCTGTGGGGAAGGACGGTCCAGGGTTCTCCAAGCTGAGGAGCAAAGAGAGCATGAAGACCTTTTCTCAGGAATCAATTGTTATGACTGTCACTTCTTGTATGCGATTAGCTCAGGGTCATTTCCCTCGGTTTTTAAAGGGAAGAAATCTAATTAGCCCACAGCCTCGGTAACAATTTATAGCTGATTTAAGACAATCAGCAATGCATCAGGAGGTTAACCAGACTTTTTGAAATAATCACTTTACTCTTCTCAACTTCTGAAAAGGTCTCGATCTCTCTCTAGAAACTGTGCCGCTGTTACAAACTTTGTTCAGCAGAGAGCTCAAAACAGAAAAGATGAAAGAAAAAGAAAGAAATTGCGTTTATTAACCGTTATTTTGCCGTTTGGTTCATGCAGTGATTTACTGTCCCTTTAAAGACTCTGGATGTATTAGAATATTTTCTAACTGTATGATCTGAATTATTCCATGGGTCTTTATCCTGTATTGACCCCACAATGAATCGGAAAAATATAAAAACATCACATACTAAATGCCAATAACCGTGAGAATAATGTAACCCTAAAACATCTATACAACTGTATCCACAGCTGGGACCGGGAGCGATGATGCTAAGTCATCACCTCATTAGATTAACTCATCACACTCATGGCAGAAAAGTATCTTCTTGATATTTCTTAAAACAGCTGCAGCCATTTTCTCCTATAGAGGTTCCACTCGCTGCATCGTGTAAGCTTTTCCTCTTGTGTGCAGTACGTCCACACCTTAATCAACCACATTTCTGTGAAATGTCTCCGCAGGGAACGCTGATCACAGGACCATACGGGCCTCCAGGACCTGAGGTCAGTCAGTTTTCCTGCATGACGTGTAACTTGGGGGCTCTCAACATGGAATTGGAAGCTTGCAATTAAACATGGAGTAGAATCCCGTCTAACTCGTCCGTGTTTTTTGTGGTGTGCGTTTGTTTTCGCTGCAGGGGGAACCGGGGCCTTCAGGAATCACGGGACCAGTGGGACCTCGAGGAGACCCGGGGGAGCTGGTGAGGACTCCGAGGACTCCGTTTGCTTCCTTCAGACGCCGCACGTCAACGTGTCTCCATAACCGTCCTCCTCCTCCTGTCTCCTCTCAGGGTCCGCAGGGGCGTCCCGGCCTCAACGGAGCCGACGGGATACCAGGTCCCCCGGGGAACATCATGCTCATACCGGTAACTCCGAGACACGTCTGCGTTGCCTTCGGCCTTCTCGGGCCGCAGTTATTTGGTCCCATCGACCCTCAGCTGAGCCCCGGGGCCAATGGGGATGTTTGAATGTCGTAACTGAGAGATGGGCTGGCTTACTTAACTTTCCTGAGCCCGGATGCAACATGTGTTCCATCAAACGTCTCGCTCCTCAGTGTTTGACCCAAGGGTCAAATCAGTCCGACGTCCTATTATTGATCTCCTTTAAACGTCCTCGGGTGTTTGTTTTGATTTGAACCCAGTGACTGCGAAGGCCAAAACATGTTATTTCATACTCATGAAACCATTCAGAAACCTCACATGGAAGCCACCATGTGTTTTCAATGACTCGGATTTCTCCTTCAATCTCATCCATTTGCCCCTTTTTATGCAGAACTGGAGTTGCAGTGCTACACATTGGCCACTGGGTGGAGTATTGAGTTCCTCTTAAAAGCATGTTGTGTGTGTGTGTGTGTGTACAGTTCCAGTCCAGTGGTGATTCAAAGTTAGGGACTTTGGTTTCTGCGCAAGAGGCGCAGGCTCAGGCCATCCTGCAACAGACCAAGGTACACGCGCTTCTGAAACACTAGCGTTACATCAGAAACACACAAAGCGGAGCGCTCATGTACAACGAATGTGTGTGTGTGAGACGCTGTCTGACTCCTTCTCTCCTAGCTGGCTATGAAGGGACCTCCGGGCCCGCTCGGCCTCAGGGGAAGACCCGGACCGCTGGTGAGTGAGATCTGTTGGAGACGGATTACTTTTCATCTTCAAGACTACGTCGATAGCGACCTACAGTTTAGGCCGACAAATGCATAACAAGGCAGTAAAACACACGCATATTGGATATTTTGAATCCGGGTATCACCTGTTTTAACATGTTTATTAATTGTGGTGTTTGCAAACTACCCGTTACACATAACCTCTAATTAGTGCCAACATGTATTGTGGATTCAGGAAGTCTCTCAGACAGAGTTCAATGAAAGCGAGAGCAGAAGACTATTGATGCATTTTAAATTGCAGGTCAAGTCGGATATTGGGTTGATTTGTTCATTGTATGCATGAAAACATGCGCATGCACACACACACACACACACACACACACACACACACGCGATCCTGCGGACTTGTCTGAACAACTGAATTCTTGCTCCTTCCCAGGGTGCAACGGGTCCCTCTGGGCTGAAGGGGAGCAGCGGAGAATCGGGGCCAGCGGTAAGTTGGCTGGTTGTCACGGCAACAAACCCCCTCGCTCCTTTTTTGTACAGCTCTTTGAATTAGTCTCTTTTCACCCCCCCCCCGCCACCACCCACCACCACCACCACCCCAGGGTCCTCCAGGACAGACAGGTTTACCAGGTCAGAGCGGAAGAATTGGGAAAAGGGTGAGAATATTTAGTCTTTTTTAAAATACATATATGTATATTAGTATGCTCTTGTTCTACAGAATGGTCATCAAAATCATGTCTAACTACTGTGTGTGTGTGTGTGTGTGTGTGATTGTCAGGGTCGAGCGGGCGCAGACGGCGGCCGTGGCATGATAGGAGAGACTGGAGTAAAGGTGGAGAGGAACTGATGTTCACACCGTCCTCTACCTTGTGTCTAAAACGAGTCCTTATAAATATATAAATGATCTGTGTGTTGTTCTCAGGGGGACAGAGGCTTTGATGGCTTACCAGGTCTCCCTGGAAACAAAGGACACAACGTAAGTCATCTGGCTAATGAAGTGAGTGGTGTTAATTTGTTATCCTGATTGATAACCTCTGTGTGTGTGTGTGTGTGTGTTTTGTCAGGGGGAAAGGGGAAAGCCGGGTCCCGTAGGTCCTTCTGGAGAGCCGGGTGAAAGGGTGAGAGGTCACTCCGGTGGTTGTTGTTGTTTTTTTGTGTGTGATTATGTACAAGATGTTTTAATATATATGTATATTTTATCACACAGGGCTCTGAGGGTCCAAATGGACCAAGAGGACAACCAGGGGATGCTGTAAGTGTTAACGCACAATAAAAAAAAAAGACACAATGAGGTAGAGAGGACTTTCTGAAAATGTTCTCCTTCTTAACATCCAATACTCCAATCGACAGAAGTACGAGTACATGCAAGTACATCAAATGAACTGTGATGTGTTTTGCAGGGTTCCAGAGGCCTGAACGGCCCCAGAGGTCGTGCAGGTCCCCAAGGCCAGTCTGTGAGTGGGAAATGTACACGCTTTCATGTGTAACCTCTCTGCGCACACACACACACACACACACACAGAGACACACACACACGCACACGCATTCGTCTCCATTCTCGACAACCGTGAAAAAGATCAAGTAATTATCCTGCTCCCTCCCCTCAGCGTTGATCCGATCAACCACCAATAATATTATTTCTAATCATTCAAATTAATTGTGATGTTAACGTTTTTCTTGATATGTTGACTCAATGTTATCCGATTCTTATCTCATGTGATGAAACGAACCCCCCCGAGCTGCTCCTCCGCCGTTTGCATTCGCAGAAACACGAGTTACTGCTTGAAAGCATCTGAATGCACACAGAGGAAGCACCTTTTTCTATTTGTATAAAATTCAACTTTAGATGCCTGAAGCAGAGAAGTGGGAATGGCCCAAACACCGGGGGGGGGGGGGGGTTCTTTTAGCTGTTGTCTCAGAAGGCTCATAAATCAAACATGAGGAACATGCACCTTCCTTATTTATTTTCATCCGATGAATAACAACTCAAAGCAGTCTGCGATTCCCCTCACAGACGCACCAACTCCTCCTTCTTCTCCTCACAGGGCATTCGAGGAATCGACGGGGGTCAAGGTTCAAAGGGAAACATGGTGAGTATTGTGCCGGTATTACTGAAGACCGGAGAAGATAACAGATTCCGTCCCGTGACATCATTTCCTGTCCGTAACAGGGAGGCCCGGGGGAGGTCGGAGCACCCGGACAGCAAGGCAACCCCGGCATTGTGGTACGAGCGCGGGACGGTCACTCACGACGTCGACTCGGTCACATGACCGCACGCACAGACACACTAACGCTCCACCTCTCCCGCAGGGTTTCCCCGGTCCTCAGGGGTTAGTGGGGCTCCCCGGAGAGAAGGTAAGACACTTGTATCTGGAGTCGTCGGGGGTTGGGGTGACGGCGCCGTGATAGATCGTCTGATCCTCGCTTTGCAGGGGCCTCAAGGGAAGAAAGGGGTGCAGGGTTTACCCGGGAACGACGGGCCCTCAGTGAGTACGCGCGTGTTCGTACCTATAGACACACACACACACACACAAACACACAGCATTCCTGCCTTTGGACATCACTGCAAGCGCAACTACTTATTAACACGTCCTCTTTTCATCAGGGTCACCCCGGGAGAGAAGGGACTCCCGGTGAAAAAGGCCTGCCGGTAAGTACACCGTGTGCCACAGTCTCCTAAAGGGCCCAGTCTCTGTGCTAAGCTAAGCTAACGCATATTCAACGGACACATATGAGAGCGGCATCGATGCGCTCGTCCAAGTCTCAACCAGGGAGCTGATAGTCGCAAAAATGTGGAGCTGCTCCTTTTAATGTGTGTCTGTTCACTTGTAGGGTCCCCTGGGCGTGCAGGGCCCCGTCGGATACCCCGGACAGCGAGGAGTTAAGGTGGGACATGCAGAAGATTCCCGTGGCTGTGGATTTAACGTCACCTGACGAGTGTCATTATTCTCTATTGGTTAAAGAAAACCTTTTTGAAGCCGCGTTCAGTAAATCAAAAGAATCACCCGGTGGCGCTCGATGGGTTGGGAGTTTGGATATCTCGGGGTGTCGAACGAGTGTAAAACGGAGCGTGAAATGAATTGGCGGGGCGAGACTCGGGATACAAGCGCCGTGATGAGCCTCATTTGTAGGTTGTTTGGGCTCAGCCTGAGAGATGGAGAGAGGAGCTCGGACGTCCGACGGCAGCTCGTATGGCGGACTGGCAAAGTGGCCCGGGCATCGGATGAGGACGTCCCTTTAGAGGTGGCACCGGCCGCGTCCGTGCTGGCGAAGAGGCTCCGGGTTAGATCCAGAACACGGCGGACGCTTTTCATGTCTCATCCGGCCTGTGAACACCTCAGGGTCCCCCTTGAAGAGCCTGGAAGCGGGATAAGAGGATGAAACGAGATGAATGCTCGCTTTTGAGGTTGCTCACCAAGTCATTTTCTGGTGTCAACAATAAGCAGGTGATGGTTTCCACCGGCAACCGCCACTAGGGTTTAATGGCAAAGCAGGCTGGCACTTTGATATTCTCGCTTCCTCGTGCAGATACCACCGACAGCCGGTGGTATGACATCATCACTTTATGTTTTTTTTTGGTGACTTCCTGTTTGACTTTGTGTCCTGTTGACAGGGAGCGGACGGAATAAGAGGATTAAAGGGAAGCAAAGGTGAAAAGGTGAGAGCCAGTGCCCCTTCGGGGTGTCTGATAATAACGTTTTGGACTTTTATGTCGCCTGTGATCCCGGATTAATCTTTTTTTTGCCTCCAAATGGTGGTGTCTGCAGGGGGAGGATGGGTTCCCAGGGTCAAAAGGGGAGATGGGAGCAAAGGGTGACGACGGAGACAACGGGCCTACGGGCGGCCGAGGGGAAGACGGGCCTGAGGGGCCCAAAGGACAGATGGGTTCTCAAGGAGACGGTGGCGCCTCTGGCACTTCTGGGGAGAAGGTACAAAGCAAAAACAATAAATGAATATTGTTAAAGTTGTATTGGACGAGTTATAAGTCACTCTGTCTTTCTCCAGGGGAAACTGGGAGTTCCTGGGCTGCCGGGATATCCAGGGCGACTGGGGCCAAAAGTAAAAAGAATGATTCAAATAATCAATATAGAAGTTTCAGATATACTAGATGTAGTTCATGCTCCTTTGTCTTTCTCTTCAGGGCTCTGACGGATTTCCCGGTTCAGTGGGAGCTGCAGGAGAGAAAGGGAAGAAAGTGAGTAGAAGGTTTAAGATCATGAGCACATTGTATCATGAAATTAGACTTTTCCCATTCATTTTCTGTCTCTTGTGGTGTCACTTAGGGTCCTGCAGGACAACCAGGAGGCGGAGGCCAGCGGGGTCCGAATGTGAGTCTCAAATCAATTCCGTTTGTAATATTTACCGGTTGGTGGGGAACAAAAACAGAGCTAAAAGGAGAGAGTGATTTATGAACATGGAAAGGCCACCAAATGCTAATGCTATTCTGTTGTGTGTTTCTGCTGCCCCCTGGTAGCCAGAGGAATCAGTTATTGAAGCTTTAAAGTAGTTTGAGAGATCTGTTGGCTTCATCATTGTCACCTTTGAGGCACAAGGCTGCAGTTCACTCTGATCTGAGTCACCACCTTCTACCCTCGTGTCCTCCGGTCAAACGCTGCCCTGAGTTTGGTCTCAAACATGTTTCTTTCCCCCTCAAGGGTGCACGAGGTGGCAGAGGGGCAAAAGGGCCGACGGGGAAATCGGGAGAAAAGGTCAGCTGACTCTCTCTCAGCCAATAGTGGGGCCCCATCAGTCATTGTTAAAACACCAGCACTGCTTCTCTCCGCCTCTGCTCCCATGTTCTTCTCCACTCTTCTTCACAGGGCACCTCCGGAAATGACGGACCTCCAGGACCTTCTGGTGAAAGGGTAAAAAAACATGGTTAATACGTGGTATTAATCAAACAGTTAATTGATTGACGGTTATAAGGGATATATGTGTTTTTCTTTTAGGGGCCTCAAGGGCCGCAAGGAAGGAATGGAGAGGGTGGACCTAAAGGATCAGGCGTAAGTTAAATTAATTAGCTACGGTCTTTAGCTTTACATGCTACCTGCTGCCTTAGCATAGCATAGCATACCATCCATTGACAAAAGCAATGGATCATTCCTAAGGTGTATACGGTCGTTATAATCCTATTAAAGGCCGAACATTCCTCTCCAAGCCTTCATTCATTTCCAAGCCTGCACGGTGAAGACAATCTGTCCTAAACCTAGCAAGCAGAGTGGATGGCAGGCGGTATTTTGTATCGGTGCAGATTTAAAGGAATCGAAACTTCATCCCGCTTCAGGACTATAAAAAAATAAAGTAATCCTGACTGTGAAGTCACCGGAAAGAAATCACATTCATATGCGGCTATGAATCAACTCCAGGGGGAGGTTCCCGCACTCATGTTTGAATATTTGACAGCTCACTAAATCAAGTACCTTTTACCCTGAGCTTAATTTCACCTTGTTCTTTTCACATTCGTGTGTGTGTGTGTGTATCCATGTGGTTTTCTGTGCATGGGTGTGTGTGTGTGTGTGTGTTTGTGTATGTAGGGTCCAGCTGGGAAAGACGGTCTTCCAGGTCACCCAGGTCAAAGAGGAGAGCCGGTGAGTGAGGGCAAATTTCCTAAGAGTTCATACACAGAGATCACACACCAAATTGTGATTTCCATCCATCTTTCTTTGGGACTGCAGGGATTCCAGGGAAAGACAGGGCCTCCGGGACCCTCAGGTGTTGTGGGGCCACAGGTGAGTTCAACTATGTGACTGTTTCGTAATGCAGAGAAAGTCTTATCTTGTTGCTGCATGAAAAACCTCAGGTAAGGTAACGTTATCGTCGTGCCTGGATGGGGCTAAAGTCGCTAGCCAGAAATACCAGACAAGGCAAAATGATGCCCCAACAAATCTATGACCAACTCTTACCTTTTTCAGGGCAAATCCGGTGAATCCGGTCCTACGGGGGACCGAGGTCACCCAGGGGCCCCGGGGGTACCTGGGGAGCACGGTTTACCGGGCACCGCCGGGAAGGAGGGTGGAAAGGTACGTACGGACTGATCGCTACCTTCTTGTAGATTCAGTGTTTGTCTTCTGATCGCACAATGTTTTGTTTTTTTGCGTGCCAGGGGGATCCGGGTTTACCTGGGACATTTGGGAAAAGTGGCCCTCAAGGACTAAAAGGGTTCAGGGGGAGCCGAGGATCTCCTGGGACGATGGTAACACACACAAATACAAATGACTTGATGAAGTATTTCTGCTGAATAGTTCAAATATGGTACGATCTTTCCAGGGACCTTCTGGTCTGAAAGGAGGGTCGGGACCTACTGGATCATCAGGAGCCATCGTGAGTTACAATAGTGACCTCTTTTAGAATCAATATCCTTCATATTCCGGAGGACTTTATTTTTAGAAGTCCAATGACACACGCCATGGTTATTATTCCCTCTGAACATATTCACATGAATGACCAAAACATTTTCAACTACTCAATCAACCACCAATGTGAATCTTCACTGCCTTATGTCCTGTCCGTAGGGGTCTACTGGTGAGAGGGGCCCTCCCGGAACCGCCGGCGCCATCGGTCAGCCTGGCCGGGGCGGAGCCATCGGAGGACCCGGACCAATGGGCGAGAAGGGCGAGCCGGTAACAAACAAATTGTTTTTTTGCCACCTTATTGGTTTTTACCGGCTGTGTATTTGGCTCTGATGTGGAATAACGGCTGTTGAATGCGTCTGTGTTCCAGGGTGAGAAGGGCCCGGTGGGACCCGCGGGTCAGGACGGAGACCAGGGTCCCGTGGGGATGCTCGGGGCCACGGGCCCCGCTGGGCCTCCCGGAGACGACGGGGATAAGGTGAAACCACGCGTGTGTCTGCGAGTCAGCGGAGAGAGAGAGTGTTTGTGCTGTGGTGACACATGTCGTGTTCGTTCCCCAGGGGGAGCAAGGGGAATCCGGCCAGAAAGGCAGCAAAGGAGACAAAGGGGAAACCGTGAGTCTGGAGCCGGAGGAGTACGTCAGCAAAGACTGTTTGCCCACGCCTGGGTAGATCTGATTAGGTCTGAATGTTTCCACAGGGCCCACAAGGATCCACCGGCACTCAAGGTGTGATCGGTCAGCCAGGACTGCCGGTGAGTCCAAACCCCGGTTTGTATTTTGTTTGTCTGTATTGTCCCCGCCCAAAAAGACAGTTCCAACAGCGATTACGTCAAATTGGGGAAGTAGATCAAAGATTTCACACTCATAAGTCATAAAGACGCCCTCTCTCCTGTGCGTATCAGGGGGTGGATGGACTGCGGGGCCCCCGGGGCCAGCAGGGAATGTTCGGTCCGAAAGGAGACGAGGGACTCCGCGGCTTCAAGGGCTCCAAAGGACCGACAGGATTACAGGTGAGACTCCACGATGTGGACCATCGGAGTGGCGTCCGCAGCGCAGACAACGAGTGACATTCTCAATCTGCACTCATATCCTCGTACCCCGTGTCTGTGCGTGTGTTCCTCAGGGCATGCCCGGCCTACCAGGAGAGAAGGGGGAGAGCGGACATGGGGGGCTAATGGTGAGCTTATATCCTGTTTGAAGATCTGTTTCTTATCTACACCACATTTTTCCCCCTCATACGCACAGATGGACCAACTGCAAAAAAATGTATTTTCTCCTTTTTAGGGTCCACCTGGTCAACAAGGCCCCTCCGGGCCTCAAGGACCCATTGGGGGACAGGTAAGTCTCAAAGAAAATGTTGATACATCCTCATTGATTCGAGCAGTATGCATGTAAGTATGTATGAATACTGTGTTTCCTTCTGTTCCGCGAAGGGTCCGACAGGCCGACTCGGGATGATCGGACAGCCAGGTGTTGTTGGAGAGAAGGTAAAGAAATGGACGGTTACACCGTTGGAGTGACGACGTTGTTCCCTCCCCAGCCAACTGTACCACCCTGGATTTGTCACCCAAAATTCCCCTCTCTCTCTCTCTCTCTCTCTCTCGCAGGGGGAGGATGGCGAGGCGGGCGACCCCGGAGCAGTGGGAGTTCCAGGAAGACTGGTGAGTTGGTTCGCTCCCGTTATCTTCAGCTTACACCCGGAGCTTCTTCTTCTGCTCGTCTCCTCTCGGCCCCTCTCTAATGGCCCGCTCTGCTCCTTCGCTGCCTTAGGGAGGAAAGGGGGACCAGGGGGAGAAGGGAGACACGGGGCTTTCGGGAGCAGCCGGACCTCCAGGAGCCAGGGGCCTGACGGGGGAGGACGGAGCCAAGGGAAACTCTGTGAGAATCGCCGTTATATAATGTAGACGGTGCAACATAAAACCGTACATCTAGAAACACTAAGCCTCAGTGAGGTTTGCCGTTGATGGATTCTCCCTTTTCATCTTGAGAACATGTTGAGGGCAGTACGTGATTGAACACGCGGGGATGCTTGACCACGAGTTGCTGAGCTATCTCGTCTCTCTCTCAGGGTCCTCCAGGCCTCACCGGGGACCTCGGTCAGCAGGGGGAGGCCGGACCCAACGTGAGTTCCTCCCTCGCTCTCTTCTTCTTCAACAACTTTGTCCATTATCAAAACGTTCTTCTATTTTTTAGGTGCATTTATTTATTTTGTTTGTCTAATGGCAATATGTTAATAGTTATTCAAACCAACGGTTGTATTTTGGTAACAAAGCCATGACCACTATAACAGCGTGCTGTTAATGAAACTGGATCTTTACTTTATTTCTCTTGTTTATGATGTCTCATAATTAACATCTTCCCTGCTGCCATAAAGCCATCATCACATGTTTATCTAGCATATCAAGTGTATCTGCCCACTATCTCTCGCACCTCGCCAGGGTGTGGACGGTCTGAGCGGGTCGAAAGGAGACACGGGGGACCCTGGGAAATCTGTGAGCTCCCCCCTTCTACATCACACACCACAACATCCATCGCATCCGTTAATTCATAAACGTGAAAGATGCAGTCATCATACAAGTCAATGGCTGGTTATATAACAGTTGCTTCTTATTTCCCAGGGACCACCTGGAGCAGTTGGAGAACCTGGACCATCTGGACCTCCTGGGCGAAGGGTTTGTGTGTCTTTGTGTTCACTTCCCACATGATGAATTAAACATTCAAACCGTCTCTCTCTCTGTGAGGACGAGGTCGAGGCTTTTTTTTTCTTATTGCATTCTCACAGTTTTCAAGCTCTTCGTCCGCAGCTTAGCAATAGTCTCAGTCCAACAATGCTATTTAAATATGTATTACAAAACAGATATTTAGCAAATAATCGTTCTAAAGCAGTGAGTAAAGAGTATAAGCGGTAAAAGGGTTTGTGCATCGATGCGTGTTTAATATGTTTTAAATTGTCGCTCTCCAGGGCCACTTGGGGAAATCAGGCAAAGACGGGAAGGCGGGTGTGAAAGGGGCGAAGGTGAGTCTTTGGGAACAACTCTTTGAGCGGAAACATCGCAGCTCCTGAGGGGTCACCCTGCTCTTTCTTTCCTTTCAGGGCGCTGCCGGTTTCGAGGGTCCCGTGGGGAAGACGGGGCCCGTGGGGGCCCAGGGACACCCCGGCAAGCCGGGCCCTCAAGGTTTAAGAGGGATCCCCGGCCCTGGAGTAAGTCCCGCGGTGACGAGCGAAGCCGCTGAAGCCGAGTGTGATGAAGATGGAGGTTAAAAATGTTTTGTGTGTGTGTGTGTGTGTGTGTGTCCCGCAGGGCGAGCAGGGTTTGAATGGGCCGCCTGGCCAGACAGGACCCCCAGGTCCCATGGTAAGATGACTAAAACCCAAATATTGATATAATGATAGTAGAAAAAAAAGGACAGCAAGATAAAAAAATATCCAGCTGATGTCCCGTCCTGAGGAGCCGTAGCAGGATGATCCTCTCCTCATCATCTCCTCTGTGATAAATCAATTAATCCCTTCACGACTCCGTCCCCCAGGGTCCGTCGGGATTACCAGGACTCAAGGGAGACCACGGCAGAAAGGGAGACAAGGTGCGTCCATACTCAACAGATGCACACGCTCAACCCGGCTTTGACCCCGACTTTGACCTTCAGCTCGTTCCTCACCTGTGCAGGGTCACGGTGGTCTCATAGGTCTGATAGGGCCACCGGGGGACATCGGAGAGAAGGGGGACAGAGGACTGCCAGGAAACCAGGGACTGTTGGGTCCAAAAGGAGACGAGGTGCTGGCAACATTTACTAACAATGGACAAAATCCTTGATTGCGAACTGGCTTTAGAGGACACAGCTGGTGTTACTCAATATATTTCCATGTAATACGTTTTCTCTGTTTCTTTCGTGTTTAATATCAGGGTGCGGTCGGTCCATCAGGTCCCCCCGGCCCTCCTGGCCCCAACGGTCTATCTGTGAGTACACAAAATGATTTTGACAGACACAAGCAGTCACCTGGACACTGTTCCTCTCCCCCTTTTGTGTCTTTGACGTGAACTATTTATGTCTCTCGCAGGGAGCTGTTGGTACAAAGGGCTCCAAAGGAAACCTGGTAACTGCTGCTTCACTCAGTCAGTACTCCCTCATTGGAGCGTCATGCCACCACGAATTCATCTTTGTTCTTTGTATTTAGGGTCCAACCGGTCCTCGTGGGGACACCGGGCCCGCCGGACCTCCAGGACCACCGGTGGGTTCCGCTTTCCACAGACGCAGTACATCAACCAACCACACAACCCTCACGCTTTAGAATTAACAAAAAAAGACCCTCTGCGTGTCTCGTGCTGCCTCCACCTGAATGCGACCTCCTCGTCTCTCCTCAGGGAAAGCCGGCTGTCGGCATGTCCCCTCTGCCGGGGCGGAGGAGGAGAACCCACACCTCGGTGGACGGGGCCGCACTCGACGAGGCGGAGGAGGCGATCGATGCGGGCGAGGAGGGTTGGATGCAGGGGGACCAGGCGGGCCAGGACGCCGGTGCGACGGAGGAGAAGGAGGGCATGGAGGAGGTGTTTGCGTCTCTGTCCTCCATGAAGGTGGAGGTGGACGGCCTGCGCAACCCACAGGGGACGTACCACAGCCCCGCCCGCACCTGCAAGGAGCTGTGGCTCCTCCACCCAGAGCTCCCCAATGGTACTCCATCAGCTCGCCATTTCTTTTCACAGTTCTCAGTCTGCATCTCTGAACTCGTCTCATCTGTATCTTATTCAGACTGTTATATTTCTATGTGGTTTTCCTGTTTGGTGCTGATACTTGTTCTGTTTGTCCGCTCTCTTCCCCTCTGCTTTCTCTCTCTCCAGGTGAGTACTGGATAGATCCCAACCAGGGTTGCCATAGAGACTCCTTCAAGGTGTTTTGTAACTTCACTGCACAGGGAGAGACATGTCTGCATCCTGACAAGAAGTTCCAGTCGGTTAGTTCTCACACACACACACACACACACACACTTCGTTCAGAGCCAGCAGCAGACTGAACGGCCGCCTCTAGTCGTCACCTGTGTGTTGATTTATGGAACTTTTGCTTGTCTTCCCATCAGGTGAAGTTAGCAGCTTGGAAAGGGGAAAAGCCCGACACCTGGTACAGTAAATTCAGGAAAGGAAAACAGGTGAAGTGTGACGCTCTGCTATGATACCAATCAACGTCCGCGTGTGTTCGCGGAGAAGGATTTTAAATGTGAAAGAGTTTAATCACTGCTGCAGATGGGAGCCGTCTTCGGTTCCTACGCTCATTAGCAGCACTTGTTGGCTTCTGAAAGCCACTCAAGCGTTTTAATAACTGGGTGATGAAATTGGCATTTACAACTTTTTGACATTTTTTCAAAGTGACTTACAACGCCGCTCAGTTTTCATTATCAAGTCATCCATCGTTACAGCCGAGCGAGGCCGCCTGCTCTCTAACAGCAATGAACTGCATCGGAAAATGATCCGATCCGACTGCTGCCTGATGTCGCGCCCGTGAAGTCGATTTCGTCTTTTAGTTAGATATCAAGGAGAACAAAAATGGTACATTTGTATAAATTATTAAGATTTTGGTTTGAGTTTTTCTTTTTAATCTAACGGATTATGACGGAATGTCCTTTTTCTCTCATTAGAGGTAATTCATGTTTTTTTTTTTCACCCACTCAGTCTTAATTCCAGGCTCAAAATGCACACAATTTACACAGTTTACTCCACCCGCCTTCCTCCGCACGCTTTACCCGCCCCGCCCTGATTCCCCCGCCTTCTCCGCCCTCCCAGATTTCCTACTCGGGCTCGGACGACGTTCCGCTCCACGTGGTCCAGCTGACCTTCCTGCAGCTGCTGAGCGCCACGGCCAAGCAGACCTTCACCTACCACTGCCTGAACTCCGCCGCCTGGCTGCACGTCGCCAGCTACGGCCACGAGCACGCCCTGCGCTTCAGAGGCGCCAACGGGGAGGAGCTGACGCACGAGAACGCGCATTACATCAGCGCGCTGTACGACGGGTGTCAGGTGAGCGTCGCACCTGCCGGGCGTGAACGCGCACGCGGACGTGTGTTAACTGTGTCTCTCTGCTGCAGACGCGCTCGGGCCAAGAGAGGACGGTGTTGGAATTTGATGCCCCGCTCTCCAACACGCTCCCCATCGTCGACGTGGCCGTGTCCGATTTCGGGAAGGGGAACCAGAAATTTGGTTTTCAAGTCGGCCCGGTCTGCTTCAACGGTTAACCGGAGGTCATCAAACGGAGCCGTGGACACTTAGTATTTTTTTTTTACATGCAGGGAGAAAATATTTGCCACATATGCCACATATTTATAAGTTGATTTACCTACAACAGTGTTCCTGTTCATTTATTCACCTCGGCCATCTCACATGTCACATGATACACTCAAATGTATCGTCACTCGTATCGCTCCTTGAGTTCCATCCGTTGATACCTTCATTGATCTATGCACTCGATCCCATAGATACACAAACATTACGATCAGTGAGTCTTCACAAACTTTTCTTGATGTCATAAAAACCTCAATTTGCTGTGTTTTTTGTGTTTTTTTGTTGTAGTCATGTTGTTATAATGATCTGTTATGTGATGTATATTGGAGTGTAATTCATCACGGTGCTATTATGTGTTTCCTCGCGGGAACATATTCTTTTGTAAAAGGGGACTGGGGCAGTGCATTTTTTATATATATATATATACATACATATACATATATATATTGTGAAGCATTGTTTTGTATTTTTCAACATAACAAACCAAAGTGTGGTATGTGATTGCCTCAAGGTCTTTCTGTGTACAGTTGTGTGGGGAAGTGACTGAGAAACCTATTTTAATAAAAGTACATTATGTACAAGTTAGTATGAGGAGATTCAGTTTTATTGAATGTTTTTCAAGCAAAGCCAACAAAGAGGAAGCTTTGAGGATCAGAGACACCATCTGCTGCTCTCCAGGCAGGAACCCTTTTCATTGTGCAGTTTTTAGGTCTGCACTTCCATCTGTTTTTCATAATGTCCTTCTGTAATTTGGGTGAATGTGAACTAACCCGTAAAACACCAACACACTGATAATGAGTGCACATTTTTTATTACTTAAGTCAAACATCTCAACCGCCGTTGCGTGGATTGTAAATAGCTTTGGTTTACACGGGTCACAGAGGATTAGTCACTGAATCCACTGACCACAAGCCGGGTTTTAATTCAAATGGAGCCACAAATATTTATATCTTATAAAGAAAAGAAAAAAGGTGAAGAAAAATGTTTGATTGGTAAAAGCATTCATTTTATTCTTAAAGCGACTGGATTTTTCTTTGGCGCGATCATACAATTGAGTTCTAGTTAAAAGCCCGGCGACGACATAATGAAGCTCTTTGCACGTGCGGAACACGGCGAGTTTGAATTGTGCAAGAAAAAACGTTCTCCGGCCGCGCACACGGACGTCCTGTACTCTCATTTGTCACGTTCGAGTCGGGTGTATTTCGTGGAATGGAACTTGCCTCCGGGTCGGGTTTTTCATTAGCTTCCGGTCTCAAGCGAAGGAGTCTTCTGTCGGCATCTCTCTTCCCGCTCCTGTTCCTCCCTCACGTGGCCCTTTGTGCTCTCACCCCTCGTTCTCTCTCAGTAACGTGGGAAACAATGACGCTGAAACTTTAATGAGAGGAAGCCGGTGTTCGGCCGCCACTCTTTTACCAAATAAATATAGATGAGCCGAGGTTAAAGCCGGTAGAGGGATGTCTGGGGTTAAGTACACCCTCGGTGAGAGCGAACATGGGAGTGTGCATATTTCATGCCTTTGCCGCTCGTAAACCCGACCTTTTTCAGGAAAGCGCCAACAGTGTTTAATGTTTTATTACTTTCCAGTTGGTGTAAACTGGAGATAGATGTCAGTGTCCACAGAGATGATGTGAAAGAATTGAGGGAAAAAAAGGTAAAGCGAAGAAGTTAGATCTCTATTTTTATTTGAAACCACCAACTGTCATGTTAGCATCGTGGCTAATGATAGCAACGTGGTCGGTAGGTCCGTCTTTGTTTGTTTTTTGTTTTAACATTTGGTTAAAAATACAACTTATGGTCCTAAGAGGGTAAAGTTATAATTTGAGAGATTTCCTGACTTCATCTAGACACCAGGGTCAAACAGTCATGCTAACATGTTAAATATCGCTACGTGTTTGATGCTAAAGACTAGCATACTAGCATGTAAACTAGCTAGCTAGCCTCAGCTGTTAGAAGACCAATTCTATCCTCCCGCTGATGAAATTAAATACTCTAATAGTGACTGTAATAATCATTTCATCCCTTTTTTATTTCATAACATGGCAAATCGATGCTAAAAAGAAATGTCCCAAAACCAAATCGGTGTGTGACGTTATAAAATCTTCTAATTATGCTATAAAACCTTTCAAGGCTTAAAGTTTATTGATATTCATACTTTATTTTTGGTTATTTTATTAGAGAAGTCCTGATTCGGTAAGATATATTTTGCTTATTTACTTGTCATATTTCTCTTTCCTTTGAAAAGTTTGACAAGAGAAGAAAAATTGGGTTTTGCAGAAAAGACCCCTGAAGGAAATAACAAAAACAGCTTTTGGGGCATTGCTAACTCACTTGAGGTATTGCATCAGCACAACAAAAAAATGATATATCTGCAAATCGTTTTTAATGTCAGCCTCAAATTGATTGTCTTAATAATCTCAGCGTTCACAGAGAACGGCTGTTACAATTCCCCTATGCTGGCCCAAATATAATGTATTTATTATTATCACATTAAAACAACAGACTTTAAAGAAAAGCAGCAAATGCTCACACTGGACTCAAAACACAATTTGCATAAATTCCCAAGGCCCAAACCATTGGTGCCAACATGTCAATCTCAAGCGCACCCACACATCCAATAACAAACTGTGCATCGTTATTCTTTTCCTCCAACTCCTCCCTCCCCACACCTCCCCCTTCACCTTCTCTGAGACAGTGGTCCTCTGCAGTTGAGTGGCTCTCCTCAGCATGCAGACACCACCAGGACGCCGCTGCCACAGCAGTCGCTCTGGTCCAGCCACGCCACTACCGCCCCCCATCGCCCACGAAGGTGTTCGGTCCACAGGGGCACCTGAAGTGGACGCGGCGCCTGTTTCTGATGTGTGCGTCTGCGAGGAGCCAAACCAGGGTCGCGACCCGGGAGAGCTGAAGGAGAGAGGAGTTTAGGGATGAGTCCACCTGCAGCCTTCTGGCTGCTGCTGCTGTTTGCTGTCCGGTCATGTAAGGTAAGTAGATGCTCCCCACCCAAATCCAGCTTGATGTGCAGCGATAAAGACTAATTTAAATTCTTGCTTTGTTAAAATAAAGTCCTCTCTTTTTCATAAAATTAACATTTTTAAACCCTAAATATTTGACTTTAAAGCAAATCAAAAAAGTGAAGTTTGGTGGTAGTAAAAAACATGCCCTTGTGTGCATGAAAAATGCATTTATATCTCCAGAGAAGCACACCTTCTCAAAAAATCCCATTTGCTTTTGCGCTATATCTTTCTGAGCCTTTTTCTACAATGTGTCAAAATAAATGAAAGGCCGCATGCATCGACAGCATGAAAAAGACTCAATGAATATAACGTCTGCTGCCAGAGGAGTTCTGCCAGCGTCTCTGACTTCCAGTCACTCCTAAAATGATCAAGAATTCCCTTTACTGGGTTTCGTTCTCATCTTTTTCTTTGATTGTGGGTTGTGACGTGTAATCATTATGGCTCCTTGTTTGGGTCTCAGGCTTTCTATACCCTTCTGTGCTGTATTTTACAACTTGTGGTTTGTGGTTTTGCCCTGTGAAAACATACTATTATTTTTTGTAATAGCAGCAATTGCAGTGAATACTTCCTAGAAATGAAATGGAAGAAACAGAGACCATAAATAAAAGCCTGAAGGCGATTCACACTGATCAGTAGTCACTCTATTGTGGCCCTCCATCTCCTGCCAACCGTGTTAGCCCCTAAGTGCTGCTGATTGAAATATTCATGTTAGTTCAACGTATTCGCTGAAGGGCTTCTTATGTATAATCCATGTGCATCCTGGGGGTTCTCAGACAAGAACGCCCGAGCAACTGGTGATGAGAACAAAGGCCAATAAAACATTTAGTGACAGGTGGTTAAATAGTCGACGCAAGGCGGGAACCACAGAGCAGCCGTGGGTTCTTGTGCTGTAGTTGCAGTTTCACATTGTCGTCTGGTTGTAAAACCTCTCACGCATCAGCTTTTCACCCCAGTGTTCTGAGAGGTTTTTGGACCACAGGCTCCCTTTTAACGGCTCAAAAAAACCCTACCCAACATTGTTTCAGCAGCTCGATGCCTTTATGAGACATCCGTTCATAAGATACGCCACACAGTTTGCTGTGCGTTACTTCTGCGTGGGGTCTCTTTCTGTAAAGCAGGGTGGAATACAGAGATATTTATGCAGTTATTGGAGTTTAATGTTTGTTCACAAGAGGGGTCTCGTGGGTCTACTTGATCTCAAACATTAAGCATTAACAATGCATTGGGTCATATTTGCATATTGTCGCCTCCATCAAAGGTGCAGGCCCGGTTTGTTGGACTCCAAACAATGAGGAAGTAAAGCTAATGTGACAGAACAATAGAGACTAGCGACAGCTTCTTTTGGGGCTGAGCTAATGATTATTTTAATTAATATAAATTGGTTCCCCACCTAATTATTTGTTCCATGAATTGTCAACAAATGGTGAAAAATGGCATAATTCCAGAAAAATCTTAATTTTATTCTCAACCAGAAAATATTTATTATCTCATGTGACAGAGAAAAATATGAACTCCTCACAACTAACTAACAGAGGCTGCAATTAGTGGTTGAAATATGTGATGTAAAAATAGCTTTTATCATTAACTTTTGTCTTTGCAAAGGGACCAAAAACATTTGATTTGAGTGATGTGTGAAATTTGAAGCTCACAAAGCTGCAGATTCATAAATCCGTGCTTCCGTTGTGTCACATTCTGATATGATAAAGTTAAGTTTCATTCATGTTGTAGACAAAGTGTGCAAACAGACCCACAAACACCGGGTTCATCGTGTTCACTGCGCACAATCAGTGTGTCGGGTGGAACTGGGACACCGCTGCAGCAGATCTACAAGCTCCTTTTGATCTGCAGTCCCTTGGCAGGTTGACATACAAACACCCTATAATACTCTACTGGCACATCGGCTCGATGTTATTTTGGGAATTTGTTGTCACCATGGAAACGCTGAAAGGCACAAATCAAATAAATCATTATCCGAACATCTTGTACTTCATCTCAGGTTCGGTTGGACTGAATGCGAAAGCGGCTGATGCGGCTTGAGGCTCGGGAAGGTTTTCCCACACGGGGGCAGCGTTGCTTCAGTCATGTCAGGCCAGATTATTGGGCTTTAATGTAGTAGTTTGCATTGACACAATATGTAGAGGAAAATAGAGAGAAGCCGAGAGGAAAAGAGAGAAATGTGCTCCCGTGCTCATTGAGTGTGTGAGGGAAATATGGAGACAAACGAGGGAAAAAAGGCAGGAAACGGAGAAAAGAAAAGCGGATACATATTTAGCAGGTTTTTGTTATCTTACTTCCTCCATTGTCCGATTGTTCATTCAGGAAACATTCGGTTCGGGAGGAGAATGTGCTCATTGGATGGAGAAGTTGAGAGAATAGATGAGAGCATCAGTGAATGCGCCGATGACGAGTGTTCAGAGAGAGGAGAGGGAGGGAGGGAGGGAGTGTTAAGGGAGAGCGCAGGGAGTTAGTGGATAAATGAGACAGCAACGCTGGCTCAGCCACAGCTTCTCACTGCCAGGGGAAGGAAGGAGTCCAGGAAACGCACACACGCTCGCACACTGATGCGTGCAGGAGCATCTCCGCCAGCCTGAGCGGAGCCGCTGGATGTTTGGGCTTCACATGGAGACATCTGGAGTGACCTGCGCTCCGGGGTTTATCCTCTGACCTGTGGCGGTGCGGTAGAGGAGACTTTGGCGGTGGGACGATCCCGGCGGTGTGGAGGGTTTCTTTTGGAGGAGGTGGTGGTGGTGGTGGGGGGGGGGTTCTGGAGCTGAACACTCGCAGGCGTGAAGGGCAACGATTTAGCATGACTGCCGTGAAGAGTTCGGACTGCGTGTGAGAAAGAGCCAGAGTTTCTGTGTGTGTGTGTGTGTGTGTGTGTGCGTCAGGATGAGCGTTCCCATGTTAAAGATCGGCGCGGTGCTCAGCACCATGGCCATGGTAACTAACTGGATGTCCCAGACTCTGCCATCGCTGGTCGGACTCAACGGAACCGTCATTTCCTCCGAGGGCACGCACGAGCGGATCGTCAGTGTACGTATGCTGGAGACACACAATACAGACACACACCATGCATGAATAATTGCTCTCCCACAGACAAGAGATGTGCCTTTTTTGGTCACCTGAAGTTCCCCTTCGCTAGTATGTAGGAGTTATCTTGTGTTCTCAGTCGCATGCTTTGTGCGCATCGACACTCTGTCTCCGTGCACCTCAATGCACGAGGTCTCTAGTGGGACGTTCTTTGCATTGGATTAGATTTATCTAGAACTGTTGTGGACTGCAAGTCAAAATCTAGGGATCAACACATTGAGAAACGTTTTGGCAGCATGCAGGAGATGTTTCATCTGCCCGTTGGTGCAGAAAATAGAGAAAAAAGAATTTAAAAAGATGCTTAGCACAGATTTAGATCAACATCTGCAACAAAAAAAAAGAAGAATTTGCAAATAAATCAATGATATTCTCTGTTTATATGTGTCATAAAGAACACATGTACAGTATGCACCAACGGCTACACACAAACACACACAATATGTAGTAAATATTATTCCCAGAGATGTCCGACTCACCTCAGCGGGACAGCCGGAAATTCGTTGCCTTGGCAACACGTTGACATGTAGATGCCGGACCGATGCACATGCATGACCACTGACTCGTGTGTGTGTGTGTGTGTGTGCGCGCGCTCGGGCTCTTGCATGATTTAGCTTTCCGGCTCAGGAGGCTCCTCACAGCTGCTATGTGGCGGCCCTTTGCAAGTTCAGCAAAGTGCACGTAGACGCCTACACACATCAAAAAAAATCAACACACACAAGATCTGGCTGAGGACATGTGGACTTGTCATAGGTACAGTATACAGTATATATATATATATATATATATATATACATTACTTTCTGCCATCTACTTTAGCATTTATTCCTAAAGTTTAGTTATGCGTTGTGACTTTTTATCCATTACTTAAAGCAACATGTTTAGACTGGCTGCTTGTTAAATAGGTTCCCATAGAGATCAGGTTACAGGCTTAATGCGTCGATGTGGTTATTCAATCAAATTGATTTTTAAATCTACTCCTCGATCCTTCAATGGACCCTTCGGCATTAAAAGGGCTGGCAAAATAGTCCAAGAATTACTCCCATCTGAAACAACACAACTATTTCAATACCTCTTTATAACTAAAAATGATATGAAATCAGTTTTATTGCATTGTTTCCATTTTAATGTCCTCACTGGTCTCATTTTGAGGCGTTTCTACTCATCCCCGGGGATGAATACGTAGCTGTTTGGTGAGCGTGAGATGAGGAGTCGCTACTCCTTCCTGGCAAAAGGAGTCAGCTTGCCCAACTGGTAGGAGACCCCGGGGAAGACCTAGCACACGCTGCAGGGATCACATCACCCACTGGCCCTGGGAACGCCTCCCCGACCCCCCACAATGAGCTGGAAAATGACACGGGTGAGAGGGAAGCCCGGGTCAGCCTGCCGGGCCTGCTGCCACGGCAACTCCATCCCAGATAAGTGGATGGAAAAGGATGGAGACGAGGGGTTATCTACACGATACCTACTAGGACCTAAAAATGGCTGCAGCTGCCTTTGGGGAGAACACCGGGAAGCTGGAAGTGGTCCCGTCTCCGGTCCGATCTCGAGCGCAGAGCTTACGAGACGCAACGCACGGCTTGTTTCCTCTCTGCCGTCGGCTTTTGTCGTTCAGTTTGACCCAACGTTACATTTCCTTCTCAATCGATGGAACTGCGACTGCACCACGCGGTGCGTTCAGGCGGGCTGCGAGAGCCGCGGCCTCCGCTAAGCGTCTCTCTCTCTCTCTCTCTCTCTCTGTTTGCACTGATCACAATCAGCGAGTAGATTTTTATCATCTTTCCCTTGTGCGAAATGAGCCCTGAGGTGCCTTATGTCCTCCTCTGTTTAATTACATCGAGCAGTGGGAACAAACGATGCTTACATTCTCATCACATTCTCGTCCTCCTGTTTACCCTCCCGCCTCCTCCCCCCGCTCACACCCGCCACCGTCAGCGCTATCGTAAATGGGACTTCAAGGTTACCACACCAAGCCCAGCTGATTGATTTACGTTTCCAATTGGACGTCCCTCTCTTCCCCTCTTCCCCCCTCTTCTTCCTCCCCCTCCTTTGCCTCCTCTCTCACGCCTCAACCCCCCCAGGCCTCCTCCTGTGTCGTTGTTCTTCCTCCTGGTTTGTGGGGCAGCTCCTAAATGTTAACGGGGCTGTAAGTGGGTCGAACTGAACATCTGCATGTTTGCTGAATTAATCACTTCTGAATTGGGTCCAACGTTCAGACCTGTGGGAACAATGGCCGCCGCCTGAGTCCTACCTAATGAGCTCCCAAATAACCCGCCAGAACACTCGGAAGCACAATAGTTGTTTTACAAATATTCCTAAATGTGGACCGCAGCCTGCAGACAACTCGATTTAAAACCTGCAACAGTGGATTCGGCTACTTTGAGGCAACAAACTGCAAAAACACAACGCGACATTTGTGCCACCTGATGAATTTTAGTACAATCTTGACTCTCTGTTTCCTCTGGTTTTGGTCTCCACCAACTCCTGACCTGCTTTGCTGCTTATCCGCCAAAGGCTCCGCTCTGTCTATACCAGCTTTGACCAGAAACAAGTGCAATTAGCACCTTCGTACACTAAAAAAATTCAGATAAACATAAAACATTTCTGTTCTTGCTTCCATTCGTCACGAGTTGAAATAAAAGATTTAAGATCTAAGATCTCAACACAAAAGATCTCCCCTTGCTAAGATCCCGCGTGCAATTAAAACAGCGTAATTATCACAGCGGTAACTCTGAAATGAAGTGATTTATCAGCTGCTGAACTATAACGAGGGCCACCGATAAGCACTCTTCTGGTCACCACCAGACTAGAGGAGGGGGGGGGGGGGGCTTGGGAGGCTGATTGGTTTTACAGCCTAATTCTCCAAATGACATTGGGGGCGGCTAATGGGAAAGAAATTAACATTTAGTGCACGGGCAACGGCTCCGGTGGACATCGCCGCAGTCAGCGTCACGCCCTCCGACATCTGTTGCGTTGTGAGATGAAGCCCCGCGGCCCAGAGCCCCTTCGGCGTAACCGTGGCGTTTAATCGGCGTCCTGATGCGCCGCACCTGTCGGACGGTTCGGCGATATTAAGTCACGCAGATTCAAACAAATTTCCTGCACAACATTTATTTTGTGAGCGTGGGGAAAAGAAGAGAGAGAAGGATTTACTCGTTCCATTCTTAGCTTTCACAATAAACCCCCCCCCCGACGTTTACACTGTGTAAATGTAAACCAGAAGGAACTCAAAGCCACTCGGAGCGTTTTCTGAAATGAAACGTTATGAAATGAAAGCCCACAGGGCCTCAGGCTTTGCAACAAGTGAGACAGACTGAAAGGTTTTAATAGAAAATCTTCACAGGCACATGCATGGGGGGGGGGGGGGTGAGGACATAGCAGCAGATTTTGAGCTGCACCCAATACCTGATTTAGACACAGCTGTCCGTGGTGCAGTACGAGCATGATGAAATGCAAAGAGCACGCACTCTCCTTTGTCGCACGAAGGGACGCTAAAATCACAACATGCTCCACAGGAAGAGCTCCTCGAAACCCTGCTTCCGATTCACCAGTGAGGTGGAAGTAGAAGGAAAGGAAAATATTTGTCTTAATAACATCCTGAGATGCCGGTCAGTTGTATGACTCATTTGAAAAACACAACCAAAAAATAGGACATGTAACCTCTTCAAGGTCCTTGAATTATAGCTTCAATTTGGCTTCAAAGAGGCACAGCATAACTCACGGCCTCATTATTGCGCATTGTTATTTCCGTTGCATTGTCACACGTGGTACTATTATTCCTGTCGTGGCCCCTACGCCGATACAGTGTGTGCCTATTTAACACGTACTGCGCCGGAGCTGAACGCCTGGAGGGAAGCAGGACCTGGCGGATGTCGCTCAGGGAAACATATTCCTCTAGTCGCTCTCCAGTGTTCGTGGCGCTGATGGTGTTTGCACATGGGTGAAGCATATTTGATGAAATTACAGGATGAAATCTGAGCGAACTGTCTCATTTTGGTCCAAATGAAGTGGATGGAAACGGGCCCATTTCATGAATCAGATCCAGCTCCGATCATTTAGAGGTAGCCGGGGACGAACTGTTCATCAGTGGAAATTACAAGCTTGGCAATCATATTACACAAAGTTCATGTGAAACAAGTAATGCTCACTTTGCATTAGCTATTGATTATTTTCTCCTGTTAATTAAGTTATGTCGCTCGGATATCAAAAAGTCCAGTAGTTATAGAGCCCAATATCACAAATATGGCAATGACAAACGCCAGCGTCCATGGTAACTTTCCTTGTTTTGACGACGCAGAGATGTTTGATTGGATTTTTATTACTGGTTTTAGAGGCTGGAATCTTTTCTTCCATTATCCCCATACCGATTATGTAATCACCAAGACTTTGACATATGTATTGTATTCATTGAACGCAGTAAGTGGGTCCTGCAGGAAATGTATTCAGAATATATAAGATGGAATGTAAAACCCAGACGGAAATGCATTAACAAACGTCTGTGTTTTGAATTGAATTAACGTGACTCGCATGTGCGCTTTCGCCAAAAGCCGACTAACAAATAATAACTGTGGCTCCGCTGACCTCCTGTTCTGTGTGGGGGGGGAGGCCGTGGGCCTCCTCCCTGCTCCTCCTGCACTGACTCCCCAATGACTCTGTGTGCAGGGTTTGTACCCGGGCTCCGAGGAGGGCTGGCAGGTGTACAGCACGGCTTCGGATCCCGACGGCAGGTGTGTTTGCACGGTGGTCGCCCCGGCACGAAACCTCTGCAAACGAGACCCCCGGAGTCGACAGCTACGCATCCTGACTGAGCAGGTGTGTGTGTGTGTGTGTGTGTCCTGACTCTTGAGTGCACGCCCCCCCCTGCATGTTTCATTGGTCGAGATTGCGATGCAGCGCGGGGGAAAGACAGCTCACCGGAATGAAATATTCACCGGGCCGTCTCTTTGTTTTGACGCTCGCAGAAACAGACACGTTTTCACGAAGAGACACGTTTTCACTGAGCGACGTATGCAGGACACATCTGTATCTGCATCCTCCAAACACGCTAGAAAAGGGTTCAAACTGACACATCTGCATAAGAAGATGCAGCTCTGCGTGAGCGTTTTTTCCCATGCAGGAATGTTTAAGAAGCTCATGCTTCCGGCTGCGTCATCACATTTATTGCGTCCCGAGAGACGTAATAAAAGTGATTTGTGACGCTGGCTGGTGAATAATTGAGTATGCGCCACGTACTCGCACATTGGAGACGCGTGCATCCCGTGTTCTCGCCAAAGGAAAAGGTGAGTCGTATCACACTAACGATGACAACATGAGGGTTATTTTCATTCTGTGCTGAGGTTGCACCCCGTGCTCACGCCTCACACAGAAAGCTGCGTGAATTATCTTCCCCTTCCTCCTCCTTCTGTTCCTGTTGGGAGGCTCCTGTATTTATGAATCTTAATTAGCTCAGCACGTCTCTGGAAGTGACACCTTGATCCCACTGTGAGAGTGATTACTGTGTGTGTGTGTGTGTGTGTGTGCTCCTCTGATGGTTTACGCGTGTTTTGCTGTGTTACATATGTTTGTTTGCATATCACTTCTGCATATGTGGGTCATTTTTTTAAAGTGCATTATCTGTTTTCTTCTGGTGCTTAAAATGAAAATGAGCTCTGAAGTATGCGTCAGCGGCTCAGGTTGCTTAATGAGAGGAAGCGTGGGAGGGTTTGTTTCTTCGCTTGCGTTAAATGGATCTAATGAGAAGCTTCTTCAAAGAGAAACCCGATGAGTGTGACTTTGGCGCCGTCGCGTTCTCCAGCCGATAATATCAAAGGGTCGGTTGACCCCAAACAAAGGATGCGCAAAACTTTTCCTCACACGCTCGCACTTCGATGTGTCCCTGAGGTTTCTGCTGCCTCTCCTTTGAAGAGATGAGGTGGCTTTACTAGATATCATAAAGGTTCAGGAGTAATCTGGCTTTCCAGACTCAGATCACAGGGAAGACATTTGTGCTCTTCAGAGGGTGGATTTTTATGACTTTCCTTGAAGCCTTAACTTGTCTCCTTTCCTCATAAGGTTGACATTTTTAGTTCATGCTGAAATATATATAGTGGGTTATATAGTGGGTTCATATATATATTCATACCGACACACGTTGATCCCTTGAATTTGAATCTTCACCACTGGGTGAAAATTCTCATTTGCACAACACTTTACACCAAAGCTTGAGCTGTAAAGTGTGTATTACATTGTTATTATTATTGTATTTGATGCTAATTAGTAAAGGCTGAACTAATGCTAAATAACACACGTAAAATATATATTTTTAACCACCCTTTAAATATTCCATCAAATCAACACTCATATACATATAAATAAAAAAATAGGGAGAAATCAGAGTAATAATATATAATCAAATCAACGTCCGGCTGTGCGTGTGTGTGTGGGTCTGTGTGTGTGTGTGTGTCAGGTGCAGAATGTGAGTCAGTCCATGGAGGTGGTGGACCTGCGGACATCCAGAGACCTGCAGTACGTCCGAGACTCGGAGCCCCTGCTGAGAGGAGTGGACGGACGTTTACACACTCACGTCGCCAACCCCTACAGTCTGACAACCAGGGGCCTGCAGGTAAACACACACACACACACACACGCGCGGTGTAAGACAGTCGCTGTAGGGAACACATAACCTTTGGTGTGAAAAACATTGATTTCACGCATGCCAAGCTGAAGGTTCCTGCTCGCGCTCAGACACGCAAGCATCTTTCATGAAGGGTGGGGGGGGGTGTTCGTCTTGAAGGGTCACATGGCCTCCAACATCATCACATCACAATATTGCTACGTGAAACTAACGCCCCAAAGCCGAAGGAGAACACTTGAAGCGTAGCGTTTTTTTCTGGGAAGAGAAGAGAAAAAGAGCGTAATAAGCTGTCTTTTATTCAGGGAAATCTTAATGCGTCGGACTTCTTATATTTGGAGTATTAATCTCATCCGTGTGTGTTTCCTGCCGCGGTGCCGCCGGCAGGCGTCTCTGCCAACTACATAAAAGAAAGACTGCAGGCAATCTGAAGATTATCTGTGGAGCTGTGGAGAGTGGAAGGATGTGAGGAACGAGGAGCGAGTGATCCAAACACTCAAATCAGCTGTGACGCTGCTTGTTTAATGTCTGCTGGTGGCGGCCGAGGACTCACAATGACACCGGTGGTCTTATTGGGTCTTGGACTTGATAGTGAAAAGTGGGCTGAATGTGGTTGAGAAGTCTTTTGGGGATACATGTTATAGGTGTTTGACAGCATTCTATATTTCATTTATTTTTCAGCCTGTAGTGAGGACATGCGTCACATTTTCAACTAAATTTGGATCGTGTTCAAACTCGATGTCTTTTGATGTGCAAATCACCATTTCAGAGCTCACCGGGTCCCGCGAACATTTTTTGGCCGGACTTCAGACTCTGAGCGTAATGATGCGGTCGGACCAGATTGTTATTCCCTTCAGTAAGGAAGGAGGCAACGAGAGTCACTTCTGCACTTTAATTAAGTCAGAACTGGTTCAATGTGAGCTCACATGAGATGTAATAAACGTCCCGAGTAACCTCGGAGTGGCCTTTAATGCTGGCGTCAGAAACAGAAAGGCCATAAATACAGTGGAAGCAATAAAGGGACTCGTATTGGTTTTATTTGACACCGCGTCTCTCCTCAAAGCTGTTACGCTAATCCATTGATGGCTTTAGCGACATATAACAGTTTACGGCTAACGCAACAGAGACTCCTTTTACAATTCAATTACAGCCTCATTAATACAAACGTTATCAGGCCGGGGCATCGGCCGGAACAACCGGTAATGAACCCGCTAAACAATTCTTCCCAGATCCGGAGAATCACTGCAAGCTCATTGATTTAATGCGACATGTGGTCGGCTGGATATCGCAGCAACTACAACCGCAAAGGGTTCTGACGGTGCCGCCTCGAGGGGCCCGGTACCGTTACCTGGTTAGAGAATAATATGCCAGGTTTTTAAAGGCATCAGATGTCATGTGACCTGGACTGATAGGAGTCTAAAAAACAAACACACACACACACACACATGCCTCCCTTCTCCAAATAGAGAGTGTTTCTGCCTCCCCGTAAATCCATTCTGCCTTTCATCTTCTGCCGAGCATCTTCTTAACAACATCGCAGGGCTCAGGGGTCTGTTTTTAAGTTTTCATGCAGTTAGCTTATGTGTGTGTGTGTGTTTATCTGGGTGTGTGTGTGTGTGTGTGTGTGTGTGTTGCTCCTTGGGGGTTTGCACAGTCATAAGCTTTTGCCTTCGTACTGAGCGGCAGAACTGGTGAATATTGATGCGACGTGCAGCTACAGTGGGTTCATCAATAACCAAACAGTGTTTGTGTCCCTCAGGAGGAAGGAAACAAGGGGGACGGAGGAGAGGAGGTCAAACCGAGACATTAAGACGGGCTCAGAGACGGAGGTTTGGATGGAGGAGTAATGGGGGGAGGGGGGACATGGAGAGGAAGAGATGGCTTGTTGCTTATTACCATTTTCCCTGCAGGAGGGAGGCGCGAGAGGAAGGAGCAAAGGGGGGTGAGAGGGGAGGTAAAGGTTAGGCAGAGAGAGGGGGGGGGATGAAAGAGTGAAACCGGAGGGGAGAGATTAGAGGGAGATTAAGATGAAGGAGGAGGACACTTTGCAGGGGGGGGGATTAACTAGGTAAAGTGTTTATTACCATTTAACGGACCGTGACATTTTGCAGCATTTTGCAGGGATTGATGTTGACGCTTATTAATACATTTACAATTACGTACGAGTGGCGATGCCAGAAACAGAAGCCAGAGGTCCCGATGTGGGGATGTGAGGGGAGGGGCTGACTGCCAACTCGCTGTGAGGTGTTCCGACGTGATGATACGGTTTTGGTCTTCTTCTTTTGACACTTCTTTTAATCCTGGGATCCAACCCGGCTCTTTGCTCACAGCAAACTGTTCCTGTGGGATGAAACGACGTCAGAGTGTCCAGACTTAAAACGGGGAAACCAAAGTGGTGTTTTGGGTCATTTATGAGGCACATGTCGGGGCATATATTGCACATTAAATATGAATCTTTCTTCGAGTGGAATAAGTTCACTGTGTCAAAAAACAAAATGAATTGAACAAAAACAACGGTAAAATGAAAATAAAGAGCTGCCTTTGGCGGTCTGATGTGTGGAGGCTCAACGTGGTCCGTCAGGTCCCCTCCTCTCTGCAGAATGTAGGGATTAAAAACACATCAAAGGAACCGGCTAATTGATTTGTGTGTGGGCCTTTTTTAAAATATATTTTTATATATTATTAAGGGAAATAAAAGGGAAAGCACCTGATCACTGCTGCTCTGGTGCTGATTGGAGATCTGCACCAGAAGCACAGGACAGCAGCTCAGGCTGATATTATAGGATCACAACACCAGTGTAGATGTGAAGGACTCAATGAATATATTTTGCCCAAATGAAGAAAGGTTTAATTTAAAAAAGAAAAGAGGAGGAGAAGAAAATGAACCGTTTAAAAAGTTTAAGATTCATTCATCATTCAGATTGTACTCGCAACAAATCCTTTTTTTATGAATAATGAATAACAGAGCTGGTGCTTTTATTCCTGTTGCTGCAGGTAGTTTGTCGGACACTATTTGAATCACACAGTGACATTCATTTTTAGAGTAATGCTTGTTTCCTGCGACCTGCATATTTCTGGTTATAAAAAAAACAACGTCCACATCCAAGTGGAAGCCTCCTCAGCAGATCAACATCTGGCTCCGGAGGGAGGAGTGAGGACCTGAAGCTCTCTTCATCCCCACCCTGACCGATTAACCCCTTCTGTCTTTAAGGAGCTGAAGGGCCAGATGTCCCAGCTGCGACCCCTCCTGTCGGTGGTGGAGCAGTACCGGCTGGATCTGCAGACGCTGGCCGCCCTGCGACTGGAGCTCCTCAACCTGTCCGTCGTCCTGACGGCCATTCAGGAGGAGATCGGGGCGTACGACTACGAGGAGCTCCAGCGGAGGGTCCTGCTGCTGGAGACGAGGCTGCACGGCTGCATGAACAAACTCGGTATTGACGTGGGGAACATTTGAGGGAATATCCCTGATGGGGCAGGAGACGTTTCTTCTAGTAAATTCTTTTGGCGCCAGCCTGTTTTACTTTGTGGACGTCATGTAGTTTCAGGTAAATTAAAATAAGGTCAACAAACTGGCCACGTGATCTCGACAGGCCACATCGCTCACTCCAATATGAGCTTCACTATATATGGAAATATCTGATTTAACGCGCCGCGTCCGTCCTTTTGTTCGCAGGTTGTGGTCGCCTGACCGCAGTTAGTACCCCAATCACCGTGCGAGCCTCGGGGTCCCGCTTTGGCTCCTGGATGACTGATGCAATGATTCCCAGCTCCGACAGCCGGGTAGGTGAACTCTGTGTGTGTTTGTGAGACGCAGTGCTGGCCTAAATGGTATTGTTGATTGTCACAGTCTTCAACCAATCGGATCTTTATTTTGGGCGTATTCTTTGGCGTTAACGGGCGCCCTGATTGGTCCGTGGGCCGGCGTGACTTCTGTCAAACAGGAAGCCAGCTAGCAGATCTTGTTAAAGATCTTGTTAAATAAGATTTCCGGTTGAACTTTGTTAAATAGTGAACCGCTTTTCCTAATTGAACTGCTTTTGTGTTTTTACAGCTACAGTTGCATGGTCATTTTTCCATCATTTTAAATGTCACATTGTTATTTTATGGAACAAATAATGACCTGCAACTGGCGTCGTGATAAGGTCATTCAGCCTTGGTGAGACGGCACAGAAGGTCCAGGTAGAAGATGCACGGCCCGCCGCTGACACACAGTGAGTCAGCGGTTGTAAACGTGGTCAGAAGGTGGTTAAGCGCTATATTTCCTTTCATGCATTTGTCTCTCCCCCCCCCCAACATGACTCCCGGGTCACTTTGTCTTCTCTCGCTAGAAAGCGTCGCCCCTTTCCTGCACACACACACACACACACACACACACACACACACACACACACACAGGGCCCTTATTGCGCTAGTTGTCAAGGCGACTGTCTCCCAGTTGCCAGGTGTGATTTGTATCGCCATGGTGACCCTTGCCTGTTCCCTATTAGTGCCTCTCCTCGGTGATGAGAAGGGGCTGTGTACAGCAGCAGCAGCCTTTTGTTTCCCAGTGACCGTGTGACTGTCTCAGTCTCGGGTCTCGGTCCCTCGTCCCAGCGTCTGTTTGCTTGTTTGTTCAAAGACTAGGACGCCTTTTCTCTCTTTGTGTTAATGTGCACTACACACATTCAGTAAACAAGGAAGAGAAAGTCAAAAGATGTAATTTGCAGAAATCACTTTTCAATCTTAAAGGAATCCTGTGCAGCTCTCTCGTAAACAAACTTGTTATTTTTTGATTTAGTGTTTATCGCTGACATTTCTAAGGAAAGTTGTACGTGCAGCGATACGTCTCTGCAGTGAACTTGATGCGGTACGTTTCTCTCTCTCAATAAATCCAAACACAAATAAAAGCAGTGTTTTCTCGGATTGAACACGTAGGTGCAGGTGACAGCATTTCATAAGGTCGTGACGACAACGCTGCGTTCGAACTACGAGCAACGACTGCGTTTCATCACAAACCGGTGACATTGAGCTACAAAGTGAGGATTATTTTTAATATTTGTCTGATAAATATTTTCTTTATCAGTTAAAATAAAATCCTGCAGATCGTCAACATGTATGTCATCAGTGAAAGCTGTTTGGCACCGGCGACACACACAGACACACTGTAGATCCTTCTCATACATCTTTTGGTATCCATGACTACAGCGTCTGCACAGTTTGGCATTTATGAATTCTTTATTAGCTCGTCAGTGTTTTGTGCTTTGTGCACACATTGTAACTCGCACAGTCGCACGCACGCACACACCTGTCGCTGTCTTTGAGAACAGCTGCTGAGGTGTGGATGTCCTCCGATCTGTCAAGATGTCTCTGCCGGAACAACAGAGGGAGGTAAAGAAAGAAGGAAGAGAATTAAGTCGGCTGGTGAAGAGGTGTGAAGCAGGAAAAGAGTGGGTGGACAGAAAGAGGAAGAAATGGAGGAGGGGGGGGGGGCTGATTAAAAGAGCTGCAGTCGGGACGGACAGGACGGATGGTGTGAAAGCAGCATGGGAGGCTTCATCAGTCTGAATCAAACGCATGGTTGTTTAACTTCGGCCTGCGTCGACACACGGTTTCAGGTCTCTACATTCGCTAATGATCAGTCAATGAAGTAAGTTGCGATTGTAGAAAATAACACTAAATATGAGCACAGAACCAGAGCTGTGGTCTCAGTTCTTCACCTTTAACCGTCGTGGTGTTGTATCAGGACAGACGGAATCGGTTCCTATCCACCAGGCCGGTGTGGAGCAACAACTCCCGGCTCACTTTCCGGAACGGTTGCATAATCAGCGTCTGTGGCTTGTTTACATCGAGCATGTGGAGCGTCTCAAATGTGAGACGATTACAGCTGCCGGGAAACAAAGGGACCCCACGTCCTTTGGAACGCAATTTTAAAGGGAATTATAACATAGAGGAGCTCCATCAGATTAGCTGGTGGAGCAGGAAATGGTTGGAACTAGCAGCGTTTGGAGGAGAGAGGGAGGGAGAGAGCAATCGGGATCGCGAAACCTCGAGTCAAGCCTCGGTTAAAAACTGTTATTGAAGACCCGCAGAATCACGGCAATCAGCTGCCTTTGTCTGAATGAATTCTACAACTTCTACTTCTTCTACATTTGATGTTTTTAATTGTGCTGCCACCAGCGACTGCAGCGATTTCCTTTCCTTTGACCCACGACACCAAGGGCTCCTCTTGGTCGGGTCCGTCTCTCCTGGCCTCTGCTCCTCTCTGCTTGAGGGGAGAATGATGCGCATCTTTTCCCCCGAATGCGCTCCTTCTCCCCCTCTCCCGCTCTCTCCCTCTCCCCCTCTCTCCTTCTCCCTCTCTCCCCCTCTCCCGCCAGCGCTCTCTGCTCTCTTCATCTGTTTTACCCCTCGTCCCTCTTTGGCTGATTCATCCTCCGCGATGGCGATGCAAAAATCCCCCCCCCCTCCGTCCCCCCTCCGTCCTCTTGCTCCTCCGGGGACGCCTGAAGACTATGGAGGATGGAGGGACAGGACCATCCAGCTGGTTTTATTAGCTGAAGCTGCGAGCTGAAGCCCCTCAGCAGTCGGTGACTCACGCAGAAAATAAAATGAACTAATTCGCCTATTCTCATTACAGTAAAAACTACTGGCTGGTGTGAATTCGCCCAATTACGATAACGAACAAGTAGTATTAAAATCCACCACCATAGAAACGTAGTTAATGCCGAGCTTAGGAGTAATACTGCAGGTTTTAGAAGTAACGCTTCCTGTGAATTTGCCAACTTTTGTGGCTCGACCAGCTTGTTTCTTTTTGTTTTTTTTTAAAAAGCACAACCCTCTGAGCTCATCGGATATCCCCCTCGCCACGGCCCCATGCACACCTCTTTGGCAGGTGGAGAAGTCCGAAGCCCGACCGACCTGCTTTGCGTCCGGTCACGGCTGCTAAGCTATGATCAGACGTGTAGAGAGAGAGAGTGGTCCGCTGTCACTGAGTTCACAGGCCTGAGCACGCAGCTTCTTCCTCCGTCAGGTGTGGTCGATGGACGGGTACTACAAGGGCCGGCGTGTGCTGGAGTACCGAACCATGGGGGACTTCACCAAGGGGCAGAACTTCGTGCAGCACCAGCTGCCCCACCCCTGGGCGGGGACCGGCCACGTGGTCTACAACGGGTCGCTCTACTACAACAAGCACCAGAGCAACATCCTGGTAGGAGGCTGGTCGCCGTGGAAACGCAGGAGGGGGGAGAGAACAGCAACGGCTGGAGAGGTGACCCGGGTACCTTGTCGTTGCAGGTGCAGTACCACTTCCGCTCCCGCAGCGTGATGCTGCAGCGCAGCCTGAGCGGAGCCGGATACAACAACACCTTCCCCTACAGCTGGGGGGGCTCCTCCGACATCGACCTCATGGCCGATGAGATGGGACTGTGGGCCGTGTACACGTCCATCCCCAACGCCGGGAACATTATGGTACGGTCACGGAACCAAAAAAACACAAAATGTGTGCAGATGGAAGCCACTGATGTGTTGGTTCCACTCTGGACTCTTTACCTTCAAGTCATAAACTCCCATTGCTTTTAAAAATCCATCAAAACAGCTGCGTGGAACATTGTGAGCTGTCATAATCGACACCAGGTGCTAACGTAGTTTTGCATAACCTGCCTATTTGATTATAATGACACAGCAAGTTTATCATTTCAGTGGAAAAACCTACACAAAAAAAAGAAAAATATACTAATATACACTGCCTATAATATATAAAAGAGATTGTACACAAGTACAGCATGTGATTAGGTGCAAAAGTCTCATTAAATTCAACAAACAAGAGATTATAGAAAAAGGAAATTTGGAGATTATTGTCTTACGCAGCAGCAGCCCCCCCTTCAATCGGTTTTTAATTGGATTTTTTTCAGAGGACAGGAAGTGTTTTGCTGTCTTTCCGTCTCTGAGCGCCTCGCTCTCTGCCCGCAGGTGAGCCGCCTGGACTCGCGCTCGCTGGAGGTGCTGCGGAGCTGGGACACGGGCTTCCCTAAGCGCAGCGCGGGGGAGGCCTTCATGATCTGCGGCACCCTCTACGTCACCAACTCCCACCTGGCCGGGGCCAAAGTGCACTTCGCCTACCACACCAACTCCTCCACCTACGAGTACACCGACATCCCCTTCCACAACCAGTACTCCCACATCAGCATGATGGACTACAACCCCAGGGAGAGAGCGCTGTACACCTGGAACAACGGACACCAGGTGCTCTACAACGTCACGCTGTTTCACGTCATCAGGAGCGACGGCTAGCTCGACGCAGAGTGAATGTAACAAGAAAAAGAAGAAGAAAAAACAGTTATTGTACGGACGGAATTGGTCATTACAGGACAATGCAACTTGCAACGCACAAATCACTCACTCAACACACACACACACACACACACACACACACACGGTTGGCCCATCATGTCAACACGGAAAAGATGACGTTCTGTGTTTGGGTGACTTGAAGCCGGCGACAGCTCGTAAGTAAGCGCACTAAAGGTCACACAGAGGTCGTGGCGGTGCAGAGGAGGATTGACGGAAAGGAGGCAGACGGTTGGAGCTCATCCGCGTTCTGCTGAGTTTCATCCCACGCGTGTCTCCAGGATGGATTTCGGACGTCGGGGGTTGCGTCGTACCCACAAAAATAAAATAAAAAAATCGGTTGCAGCTTGTGACTTGAATTCCAACCGGCTCCAAGCGTGGAGGAGGACCTGATGGAGATGTTCTGGGTTCGTGATGTGATCGTGGACGTGTTCAGTCAGCATGGTTGTTCCTTCAATAAACATTACTGTCAAACTTGGTCTGGACTGTCTTCTCTGTTCCGGGGCAGAGACGGTGGAGAGGTGAGGTCATTTGCCCTGAGAGAAAACAAAGGCATAAATGTAGACCGCGACATCCAAGACCCCCCCCAGTAGATTAGCTGTTGTTAAAGGCCCGATGACAATACGAACACTGGAGATAGCATCACCTCATTCATAGTCCCAATAGAGACGACCAAGCGAGTGGCCCCGGTCATTATAGTGTTTTTATGTGCTGCAAAAGAGAGCTCCCCCCCCCCCACACACACACACACATGTTGTAGATCCACAAAAGAGGTTCAGAAGAAGAAGAAGAGTATTTGCGTCTCACTGAGCATCAACGGACCCTGAGGGGGCTCGGCCACGGCTGGATCCACTTCTGGAGACACCACCAGTGGCCATTCTGTTGCCGTGGTGATGGTAACGACGTTGTGTCCGACAACAGGTCACACTTGACACATCCTCCCGCAGGATTTTCCCTCCAGCTCATTTTTTATTTAGAGACCTTTTAATGACTATAATAATGACATTTTTAAATGACAAAAATTGAATCGGAACCTCCTCACGCAGGTGCATTAATAACCGTGGTACCAAGGGGGGGGTCGATGCAATCTCGTGTGTCAATAAACTGTGAAGTTCACATGTTTCTCAAAGACTAGAAGCTCTCCTGAACAGGTGCGCCGCTGCACCTCTTCATTTCCTCTCCTATCCACCGTAATTAGTCGATTAAATCCTCAACGAGGCGACGCTCATATAATTACGGCGCTTATACAAACGCCTTAACCAGGTTTTCCATTCTCGCTTCAAGGTCGCGCCGCGAGGAACGACGGAGCCGGTTGTTAAAGCCACGTCCGGATCGATTGAATTAAATTGCGCCTCACTCTGGGCCCTGCGGGGGGGGGATGGCGAGGGGGGAGAGAGAGGGGAGGGGAGGAGGATGTCGACATCTCTCGGTAATAGAAAACAGCAGTCTGGTTCACGGCGCGTGGCCGCGCAGCGCTGTGTTCCTCTTTTGTAGACTACGGGTGTAAAAATGTGCTTTTACGATACTCGCAGGACCACATCGATACGCCGCTCGGCCTTCAACCTTGACGTCGACCCCCTGAGTCCTTCCCAATCACGACTCTTCTCCTCCCTCTTCGGGCCTCCAGCGTCCTTGGAGAGAAATGCTTCTCCTCAGTTTCTCCACATGTTTGTTTTGATTGATTCATATGTGTTAAAAGTATTAATCATCGCCGCCCTCGCCGATTTCTAACCGTCGTATCAGCTGCAGCTCTATTGAAGCTGATGAAATGCAATCAAAACACTTTTAATTTGTTTAGTTGGTGATTTGAAGAGATTTTTCTTTTCATATCTCCGCCATTTTATGCTCGATTAGGAAACGTGATCGGCTGTGACTAAAATAATAGCTTCTAGGTGAACAATCTCCGTTCCCATTAAATTAATACCAAATGACATCGCTCGCTTTTTTTTTTCACACGATATGAAAGTGTTCTTTGGGTCTGTAGGTGTTTAGCGTCGCAGTGTGATGCCGCGGCACACGCCTCACCTAACAAGTCCGTCTGCTCCGTGAGCCCATTGCTGCTCACTTTGGACACCGTCCTTTTTGTGGACGTCTCTACCGTTGTCTCCCTCTCTTTTTTTCCCTTCTCACTCCCCCTTGGTTTGCCACCTCCCTGCTGTCTCTGGCGAGGCCCGAGTCGCCTTGGCACTGTCCCCCCCTCCGGATCCCCTCCCTGGATCCCTCCTCCCCATCCATCACCATCCTTGGCTCAGATTTTCTGCATCGTGGAAGAGCTTCTCCGGAAGACCCGCCGGAATTCCACACAGGGACACGCAGTCATGCAGACAGACACACACGCACGCACACACACACACACGCACACGCTGCTTTCGTGCAAACACACACATCCTCAGACAAAACGTTGCCCGATGTATCATTTTTTACCTCCTCACTTATTCATCTCCATCCGTCCTTCAATCCATCGGCTTCGGCCCCCTGACTGATAAATAATTTACTTCTGTTAAAGGAGACCACCTAGGGGGGGCAGAGGGGTGGGGGGGACCGGAGAGAGCTGAGGAATGAAATCCCGACATGGAGGAGGAGGGACACGCAGACACACGACCCCGGGACCACGTCTTTAATTAATAACGGAGGGCCCGGGCCTGTTGGAGGACCGCGGCTGGATGAGGAGGAGGACGGGTCCCTTCTCCTGGATGAGAGGAGTGTGAGGGAGAAGAAGAGAGGCATTAGGTTCCACCCGAGCTGTTGTTCTATAAATAGAAGTCAGGGCGCATTGGGGAGGGGGAAGCAGCCAATTAGAATCAAGCTGCGCTGCCACTGGTGAACCCTCAGACACACACACACACACACACACACACACACACACACACGCACCTGTCAGACTGGCTGGCGTTGTCACCTGGATCATCTCTCCAGAGCTCCACGAGGTGCTGCACAAGTCGTCTGGGCCTGGGGGGGCGAGATAGCAGCAGCGAAATAACAAATTGTTTCACACGTTTTCTGTCTGGTTTAGATGCTTCAGAGAAAATCTACTTTAATAAAGAGGTTGCACTCCCCCCGCCATGAGTCCAGGCCCCACTTCGTAAATCACATATAAAACTCAATAAGGAGGGACTAAGTGAAAGAAAAGCTCAAAGAGTAATTGAATCACCCCAAAGTGGTCGTCGATGAATCGCTGGCTCCTCGTATCCACGTGTGCCGATGATTTCATTGATGGCGTCGTTACAGACGGAAACAGAGCGTGGCTCGTATGAAGATGCAGGGTTGAGGTTTTCCTTCGCTGTTCCAACGAAAGCAACGATAATCAATCACATGCTAAACTGCTGCATCAGCAAACTTTGAGTTTTAAAAGCAGTAAAACTTAAACGCAGATGCAAAACGCTTGCTTACACAAAACAAACTGCACGCAGATCGCAGCGCAGAACCGCCGATGGAACATAAACCCTAAAGCGAGGCGGCGGATGGATGACGGATTTTGTTATTGTGTCACGCGTACGAATATATTAAGTCCGCAGGTACTGATAATGCACACTGCACTGCATGCATTTCCCTTTGACGCCATCAAAAGCAGAAAAGCACCACAACTGTCACGTCTCTGGCATTCTGAAGGACGCGTTCGCCCCAAACAGCCGATGGCCGACATTCCCAGACAACGTGTTTGGCCTTTTTTCAAAACCTTTTTTGAGCCTAATCATCTAACCTAATATTTCTCTACCGTTTTCCCATGACATTTTTCCGGGGGACGGGGGTCAAGGGTCAAAGGCGTGTGAGGTTTCCACTCTTAATGCTAAAATAACCGCCTGCTGGCTGTAGCTTCGTGTAGAAACAGGTCTCATCTAATAAGCGTATTTCTAGAACAGAATATTCCTTTAGGATTACAACGCGACATCTACGACTTTCTATCTGCCAGGGCGAAACCCGACACCACTTCCTGGTGTGACCTACGGGGTACCGATGTGAGAATAAATAATCGATGGGGATTATCCAAACGGCGGAAGTTTAAGTCGTGCGGAATCAAATCGGCTGCAGAGTGGAGACGATTAGCTTTGTTGGGGACGTTCAGCCCCGAGGTTTCCCTTTCAACCCACATTATTGATCCTCTGCATTACCCCATCGCTTGCCTCCTTCCCTCTTGTTCCCTTTCATCCTCTTAATTTAATCTTCCTTCCTCGGAGTCGTCTCTTCATTGAGATGCTGTCCTCTTCCCCACATCCATCAGAGCTTTGCCTCCCCCTCCCCCTCCCTCTCCCTCTCTCCCTCTCCTCTTATCTCATTACTCTCTCTAATTAGCCCCAAACGAGCCCGCAGGAACCAATAACACGCCTTTGCTCATGCATATCAACAAGGTTCCCCCACACACACACACACACACACACATCTGTAAAGTCATGTTTTATTTGTGTGTGTCACTACGGCCGATCAGTCTCTGTGATATTTAAATCTGTGGATTGGGCCAAAACCTTTTAGCAGACGTTACGTTAGTGGATTATGCAACAGTTGGGGTTTGCTTGTATTAATGTCTGTGTCTGTGTGTGTGTGTGTGGGTGGGTGTTTGTGTGTGTGTGGCCAGCTTGGATCTCAGTTGGATGCAGGAAATGTGCGTTTGGTCGGGAACAGATGATTGTGAGGCACTCTGTCCCAGGCAGAACTACCAGGAGGTGGCCAGTAAACACACACACACACACACGCACACACACACACAGACACACACATTCTGTTGACGCTTGCAATAATAAAAAATTGAAAATCATGGGCGAGCCGTGGCAGCTCTTAACGTAAGAATATGTAGTTTGGTTTGCCTTTGCTTCATGCTTCCTCACTGTTTGGACGCGGTGTTGGATACTTGGTCACCGTAGCGACGCTCACACGGGTTCGAGGGGCTCGAAGGTGTTGAGAGGGTTTATTAGTCAGCTGTGTGTGACTGAGGTGGAAGAAACCCAGGCACAGCTGCAAGCTAAACAAACACTCATACATAAAAGATGAGCCCCCCCCCCTCTGTCTTTTACACACATTCACGCAAGCGTACACACAGTCACACTCACGAACACACACTACACACACTAAGATTGTATCTCTTAATTTAGTGACCAAACTTCTTTCTGTAGGATTTCATTTGCCGTCCCTCTGTGTGTTCAGGAGCTGGACAAACAAGATTCATCCGTCTAGCTGGATCTGTGCACCTGTGTTTATCTTCTACCTCTCCTCTCCTCCTCTCCTCCTCTCCTCTCCTCTCCTCCTCTCCTCTCCTCCTCTCCTCTCCTCTCCTCTCCTCTCCTCTCCTCTCCTCTCTCCTCCTCTCCTCTCCTCTCCTCCTCTCCTCTCCTCCTCTCCTCTCCTCTCTCCTCTCCTCCTCTCCTCTCCTATCCTCCTCTCTTCTCCTCTCCTTTCCTCTCCTCTCCTCTCCTCTTCTCATCTCTCTTCTCCTATCATCCTCTCTTCTCCTCTCCTCTCCTCCTCTCCTATCCTCTCCTCCTCTCCTCTCCTCCTCTCTTCTCCTCTCCTTTCCTCTCCTCTCCTCTCCTCTTCTCTTTTCCTCTCCTCTCCTCCTCTCTTCTTCTCTCCTCTCCTCTCCTCCTCTCTTCTCCTCTCCTCTCCTCTTCTCCTCTCCTCTCCTCCTCTCCTCCTCTCCTATCCTCCTCTCCTCTCCTCCTCTCCTCTCCTCCTCTCCTCTCCTCCTCTCCTCCTCTCCTCCTCTCCTCTCCTATCCTCCTCTCTTCTCCTCTCCTTTCCTCTCCTCTCCTCTCCTCTTCTCATCTCTCCTCTCCTATCATCCTCTCTTCTCCTCTCCTCTCCTCCTATCTTCTCCTCTCCTCTCCTCTCCTCCTCTCTTCTCCTCTCCTCTCCTCTCCTCCTCTCTTCTCCTCTCCTCTCCTCTCCTCCTCTCCTCTCCTCTCCTCTCCTCCTCTCCTCCTCTCCTCTCCTCTCCCCTCCTCTCCTCCTCTCCTCTCCTCTCCTCCCTCTCCTCTCCTCTCCTCTCCTCTCCTCCTCAGGCCTGCGTCTGTCTGAGAGGACAGAAACACCCTTCGGCTTTTTTTTATTGACATCTTCGCCGTGTGAGACACGGCTTCCTCCGTCGCGTGATGAATGGACAGCTTTGCATGTTGTGACTGAGTGGAATCAGGTCACGGTGAATCGATGGCGTCTGTGGGGTGAAAGGAAACACAATATCTGCATCTTCATCTGCATCTCACGGCTGCATCTGGGTTATGTGTCCCTCCTCTCTCTCTCTCTCTGGTGTTACCTAAAGCAATGAGTGGCTTGAAGGGCACAAGGTGAAAACACAAATTAGCCACAGACAGCGTGTGAGTGACGGAGGCGGACAGCCGAGGGAAAGGGAGGAGATGGACCCGGTAAAAGGAGACGGGAGGAGCTGATTGTCTGTGGTATCGATCTGGTAATCCTCGTCGTGCTCTCTGGCGGTTTTAATCCTTCTCCTCCACGAGACGAGGAGACGCAGGGAAAGGGGCGAGAGAGCAGGGGAGCGCATGAAGGGAGGGATGGAGGGAGGAGGAGGAGGAGGAGGAGCAGTGCCATCCAGTGGAGCGAGAGGAAAGCTGCAGCGCAGCGGGTTCCCGTCCTTGTTCCATTGGCAAAGGCAAAACGTTGATTTGTTGGCTTTCGATGCATATTTCCAATCCAAAAATATTTGGAATGAGACCCAAGATTCTGCCGAACGCAGAGATACACCTTTAACGTGTGTGCGGTCAGACATACGACTGCGGCAGTTTCAAAAACGTTTGCTTTCTCTGAGAAATTGGTCACCAGGTTTACATCCGTGTCAGGGCGGAAGTTGCACTGCGGCCAAACGTCTGTTGGATTCCATCGACACGTGTGAAGACAAGCATAATATTTCCTACATGAAATGGTGTATTAAGAGTAAAAGCTGTGGCAGAATAAGATTTTTTGCCACTCTGGCACTACACACACACACACACACACACTCATCATAAACTCTGCAACTGTCCAAATATGTTCCAGAACTTAACAACATTTACTGTGCTGGTGAAATGCTTGCTGCTTGGCAACCACTCCGAACATTGGTGGTGTTTGAGATTAGACAAACTATAGGACGGCACATCTTTAACTACCAAATCCTCCTACTTCAGCTACAGCCACCGTTTGAAATGTAAAATGTTGAAAACCCTAAAATATTATTTTTTTAAATTCATATTGTATGTCATATTCAACTTTTTTTCTTTGGTTATGTGTCACGAGTTTTTGGGATCAATGGGTGTGAGACGTGAGAGCCTGGTGGAGACTGAAAACCTACATTGGAAAGCAGCTCCAGATTCTGCCAGCACGGCCACAGTTCTGACCAAATAATGAGGAACTGTTGTGCTGGTCACAGATACGAGGCTCTGGGATCCGACAGACTTACACATTCAGCCGTGACCAATGCTAATCTGGTGACATGCTGACATGTCTTGAGGGGGAATGTAACATTTGAAGCAGTTATTACATTTCTTACCATTGATCACAATTATCACTTCATGTGCAGTTAGCGTTTATTCAAATCTTACATTTTTCACAGTGATTCCATTGCATTCGTTATGTAATTGCCAGCTATCTCATCATTTATTTGCATCGTTTATTACGTCATCTGTGTTACTAATATGGTTTTAAAATGTTATGAACAGCAGATCATCAGCTTTCAAACAGCCTAAACTGGGCCCTGAACCTCTTGCACAAGTAGAAGTAGATGAGCGGGTCCAGGCAGACGTTGAGCACTGACATCATGATGGAGATCTCCGTGGCGTAGTAGAAGAACTTGCCCCAGGAACAGCTCCACAGATAGTGTTTGGGAAGAAGAAGCAGGTGGTAGGGCACGAAGCAGAAGCAGAAGACACTGACCAGCGCTAACATTTTCCGGCGTGACTTTGCGAGCTTCGTCGAGCAGGAGGAGGGCGGCTGCCCCCGCTGAGCCAGCGACACCCGGCGGGAGATGTTGTAGTAGCAGAAGAGCAGGAAGACCAGGACGGTCAGGAACAGGATGGTGCTGCAGGCGTATACAATTTCATACAGAACGCTGGACAAGCCTTGACATTCGACCAGGTTGGAGGAGGGGGAAGATTTCTGTTTAAGGAACGACGACGTGAAGGCACTGGTGACGCCAAGGAGGAAACCCCAGGTTACCGTGGAGACGAGATGAGAGGCCATCACCCTTTGCAGGATGTGAGTTCCTAAAGGTTGAACAACTTTCAGATACCTGCAGGGGAGAGTGACAAATTACAGCTTTGAGTTCAGCGTTCACTCCTCGAGTGTAAACTGAGCTCTTAATCTGCTTAATGCAGAAATCACTCTTCTTCTACTCTCAAAAAAGACAAGACTACTTTCGGTCCAGATATTTTGTGTGTTGACAGAAAAAAAACATCAAATTGGTGCATTCCTGTTTGTGTTGATAAAATTGCGACGCCTGTTTTATGCAACATGAGATTACATTTTCACACCTGATAATGGCGATGTAGCCCGTGAACACGATGCTGGCGTAGACGTTGAGGAAGAGGACGGATGCGCCAAGGTTGCAGTTGAGCAAGTGGATGGTGGCGTAGCGTCTGTTATAGTTGGCCATGCGTAATGGTAAACAGAGGCAGAGCCAGAAGTCAGCGACCGCCAAGTTCTTCAGGTAGACCGCGAGGCTGCCGGGCGCTCTCCGATGACCTCGGCAAAAGAAAAACGCCAAGATGAAGCCGTTGAGCGGGAGACCCACCTGGAGAGAAAAACATGGTGAGGATGGAAGGATTTACAATTTGCATCATTTACAGTCAGTTAAAACTATTTGGAATTTAGATGGTGATTTTCTACACAATCAGGTCCAGAAAGACATTTTTAATAGCATTCATCTTTTACACAAGTCTGTAAGAATAAAGTTTGTTTCAAGTACCAAAAAAACTCACTGATATCAGCTGGAGCATTCAAAGATTTTGTTGAAATATTAAAATCATGAGTGTCATTTCAGGAAATGAACTGAATTAACCCCTAAAAAAGTTTCCTCTTGCGATGAAAGGTTATAAAGCTTCTGAACAGACTTGTGTGTGTTGTGCTGAAGGAAGACATTTTTTAAACTCACCAGAAACACCAGACCGTGGACCGCCATGAAGAAGATGTCGGCCGAGCGGTCCACCGGAACACAGGTCGAACCGTTTGTGACGGACGACTGGTTGAAGGATGAAGGCCCATCCTCTACTGCTCCGTCAGTCATTTCCATCCGATTGACCTAGAGGAGGTGAACCCAAATTACAAATCTACATATTCACAGTCAGCCCAAAAATACGCTGTAGATGTATCACTAGAGGAATGCATGTATGGCTTCAAATCTATTTTGTATGATATATTCTACTGAAATGAACACATTAAAACAAGAGAGGGATGAAATGCCTGCAGCACTTACCTGTCAGTGTGGACGTCTGAAATGGGACTGAACTGCTTCCGTCTTTAAGGCTATCTCGCAGGACTGCTGCAGAAGAGTGATGGTGGCCACGATAGCTTCCTCTGACATCCTCCACAACTTAGTGGTCAAAAACCTACGCTTTGTAAAAGACAAAAAAAAGCACTATCTACTATCTGAGGTGAGGTGTGGAAGAAGCATGACGTCGATGTGCTAATCCATCAATCTTAAAGTACAGCATTCAAAATTCTACCTGAGTAAGGCAAGGCAATTTCATTTGTATAGCATATTTCAACAACAGGGCCGATTTTGCAACTGTCTTAGTATGGCTGTTCAGGTTGAGATCCGAATCAATAACTACACCTAGATTTCTTGGTTCCTTTGTGGTTTTTAACTTCAGCGATTGAAGCTCAATGTCAATGTTTTATTAAAGAAAGTTTTGCCACATCCCGTTGTTTCACTGTTGAATGCATTTACATAGCCCTGTTATCGGATTGTAGTCCCTTGGTGATATAGTTATGTAGATGTGTGTGTCATCTGCATAACTATGATAACACGCTTTGTTGTTTTCCATAATCTGAGCTGATGGACGCATGTAGATGTTGAACAGGAGGTGCCCCAGTATTGAACCTTGGGGAACACCACATCATTTTAATTTTCTTCAGTTCTGATGTGTAATTAGCTACAGACAACAACGTATTCTCGGTACCGCGTTTACGTATTTCAAGTAGGATTCAAACGAGTTAAGTGTCGTGCCAGTTACTGGACAATGTAACAAGCTGTGGGGTTTTTGTTTGGGTGCTTTCTGGTTTTATTACTGCCTCCTGTGTCACATGTTCACTTCACTTCCTGCCCGCCTGTGTGATTGACCGCCCAACCCTCAACTGACTCCTTCAGTGTCCAAGGACCGGAATCATTTCACTTTAGCAGATTGTTTAAAAATGAAAGACAATTTCTTTAGATGTTTTAAAATTTAAACCTACAGGAATCAATCTGTAGGTTATTGCTCATGAATGAAAAAGACCAACCGATAGTAATATAGGTTACTAGCAAAAAATATTTTATCAATAAAAAAATTAAAAAGGTATTCGTAGCCCATACACATGTTTGTTCTAGTGTAACTGCTCTTCAAAAAAAATGCAAAGAACCATGACTCATTCTATCATTGTTAGAATTGTCCACTACCACATTTCGAATTGCACCCAGCAGGGGGTAATTAAAAATGTTGACCTGTTGCATCTGATGTTTTTGCCTCGTCATTATGGGTGAAAACATCCATATTTGAAATATGAATCAGCGCACATATGTATAATTATTGTATCATAAGACATTAAGCGTTATGAAGGGAAATGTTGAGTTTTCACCACCGAGTCAACGGAGCTCGTATCGATCCCACCCCCCCAAAAAAGAGCCCCAACTCATGGCGATAGTTCAGGGGAGTCCGGAAATTTCAGCTCCCACGAGAGAAAACACAAACAAAATCCTTCTCATTTATTTTACAATGCGTCTAGATTTGTTTTAGGACAATAGCATATTAATTTAAAGTGGATTTAATCAGCTACATTATGAGCCACGTTCAAGTGGCAGACCGTGTGTGTTTTAAGAAGAAGGAAGCTTTTATAATGGAAATAACCTGCTGCTTCTTTAAGATAAAAGACGCCGCCGGTACTACTGCCACCTCCCTCCCTCCCTCCTCAATCCTCCCTCCCTCTCTCGGGGACCCAAACTTGTTTCAGGAACAAGCGGCTGAACATACGTCCCTCCCTCCCCGTGCCGGAGGAACCAGGACGGCCGCGTCCGCGCCAGAGGAGAAGGCGTAAACTTCCTACAAACATTTCCTCCGCCTTTCCGCGCTCGACAATTTTCTCGCGGAATCTTTTTTAACGAGACGAGTTCTGCGTTTCATCTGTAGACGCCGGTGGGCTCGCTGGTTTTCCTCCCACCGACCACCTGGTTGTTTCCTTTTGCCTGAGAAGGATTCCTGCGCCCCCCCCCCTCAACCCCCCGCGGCCGCCGCCCCGCACACCGCACCGCCCCCCCCGGACGTGTTTTTGCAGACATGGAGTGGGGAGCAGATCTCTGGGTGAGTTGACAGCTGGCCGAAGAACATCCTCCAGAGTCCCGGGCGCCTCTCCCGGGTAGGCCCGGGATAAGTGCTCTGCACACGGCAGCGGGAGTCCGTGCAAAGCCCGACGGGTTTCGCAACTCCTGCTGGGGGGGGGGGGGGGGGTGGAGGAGGAGGGGGGGGGGGTGTTATTACTCTGTCTGCCCACCTTATCTACACACACTGTGGACTGAAGGTGTACTCCAGCTATCTCTCTCTCTCCCTCTCCCCCCCTCTCTCTCTCTCTCTCATTGCATCTGGTCAGTGTCTCTCTCACCCCCCCCCCCCAGCAGTGGCCTCCGGGGGGCCAGTGGGCATCAGAGTAGAACTACTGAACACACTTCAGGGCCACGAGTAACCGTTGTTAACCGTTTGCTGTCGTTTAGTTTGGTCCTACAGAAGGTCAGGAGAGCGTTTTTTTAAATGAGAGAAAGCGAGTGTCTTCGGGTCCCCGGACCACCCCCCCCCCCCCCCAGAAATCCTTGTTACCCCGCGGGTCACAAGAGGAGCAGGAAATCCTACACGTGAGAAGCTAGAGGAGCTTTTTCTTTCCCTCGTAAAAGCTTTATCGATGGTCGAAATAGCAGATTGACGCTACGTGAGGTTCACACAGCCTGGATGGTGGAGAACATCCGTCATTCTACCGGTGGACTCCATCCGTCATCCGTGTTGGGACGGGGGGGACGTTTGTAGCTTAATGCACGACTGGTTTCAGCTGCGTGAGCGCCTTGTTTTGTCGTCTTTTCAAGCATAAATGTCCAACAGCGTAATGTTCCCTGCAACGGGAAGGCAGCTTCTCTTTGTCCTTGCTAATAACACACTGAATCTCTGGGTCGATTTGGGATTCCTCCAAAACGCACTACTTCCTCCATGAGGGCCCTCCGCTGTTGGTAATAAGAGAGTCACACGTGTCCTCATTTTTCTCCCAGTTAAATATCAGTTTTGTAGGTTAAAAATGAACTTGTGCCAGACTGGATCAGCTGGTTACTCATCGAAGAGGCTCATCGTGTCATTTTACACCGAGAGGGAAAGACGCGTTTCCTCCCAACTGCACTTGACGTGTCTTTGGCATGTTGGAATGCCGTTTGGCCCATTGACCCGCCTGCCGGCCCGTCAGGTTCAAGAGGTCAAAGTCATCGCCGGCAGTTGAAGTACAAAGCGTGAGCATCCAAATGGATGTAAAGTGCCCATTTATCACCATGTTCTATTGCATGAAGTCATTGGATTATACTTCCTATTTATTTCCGTGATTTCTGTTTTTCACGCAACTAAACGCTCCACCAGCTCGGCCCTGACGGTCCAAACCGATTTAATAAACAACGTAATGCAAAGGTTAAAAGGATGGCGGTGAGCCGGAGCAGAGGGCCCGTGGGCCCCGCGGTGAGTCGTCACGGTGACGGGGGCGGGACTAGTCGGACTGGTTCCAGGGCTCAATGGAGGCCCCGGGGACGGCCGGTCACAGGGCGGCGGTTCGCTCTGAGCTCATGATTATCTCATTCCTGTCTCCCTATCAGCATTTCCTCCCCTCGCACAAACACACGCTGCGGTGACGCAACCGGTGGTGGATGCACGCCGGAGACGTGCGTGCCAAAGACACGCCACCTGCTCTGTGGTCTTTTCATTGCCGCGTGTGTCTCTCGTCCAATTCTCTCTCTCTCTCGCTCAGCATCGTCCTCGTTTTGTTTTCCAATCCTGTTCCTTCCTCCGCCCCGGCCCTCTCGTATCCAGGACTGCTCGCTGTTGCTATGACCTCCACTTAGCCCCGCCCCCTCCTCCTGAGGATATGTGTCGGGCTCCGAAGGCACTCGCACCCTCTACGCACACAAACACACACACACACCCGATGTAAAGGTGGAGCCCTGCTTTGTCACAGCTGGGACAGAGAGGAGAAATGTTACCTGTCCAACAGGTTTGTGTGTGCGTGCGTGTGTGTATCTGCGCGGCGGTGTGTGTGTGTGTGTGTGTGTGTCTTTGTGATTTGAAGGCAAGGACATAAAGAATGAGACAGGAATGCTGAAAGGAGACTTTGCTTTCATGGTCTACACCTTTTGTAGTTATGTGTGTGCAAGGAAATTGAAAGAAGGGAGGAGGCTTTGTGTGTGTGTGTCTCTGTGTGTGTGTGTGTGTGTATGTGTGTGTCTGTGTGTGTGTGTGTGCGGATTCTTCCTCGACTTCCAGTTTCAGTCTGTGTCAGATCCGCTCTGATGAAATGCAGTTTAAACTGAGACTGTTTCCATAATTGATTAATTGTTTACAAATGTCTGGCTGGTTCTCTTAATGTGATGATTTTAACGCTGCAAGCCGTCAATCTGGGCCCTTAATCCAATGCGGGAGACTCTCCGTGTCTGCAGATGTTATTTTAGTACTTTTATCAGGTAGTGGTGATAACGACCACAGAAGAACTGTCCGCTGAACAACAAAAGACAAGCATACGAGCCACGTACAATTGAGTTAAAGTCCTCACGTTTTATATTTACAGACGATGGATTGAGTGACGATCTGCAGATTTCTGTCTCGATAATCGTTTTGTTGGGTCGATGAAATATCAGAAAATAGTGTGAAATGTCCATCACCATGTGCTGGGAATTCTGAAGAAATTCTGTTTAGTTTTAGCCACAAAAAACACCATTTCTGAAACTATATTTTATTTGAAGGTTATTTAAATGATTAATTCAAACATTTGCAGATGAATTTATTCATTATTTAGGTATTCCAGGTCTGGTTTATTCGCTCTTAAACTGCAGCCGGCTTCACTTCTTGTTTCGATCGTTTTCTTTGCTTTCACTCTCGTTCTCACGCAGGAAAAAAACAGCAGTGTAGTGTGTGTGTGTGTGTGTGTGTGTGTGTAATATATATATATATATTACATTGTCTTACATGTGTAATGTGCACAAATGATGTCATCAGCTTCACCTTTTTAGGTCCAAAAACAGTGAAGCTGTGCTTCTTTCTAAACATGCTTTGCACTGCGCCGTGTCAGCGCGTACCAACGCTGCTCTGTGCTCCTCACGCTCCAGGACCAGTACGATCAGATCGACAAGCACACGCTGACGGGCCTCGACCTGGTCGACCGCTACATAAAGTTTGTGAAGGAACGGACGGAAATCGAGCAGAATTACGCCAAACAACTGAGGCGAGTGCTCGTGTCTTGTCTTTACGTGAATTTGGATCCTAAATATACGTTTTTGAGCATTTATGTGTGTGTGTGTGTGTGTGTGTGTGTGTGTGTGTGTGTGTGTGTCTGTGTGTGTGGTGATAAACGGACACACTGCTTCTTTTACACTTTTTTTTATTTTTTTTAACAGGAGTCTATCAAAGAAATATGCAAAACGAGGGAGTAAAGAAGAGCAAGAGAGCAAGTGAGTCCATATTTTTTATTCCTTGCTTTGCGTTTATCCAAAATGACGATCGGATGGTCAGTAAACCGGCCTGTCAGGCTTTCCGATACGACAAATCAAATTCTTTGTGCATGGAGATCAATTGAAAATTGTTCAGTCCCCCCCTCAGGCGAACAGCGTCAGCTCACCTCACGCCGGCAGTAGTTTTCACTGTTGGCGCCGTTAGCACTGTTAGCTTTGAGCCGCCGGCTCAAGCGTCGGCCCGTTGAGAGACTTTAAGGCTTTCTGAGAATGCAATCTGGTACAGCAGCATTCCATCTTCCATGGATACATATTTCTCTCTGAAGAAACCTGTAACCTTACAAACCGTTTTAGTTATCGTGAAAACATCGCTGTGTTGCTTCTGTAAACATGCCGCCAATGAGAAACGCAAACACTTAAATCCACTCCTCTCACATTTGTTCATGTGTTTCATACATTTCAATTACAATGAAATTCAGAAAACCAAAAAGACAGGCCCGTCGACAGGCCCGTCGTCCTTAGATACGGTTGCTACGCCGCCATTGCATTTGGGTTTGTCGCCCCCCCTCCCTCTCCCCCGGGGGCCGAATGTCGGCCTCTGCGGCTGTGAGGATTTCCCCCCCTAATCGCGTCTCCGTCCCGCAGCAGGTTCAGCAATCACGCGTCACTCCAGGAGATCCTGAACGAGCTGAACGATTACGCCGGCCAACGGGAGCTCATCGCCGAAAACATGACGACCGGCATCTGCGTGGAGCTCAACAAGTACCTTCAGGAGCTCAAACAGGAACGCAAAACGGTGAGACGGGACGGGGGGGGGGAAGCAAACGGACGGAGCAGGAGACATTTGGCAGATTAAGCGCTGTGAAATCATCTCGGTCTGCAGCACAGTAACAGTGAAGCTCTTTGTTTGCTCCGCAGCACCTCTTGGATGCCAAGAAGGCGCAGCAGGTCTTAGAGGGCAGCTTCAAACAACTAGAGAGTGTGAGTCACCTGTTGTTGTTGTTGTTGCTTACAGGTGTTTAGTTTGCATGAATTGTCATTTAAAGCTTGTGTTTGCTTAGATGGTGAAAAGAAAACCTCATTTTATTTTGCATGTTTGTAAAAAGTGTCCTTTCATTTCTTATTTATTGTTCAGCAGTTCAACTAAACTGATTCAACGTCAGTTTATTCAGGAAACCCAAGTCAATATCTATTAATTTAATCATTCATTCATTATTAGAACGTGTATTCGTGATGCGTTTCAGCAGAACTGTCTAGACTACAAACACTTCAGCAAGTATTTGGAATTAATTAATTACAGTGATAATTAAACTATCAATTATCCATTTCCCCAAATCACAAATGTGCCTCCGAGGCCTCTACGACCTGCACACAAGACTCACATCGACACGACCGATTCGCAGCCAAATGCAACAATCGTGTTGCCGTTCAATGCTTCTGTGCGGTTCAGAGATGCCTCCTGCCTCCTCCTAAGGACATCGATATTTTAAAAATAAATTAAACCGCAACTTCCTCCATTTCCTTGTTGGATTGGAATTCAATGCTCTATTAATTTAAGTGTGTTAAACTGCCCATCTGTGTTTTTCTTTGTGCGTGTGCTGCCTGCAGACTAAGAAGCGCTATGCCAAGGAATGGGCAGAAGCTGAAAAAGCAACACAACAAGCGGAGAAAATAGAGAGTGACCTCAATGCCACCAAGATCGACGTCGAGAAGGTAAACGCACGCACACGTTTGCATCAAAGGCTTCCCTCCCTGACCTCCACGCCCTCCCCCCGTCTCCCTCTGCTTCCACCCCGCGTGACTCCCAACGTTTCTCCCTCCTTTTGCATTTTGTTTTGCATCGTCTCTCCGGCGTTCCCGAAGGCCAAACTACACGCCCACAACCGCATGCACACCGCGGAGGAGTGCAGGAACGACTACGCGGCGCAGCTGCAGAAGTACAACAAGGAGCAGAACGCCTACTACTACTCTCAGATCCCGCAGATCTTCAACGTGAGACTGAGACACGCGCAAACACACACAAACACTCACAGTGCACCGGCCGGGAGGAACGCTCCTATTGTGTAATGAGCACACACACACACCCACATGCACACACACATGCACACAGGTTTAAAAAACAATGTGGTCGTCTTCTCCGGTGTCTCGCGAACGTGCACCACATTCAAGGCGTCCGTTGTGCGCTTGTGTGTCGAGCAGAAGATGCAGGACATGGACGAGCGGAGGATCCGGCGGCTGGCGGGGGGCTACTGCCAGTTTTCTGACATCGAGAAGAACGTGCTGCCGATCATCACCAAGTGTTTGGACGGGATTTCTGCAGCAGGGATGAAAATTAATGAGAAACAGGTACGTGCGAGATGTTTTATGTGCGTCATTTTGTCACACGGGATTGAAATAAGGGGAGTGTTGGTTGTCTGTCTGTCCGCTGTCATATCAAAGACTCTGATCTTCGTGTCGTCAAACACTAACAGATCTGATGCTAAATAGTTCCACAAGAAATCCCAGTGATGAGTTCATATTTTGTTAGTTGACTTGATTGTTCAAGGCAGTTCAGGTCTTCTACACGAGAACTGGCTCTCAATTGATTAAATCCAATCAAATTATAATTCTAACATCTATTGTTGACCTTGTGTCTGATTGGCTTTGATTCACCGCCGCAGTCACTTCTAACGGCGCCTGTTGGTCTCCCTGCAGGACTCCATGCTGTTCATAGAGCAGCACAAGTCCGGTTTCGAGAGGCCTGCAGACATCGACTTTGAAGATTACACCCAAGGAATCAAACCGGCAACCTCTGACTCGAGCCTCAACCCCCCCAAAGTGCGCGCTAAGCTCTGGCCTTTCACCAAGAAAACCAAGGTGAGTCTGCAGTCTGCCCGCTTTAGATTGGCGTCGCGTTGACTTCACGTGAAAAGTGCATCGTCCCCGAGGGCGCGACCTTCACCGCCCTCCGACCTCTCTGCTCCGGACGACCTGAAGATCCTCCCAAACCCTCTCTTCAAAAAGTAATCTGACAAACAAGGAGCTACCACACTGAAGAGATGAACTGGTGTCTTGTCCATGAAGCTGCTGGTTTATTGGTCTTATTTCTGTAAACAGTAATGAGCGCTCACATAAACGAGTGCTGGTCAGAGAGCGCTTCTCAGATTTCATTTGAAGCCTTAAAAATGTCCTTGTCGTTTGAAAATAACACTAACACACAAAAATAATAAGATTTAGTCCACTTAATCTCTTAAGACATTTAAAGTCAAGTTAATGTGTAATATAGAGCAAAATAATGAACAGCTGAACTGTGTTTCTTTTTATATGTTACTCTAAAATGAGTAAATATTATATCTGTCAGGAACTATTTTCAGCTGTGGATGAATACACATTTAGTGTGCAAGTGCAATTTTTTTTCCTGGCAGGTCAGGAAAAGTAATTCACTTTCATCAATAAAGAAGAAACGTGTCACTGCAGTAAGTAAATCGGTGTTTCTGGTGAAGCTCTGCGACACGGAGCCGGAAGCCAGGCGGCGCTTCGTTGGGAGGAACGTTTCTGGTCCTTTTTTTTAAATTTTTTTAACGGGGCTGGTTTACATAAGAAACATAAATCCCTCCAGTCGCATTCTCATTAACCAACATGTCTTCATTTCAAATAACGATCTACATTTCTCAACACACTTCTAGAGGAAAGGTGTAACGTTGCCGTGGACAAACCCGTTCCGCTGCGCGTGTGACAACTCGTGGACCGAATCCGCCGTCAAATCCATGCATCCATTCTTCCAATCGCTCTCTGTGCATTAATGTCTGCGTGCAAAATGACGCCTGCGCGGTCTCATGACAACTTAAACAAACACACGTGTAAAGCTCGACACACACTCACACATTCCTCTCGGGTTTTGCCCCGTTGCCCTCGGGGGGCCGATTCTAATCTCTCAGCCTGCTGCACAGACTTGCCCCCGTAACGTCCTTACGCTTTCTCTTGTAACTCTTTCCCCCCGTTTTTATCACGGATATCTCCGCTTTTCCCTCCCCTCACCAGCGTCGCCCCCTCTCCCCCCCCCCCCCCTCCCCTTTGCTCCATTTCCTCTGCTTCTTCCATCATCTCTCCCCCTTCCTCAGTTTGTCCCTCCATCCCCCGTCCCCCTCCCCGTCTGTCTCTCTGCCTTAGAGAGTTTAAACGCTCTGTCAAACCCTTAAAGAAATGACACAAACGGCTCATCTGACTCACCGAGACTGGACCCCCCCCCCTCGTGTATTGTCTCATTAATACCTAACGTGTAAATAAGCTGCTAAACCGCCACATGACCTGTGACTGTAGGAGTGTGTTTCCAATGTGGGGTGTTATTTACGCATGTGTCTCACACTTGATGTCCTGTGCCGATAAGAACATGGTAACGTTCATTGACGTAACACGGAGGGTAGACTGAAAGAAGAAAGTGTGCTGGGAAATACTATTTTTAAGGAGTAACTTGACTGTGCAGCGAGCTGCGCTGACCTCTGCAGGTAGAAATGTGCCAGGGCCCCCGGTCACACCGCCAGCCGCGCCGCTCGCACTCCTCCGTGCGTTAAGCGTAATAAGGGGCCAGCTACGGAGATAGCACAGGCGTGCTAGCCTGCCAGGAACACTTTATTTTACTTTCATTCTCTCTGCCGTCTGCCATATTTTTAAATATACCTTTTAGATTAGATTTAAATATTTTTACGCATTCTAGTTTCAACAGGTTTTTTCTTTTTTTCCAAGAATTAGTGGGATAGTCGCTATTATCAATTGAAAACCCCGGCGCTACAACTCAAACGTAAGACACAATTTGGGTTTGCTTCCCGTCACTACAGCAATTAGACACAATCACAGTCACAGTCTTCATTCTAAAGACGTATTAAAGCAGATGGAGCAAGAAAGCTACAATAACTCTATTTTGTTCCCTTTAAAGTCTGGCTGTTGGCAGCGGTTTTAAATCCCCCAAAAATCTGCAGATTTTGCTGCAACATTTAGCGATTTTAAATGCAGGTGTGACCGGGTTTCCTGTCGGCTCTCGTGCACTCACGGCTGTGTGTGTGTGTGTCGCGTGCTGTAATTGTGACCACAACCAGCTGTGATGTCACCTGCTGTGCAGGTCAAGCAGGATTATTTCTCTGGGTTCAGTTACTCTTTAATCTTATAAAATGAAATGCGATTTCTCTCACAGGGAACTGCATTTCATTTCTTCTCTCTAGAGGACCGAGTCTTTATTCTGTGATGCCAAACTCATTTATAACTTCTTTCTGTTGAGCAAAAGGGCAAGACTCTAATTTTACAAAAGGAACATGAATAAATTTGTCTCATAATATCTTCATGCTATTTCCGTTGGACTTTAGGGGTCACTTGTTTCTCTCCACGGGAGGAGAGGACTGTGAAAACTAGACTTGAAAAATGTAATTGCATCATTTCCTTTCAGAAGTGATGTTTTGGCTGCGTTGAGTAGTTTTTCTCAATCCCAATGATTTCGATGAGCTCGAAGTGCTCCACAAGTCTGCAGTTCAATGCAGTTCAAAGGTCACAGGTAGAAAAACAAAATCAGCTTTTTTCTTTTCTTTGTTACTCCTCCATTTAGGAACTCTGATTATAAAAAAAAATCCAATCTGGCGTCATTGTTTATCTTCTGTAAATCGAGCGGCCTTCTTTCTCTGACATAACTGTACGTTGGTCTGGCATCACAGGAGGAAGCGTCTCGCCTGTTGTTCCTTCAGCGTGCATCCATCCCAAACGCTGCACAGCTGAAGTTCAGTGGTATTCTCAGGGGACGTTGTTGGGCTCTGAACAATCGCCCCCGTCTGTAAATACTTGTGTTCTCTCTCTTTTCCAATTGTTTCCCTGAAAATGGTTTCCATGACAGCAACAGCCGGCTGTCTCTTGTTAGGCTTCTCTCTCTGTTGGGAAGACGGACAGAAACAGGGAGGAGTGACATCTGGTGGTGATCATTGATATGTTTGTTAAATGCATGACGCCGAGGATAATTACTGCGTGTGTGTTTGTGTGTGTGTGTGTGTGTGTGTGTGTGTGTGTGTGTGTCTGTAGGCGCCTGCTGCAGAAGATTTCTCTCATCTTCCTCCGGAGCAGAGGAAGAAGAGGCTTCAGGGAAAGATCGACGACATCACCAAAGAGCTGCAGAAGACGCAGGACCAAAGGTGACCACGTAACCCACAGCATCAACATGCATCCCGTAACCACGGGAACCCAGTCTTCTAATCCCATCATAACAAAATGCCATAGAGCATTAGTTTTAATTTTAGCGTAGATTGGACCTCGGCACCCAATCGCTTCTGTGTGAAGGTAATCTGAACAAGGACATAGTTTAGAACTTCCGGATTAAGCTTGGAAGTGCGAAAATGCTCTACGTTTTTAAATAGCAGTGGATCTCAGGATCTCAGGATCTCAGTGGATTTCAGGCTGAGTTGATGTGAAAATATTGGAGACTGCATTAATGAGAAACACTATTGAAAAGTTTTTCCTCAGTTTAAGGCTTTAAATGATACACATTGACAGTAGAAAATCGCCTTATTGTGATGTTATCTATTTTGTGAATCCATCGGGTTTTCTTTTGTGTGCTTATCTAGATTTTCAAGTAACAAAGTTGTGCGAAATACTTCTGCTTCAGACCTCGGGCTGTTTTTTTTATACTTTTGGCTCCAGAAATGAGTTCTCCAGTTTGTGTGTGCGTGTGTGTGTGTGTGTACTCTTTCTCGTTTCAACATCTGTGCACACAAAGCCGGGTCCAGAAAGAAATGTTTTTCCCATTTTGGTGTCAAAAAAACGCCGTGCCTTCTTCTCCCCTGATGGGCGCTCACATTTCTCTCTCTCTCTCTCTCTCTCTCTCTCTCTCTCTCTCTCTCTCTCCTTCTGTTGTGACGTCAGCGAGGCCCTGGAGAAGATGAAGGGTGTGTACGAGCACAGTCCGCAGATGGGAGACCCGTCCAGTCTGGAGCCTCAGATCTCAGAAACTGCCCAGAGCATTGGCCGGCTGACGGGGGAGCTCGCCAAATATGAGGTCATCACACACACACACACACACACACACACACCATGCGCCAATGACGCGCGTAGCGTCTGTGCGAGTGTTGACTTCTTCTGTCGCTGGTGTGTTGCAGACGTGGCTGTCGGACGCAGTGGGCGGCGACGACTCTTCCAACGCCATCAACAATAATACTCAGCATCGGTAAGACGCCGCTTGGGCAATTTTGGGTGAATTTCATTTTTTGGGATATTGATGCATCTCCCCTTCATCATCATCCTCATCATTCCTTTCGACAGACGTCATGTCTGAATGTCTGTTGACATCAAATCTAATGCAATATTTCAAGGGGGACGGTTCTTCATTCATTTTGGTGAATGACAACTGGAGGTCAAGGACAAATACACACATTTATTTCTGCTGGTGCAGAAGCCAGCCGTGGCCCTCGTCTTGCAGGACGCCTATAGATCATTTTTTGTTATCAGCAGTGCCAGGCTGCAAAGTGTTTCCGTACGCGTGGACACGTTGAGCAAACTGCGAGAGTTGACGCGTCTCGACCGTTGTGTTTCCAGTGTGGTAGCGGCCCACGAGTCCCAGGGCCTCTACTCCGAGTTCGATGACGAGTTTGAAGACATAGAAACTCCTGTCGGCCAGTGCGTCGCTCTGTACACCTTCGAAGGTACGTTGTATTAATTCACACTCTACTTGTTTCAAACTGGACGGTTTTGCAGATGTCTTTATCGCGTGTGTGTGTGTGTGTGTGTGTGTGTGTGTGTGTGTCTGCAGGCAACAGCGAGGGCACCGTTTCCGTCACGGAGGGAGAGATGTTGAGTATAATGGAGAACGATAAAGGCGACGGATGGATGAGAGTCCTTAGAGGCAGCGGAGAAGAGGGCTATATACCGTCATCCTATGTCAAACATTCCCCATAACACAAACACACGCACACACGCACAGCTTGTAATGGAAAGGTAAGTTAGAAGCCGAAGGTGAATACAAAGTCGTGCGCTATAATCGAGGGCCGCTCCCTCCCATCTTTTATCTCGGCCGGTGGCGTGAACGCGGCGATGGAAGCGCGTGATTAGAAAGCCTCTTATCGCAAAGTCTCTGATCTTCACGCGTTTCAGCTCTTTCCAATCCAAAAACTTGTGAACGTGCACCCGAACTTTTGCGATGACTGGCGTAATGTATTCAGCGTCACAGTAGCCGCTACGTGTCTTTTATGTTGATATGTCCATTCACTTGACTCCCTCCCGCTGCCCTCCTCTTATTACCTGCTGAACCGCTTCCCTTTGTCACTAAAAACCGCTCTCCTGACTGGACACCACGAGTTCTGTCTTTTGGCAAAGTGACGACTTATAACTGGATGAAGACGAAATGGAAACGGTGGATGAAATGACATCTCACCGTGGACGCTCACTTTAAAGGATGCCTTTTAAGTGTCTGTCTGCTAAACAATAGGCTAAAATCTGCTTCAACGTGTACACGAGGATCGTTGCGAACTGAAAAAAGGAAACCCGCCTTGCATTTTTGTTTGCGTGAATTCAAGACATAAAAAGGAAAAGGCACATTGGCAATAAAGACCAAAGTCCTCCAATACACCGTATCGCTGCTTCACAGATCAGAGCAATGACTTCGTAAACCACAGAGACGGATGACAAGCAATTAAGTCCTCATCGGCAGAGCCATCTCCATTCTGGTCCTTAATTAGTTTTTCCCTTTTTGACTTTATTACGTAAACTGTCCTCAACCACCTGCTTTCATGTGTGGGGCCACCGGCTCGTCACTGTGCTTCTCTGCAGCAACGATCGTGGTGGAAAACCTTTTTTTGAATGAACGAAACGATTTTAAGATTCAGCTCCCGGCTGGATGACAGAACGGGGAAACGCAAGTGAAACGTACGGGACGAGTGTTTTAAGACTCGCGTCACCCTGATGGGACGTTTGCTTGTGCAGAGAACTCCAGCAGAAACGTCCTTCTGCACCGTGACGCCTTTGCAAATCCTTCATTGAGCCACATCATGTTTACTCATCTCTCTCTACCACTCTGTCCTGCACTCGATGTTTTCTTAGCATTTTAAGGGGTATTATTGTGATGAATGATTTCATTTTTTTTTAACAAAATGTATGTATTTACGTGTATCGTTTGAAACATAAAGTGAACAGGAAAAGAAATAAAAATTCTCATCTTTTTCTTTTCAGAAATATTCCAGGCCAAAAATATTTATTGCATTAGAAATACACAAATTCCCAGTGTGGTCCCTCCCAGCAGCAGCGCACGCACAAACCGTTTTAGTCACGTTCATGTTGATGAGCGTCGTCATTGCACATTTCGAGAAGTTAACAGATTCTTGTGTTCCAGATCTTCTGAATCCGACACAGCTCCTTTCACAGTGAAAGATTCCTTTTATAGGTGATTAACTGCTCCTTTATGTCCGTGACATGTCGGGGGGGCGAGACCGCCGCGCCCCGAAGGCTCCACTTAAAAACATTTCACTTTCATCTCTCTGTCCCGAAAGTGCTGACTCTCACCCTTTTTCGCGGGTTGAAAATCGGAGCCCGGGGGGGGGGTCAGGTCAGAAGGTCAGGCTGGAGTGGGGTGATCACCACGGGCTCCAGCTTATCCGACAGCACATGGAGGATCTTGTCAAACTTCTCGTAGCGCTCCGCCTTGTCGGCCAGCGACCCCGAATGACCCCAGAGCAGACGCAGGGCGAACTCTGTCCGGAAGGCCTCCAGCAGCTCGGGGACGGGCTCCCAGCTTCCTGCCGGAGCAACGTGACGGACGTCCCATCAGATACAAAAAGAATCGTGTCGTTCCACGTCAATGTGCTTCGTAATGAAGAGCAGGCGCACTTTGCTTGGACAGGAAGTACCAACGCGCCTCGTGTGAGATCTATCTCTACTAGATTAGTATAGACCAGCGGTTCCCAAACTCAAGAATGCCGCGGCCCAATTTGAATTGTGAAAATCTTTTGCGGGCCATCAAAACATAAACTAGGGATGATTAAATGTATGTTTTGTATACCATTTTTTCCGGAGCTCATATATGTTTACTTTAATACTACAAGAGGGCGCCCCATTTGACATTTTTATATTCATTTCAAACTTTTAAAATTAACATTTTATTTATTTATTTATTGTAAATGACCTCCCGCGGCCCACACTTTGGGAATCGCTGGTAGAGACTAAGAAAAACTCACAAGTCCTATATTTCTGATCTGGTTTGTGCATTTAATTAGGATTTCTGTAATAAATTCATTATATTAACCAATAACTATGAATACCGGGAAACGACTACAAAAAAAATTCAAATTTGTTTCGAATTTTATTGGAATATTTTTATAAATTTTATAATTTATATTAATCTAATTCTTAAATCCTACTTTTAACTCTTTATTTTTTCTAAATAATCAAATCTCGCACTCACATCACCTCGTTAAATACATTATTTATATATAAAAAGGGAGAAGACGTTACTGCGCGTACCTGCGAGCAGAGCGCGCGCGTGCTGCTGGTAGTCCGGCGCGTGCAGCGCCGCCCTGCGAGCCGCCTGCAGGACGTCGTAGAGAAGCTCGCAGCCCCGCTCGCTGTCCTCCACCGGGTCGTCGCCCTCCATCGCCATCAGCAGAGGGACCAGGTGCGGCACGGCCACGGGTCCGCTGACCACGGAGTCTGCAGGGGGGGGGGGGGACACCAGAGCGCGTGGGGGTTCAGGGCGGGACGAGATGGTTCCAAGCCGCCGCCGGCCACAGGTGCGTTCGGCTCTCCGTCCGGGTAACTCACCGTCGCCGTCGTTCAGCAGGTTCATGAAGGGTTTGAGTTTCTTCTCAAATAAAACGGCCGTGTCCGTGTGGTTCCTTCTCAGCGCTCGCCACGTCATCTCCAGGCGCGTTATCTGCTCAGTTATGAATACTTATTATGTGGCATAAAAAATGCCAGACAAAGTCAATGCCATTATTACGGGATACTTTACTCTGACTTTTTGTATGACATACTAGACTTTATTTCTGATGGAATACTATGATATTTTGATTATTTTATTTATTTTAATTGCGCACTATATTACGATTTCACGACAGTTCTCACAGCATTCGATTGTCACATTTGACGAGCTGCCACAGTGAATTGTGATGACGACATTACCTGGGGCATATCTAGAGCCTTCATCACGGCGGAGAAGGAGTACAGGTTGTGGGCGTGTTCTTTCAGGGCCTGGGCCAATAAGATTAGTTTATGTAAGACCGTTGCCCTTTGGCTCACGGTTCCTGTGCAGCCCAAGATGTCCACAGCAACTCCCAGCGCTATTAGATGATGCCTGGAAAAGATTTTAGAGGTGTGAGGGCAGAGATGACCGAAAAAGGCAGTAGGTGGGACGACCGTTTTCTCACTTTCTTACTTCGAGCTATTCCGGAGTCCAGCTCGCAACAATGAGGCTAATTTAATTTCGTAGTAGAGACTAAACTAGTAGAGATTTCACTTGTACTGTTAATTTATATTGCACACATTTCATTAAATTTTTTTTACAACCTGCTCAGTTTTGCACATTTTCCCTTACCTCATTTCTGCCTTATTTTTATTTCATGTACATTTATGTAAATATTGAAATTTTTATTTTAATTTTAAAATTGGTCGGCTTTCCAGAAAAGGCAAGCATAAGCATTTTCATACACAACGGGTGTGTATTTGACAATAAAATCTTTGAATTGAATTGAAAATCATGACGATTCCCGCCACCAGAGGGAGTCAACGCTTCAAGCGCTCTCGTACCTTTCTAACAAATCCTTCCGTAACTGGCTTCCGTGCGGCAGAGTGACGAGCTCCAGCCCCGACCCGACTCCCATGGACGTCTTCTGCTCGTCGGTCACGCCGACGATGCGCGCCACCTGCAACACATTGGTCACGTGGGTATCGTCCCTCTGCTGAACAGCATGGCTTCCGGGCCGAGCGTTTGCGCCGGACGTCACTTGCTACCTGGCAGTCGACGCTGAGCATGTGCAGAGCGGTGGCCTCGGCCTTGGAGCGGTTGAAGAGCTCTTTGAGTGCCAGCAGGACGGCGGGCTCCAGAGGCCGGTTGTTCTCCGGCAAGAGCTTCGAGTGAAACTGATCCAACTGGAAGCACGAGGCCGACTCCACCTGCGTTGGAGCGAGAGGGAAGTCAGGACACAACGGAGCCTTTGTGGTGTGCGACGGACGAGTTATTTCCGTTAAGAGTGGCTGTTATTTCTAAACGGTAATAAAAAGCCGTACACAGCAGTATTGAAGTAGATGGGTCACCTGTTGGAAACAACACAAGGGTGGATGCATGTGTAGATCGGGTTCTTATAATCATCTTTAAAACTCAGGAATATTCCTGGATAATAATAACTGTCTAACAACAGTAATAATAATTTACTGTCACGGGAGACAACGACGTTGGAGAACTTGAAACCATTGAATCTTTGCATTTTAAAGACTTGAGAACATTTTTTGTGGAGATGGACTTATCAATTATTTCACTGCAACTATACGATACAGGACTGTAAATGTAAATTCCATCTACAGCCGTCTCACTGATTCCATATTATCAGGAAATTTATGGCGGACTTGAATGGAAGAAATCAAATATCTAACTCCAAAACTGTACGGCATGCATGTGTGTGTGTTTATATATATATATATAATGTGTAAAAAGAACAAACTTGTGGCTTCTGAAAATGCCAATCCTCCCCTCCCGGCGGCGTCATCTTCTGCGGCAGCTGTGACGCCTCTTCGTTCTTCTGTGCCTCCAGGAAGCCGAAGGACGTCTCGGTGAGGCGGGCGCGGCTCTGCCACTTCTCCTCCGCACGCAGTCGGTCCACGTGACCCTTCTGCCGGGCCTGTGGCACCTGGACGCAACACGGACGTAAACCCTCCGTGGACAATTTAGCAGCCCCCCCCCCACCCAAACCTCCCCCTCCAGACAGATGAGGTCTCAACATGAATAGATGAGCTGTGATTGGCGGCGACTTCCTTACCTGGATGACCAGCTCGTCGTAGAAAGAGGAGGGGTCGGTGGGTGGGGGCGGGACGCCGTTGCCAAATATTGTAGAGACCCTGAGAGGTTTAGGAGGAGCTCTGGGGTGCAGCTGCCCGTCCGACCCCCGCAGAGTCACACCACCACCTGCAGGGACGGAGGACTGAGTGACGCGTCTGTGCCGTTGGAAGGCTCCATTTTTATTTTATTTTTTTTAGGAGGAACGTGATAAAAGGAATGTACGCCGGTCACCTGGGTGGGAGGGGCGCGTGTGTCGCGGCCGGGGGCTCAGCAGGGGTTCGCTGCCCGTGCGAAACACCGGCGAGATGGGGGCGGGCTCCGTGTCCTTGGAAGGAGCGCTCTGTGGAACGCCTGGATGAGGGAGACGGGACGAGGCAAGAAGTTGACGGATCAACAGGATTTCTTCCGCGTGTTTCCGATGACGCTTTTGCTTCGCGCTTGTTACACCTTTCTACGCTCAATCCTGGAGATACAACTCACCCGTGCGCAGGTTGCTGTCCGACTGTGCAGACTGAAGTGAAGGTCCACGACCAACGTTCTCCATGTTGGCCGGCTGACTTCCGCTCCTGCCACCCAGAAAATAAAAAACGCTTGAGTTTACTCTTTCTTCACCCTGGGCCACGTTCCCGCAGACCTCCTCCCACCTGAGCAGTGGGTTGACGGCCTCCAGCGCGTCCGCGTGTTCAGAACTGAAGCTGCGCCTTATGTTGGCCTGAGAGGGTTTCTCTCTCCTGGCGGGGGGCTCCACGCCCCGCTCGGCGATCACGCGAAGGGGAAGGGTCCGCGTGATCGGGTGAAAGATCACGGCGCCAGAGCCCTGGGAGATGGGCAGCCGGCCGCCCACGTAGAAGCGGATCAGCGCGGGGACGTTGTCGAAGCGATCCTTCTCGAACTGGAACAGCTCCCGGGAGTAACCCTGTCCACGCGCAGGACGGAGGCAGAGCTTTTATGGGGAAGGTCATCGTTTTAAGTTACAGACACTCGCCGCAAATGCAGCTTTGCAGAGGTCACCTGGGACCCATTGCAGTTCAAATGTATTCACAGATCAGGTGTGATTTGAGTAGTTGCAGTTTACATTTATATGTCTATGTGTCATAGTACCGGCACCCATGGGTGTCCTTCATTGTAAACAATGGGAATCAAAGCGGACAGCGGCTGCCGAGCTACGAACTTCCCCGAGCAACGTACAAGAGGTCTGATAAATAAAACTGTATCTTCTGGTCAGACGGTTTGCTCATGAAATCTGTTCACATTGTGTTTGCTTTTAATATTGAAAAGTTGTTTTTTTCTTTTGTGGAGTAAATGTCGAGGGGCGGGACCCTAATGTGTATTCCCGTAAAGATTAAATTGAACATTGAGAAAAACGCAGAACTCCTCACGCGAAGAAGCCGAGATCAGCGAAAAGTTGGAATTGGCAGCTACGTAAATAATTCCAACAATTCATCCCACTATTCCCCGCCGGCAGCGCATGGAGAGGAATCACCTCGACATACCTCTTTGGGACGAAGGATCACGCGTATGATCTTGAAGTGCATGGGCCCGTCCTTCCAAAAGCAGCTCAGAACGTAGTCGCCAGGGGAAGAGCTTGACTCTCGGACCAGGAAGTCCCCGTCCCTCTCGAACAGAGACTCTGCCGCCTGGAGACGAGTCAGGAGGTACGACAACTTCATGAAGGTATCAATTACAAGACGCTGGTCTTAGGCTGCATCAGTTCTAGCTCTTAATTAACTGGGGAACGTTTAGGAAGACCAACGATCTCCTCAGTGGTCAATCTATATCTATCTATAGAACAGTGTTGGTCTTTGAGCACCTCTCGGCTCAGCGGTCCGTGGAACCACGCGTGGCTCCTCGGGTCGTCGGTGCTGAGCTTCAGCTCCTCCTCCAGCTCCTTCTTGAAGGAGTCCATGTCTTTGCGCCCGCCGAACACCTGCGAGGCACGCGGCAAAGCCCTCAATGCACGCAGCTTTCTTTGCTCACACGTCGCATGTGCGGCGGCCGGTATGCAGGGAAGATATGAAGGAGAAACCTGGCGCGTAACCGCTTACCTTCAGCTGGCTGAGGTATGCGCTGACGCTCTTCCTCTTGCTGAAAAACAAGAGCGGAGAGATTATTGGGAGCTACTGAACCAAACAGCAGCGAGTCACAGATAACCCTGCAATTGTTTTTCATTTAAACATGAATTGTACGGGAATGGAAGGCCACTGCCAAGGTCTGGATCTGCCATTAACCCCACAGAAACAACACAAAAAAAACAAAACCCTGAGGCCTTTTAATAGCGTGTTTTCTTTCCCGTCCTTCCTTCCTCCCCGAAGCCTCCACCTTCCTGTCGCTGTAAACACAAGGCTAACAGATGAACAGCGCACAGAACTCCCAGCGGGACGGATGGAAAACCGCGATCACATGAGCCGCGGCAGCACATCTACATCTTTGTCTCCCTCTCTCCGGGTTTTAACACTGCGGAACAAATGGAGTGTTGGAGGATTGCTGCGGGGAGATGCAGAAACGGTGGTTTGACGTTTACTTGTTTAGCCGGCTGCGACCCTGAAATGACTAATATCCAACATCCAATGAAGCACAACACAGACGCGCCTAACTGCCCTGGTTCCTTAGGTAAAAAGCAAAGAATACTTTGGTCAGATATAACAGTACTACAAGGCATCCTGCAGTAATGAGTTTAGCTTTGGGTAAAACTGCCATAGGACGGCCTTGTGTTATCAAACAGACAGTGATACCAACGTTTTAGAATTAATGATGTCCTCAAGACACCAAAACAGAACGGTCTAAATAAGTTACGCTTGTGGGAGCTATTTAGTTTTATTATTCTAATTGTTTGGGTAATTGGGTAATGCTGTGGGCACCTGGAGGTTACTTAGCCAGGTGGGACCAGCATGCACCTGGGTGACGGGTGGTTTTTACCAGTGAGACGGAGCGACGGAGCACTGCATAGGAAGGCAGACGAGTTGTATCGTATGTGTTGTGGATCCTGTGGAATAAAGGCGAAACAGAGGAAAAGATCGCCCGGACGATCCGCTTTCTTACTGCGTGAAAGAAAACAAAAACTAGGTGCAGCAGTGGCCCTTTGAGATGTAAAGATTTGTTGGTAACAACAACACTTTCACTTGTCTTATATGTCATTTATAAAATGGAATCCTGTTTTCATTGAGATTTAGAGTTGTTTCTCAAAGGTTTTCTGGTATATTTGGGCCTATACACCAATAGGCTTAAGACTCAAGCCTATATTCACACATAAATGTCTGAATGTCCACTCAATAACACCAGAAATACACTTTCAGGGGAGAAACACGGAATCACATTAAGTCTAAAAATACAGGAATGAAATGTGAAAAATAAATAACATTTCCTCGGTGTCCACAATAGTAGTGTAGACACAACTTCATGATTTGTTGTACTACTTAAATATTTATATTTTATATTTATTATATATATTCTATACGTTTGTTATAGCACAAGATGAAGAAAACAGATTTATTTTCAGATTCGCTGTTTATCAAACGAGTTGCTAATTAATGAACTGTTTATTATGAGATTAGTTCTTAAATGTACGTTACATTTAATCCGAAAATATTTATTTTATTTATTTATAATATAATTATTTATTTATTATTTATTTAATATCACCACCACAGAGTTTTTTTTAAATAGTTTAAAACAGACAACATAAAGCAGCCTTTATCCGAAGGGTCTGCGTGACGCACGTATGCATGTAACGTTACAGCTGCACGTCAACAAGCAAACGCGGACACGCGCGCAACAGCGCAACCAGGTGAATCCCACCTGGAGCGTTTGTGTGCAACACCCTGCCGGAGGGGCGTTGGTCCGGAGACACCTGAGCGGTTTATCGTGACACAACGACGCGTCCAACCACGCCGTGAAGCCCCTTGACGTGTTATTCTGCGTGGTGCCACAGTGGAGCTACACGAGCAAGTCGCCACCTGCCTTCTGCTCAACAGACCCAACTGTCGTTATGTTCTGCGCTAAGGTTGTGCAACAGGTAGACGACGTTGCGGCTCCAGGTAAATGAGTAAAGGAAGCAAAACAAAGTCTTTTTTTTCTTCTTCTTCTTCTCTATTACAGACTAAAAAGTGAGCAGCTTTATTTTCGGGGCCTATATGACCGAATATCCAGCAGGTAAATCACTGCGCAGCAAAAACGCACTAAGACCAACCAGCGAAAAGTCTCGCGTTAATTCACGTTAAAGTTGGGCTCTGGCGCCGGTCCTACCTCTCGGGTCCTCTTCACAGCTCGCCCGTCCCGGACATGCTTCTTTGCTTCCCCCCCCCTTCCACCACCACCCTTTTTTTTTAACAATTGTTGGTCCAAATCTGCGCCGCCAAACAAACAGCTGCGGGTCTCCAGGCGTCCAGGTCGTCTCTCCGTCGGTCCCTCCTCCTCCTCCTCCTCCACCTCCTCCTCCTCCCTGCTGTTCTCAGACCAGTTCCTACACGTTCCCCGGAGCTTTCGACCCCCACCCCCCCCGCCGCTGCTGAAACGCGGCTCTCCGCTTGGCATTCCTCGGATACCGACGCAACAGCTGGACGCACGCGTCACCTGTGCGCGTTACGCGGTGGGAGCCCCCCCCGGAAGCCCCCCCCCCCTGCTCCCACGTGTCGCTTGGTTAAAAGGTGACATGTCGATCTGACCAAACGCTTTATTACACACAGAGACCCAGAACTATTGCACAACACAACTGGTTTCGAGCATTTGTCAGCCAATCCGAGACAACCGGGAACCGGGACTCTTACTTATCTCAATAATTATGTATCAAAGGAGAAAACCTTTAAAACTAAACTAAAGGGCTGGTTCACACAAAATACAAGAGCAGTCTTGTTGAACCAATAGACTCACCTTTTATATTCTCTCGCCATGAGTTATGTGCGGTGGTTTGGAGCACTAACCAGATGTGAACATTTCTCGCTGGAACAAGACTCACGTCCCAAGTATAGTCGTCATGTTTTCGCCTCTTGTTTGCAATCTGAGCACTATACAAAGTATGCGTATATTCAACATAATACAGCTGCACGGTACAGGCTTCAGCTAAACGATGAATTCGGTTCGGCCGGCGAGATGCTCAACTTATGCACCGTAGGCTTAGCTGAACAAATGGCGACAGAATAGAACCTTACATTTCCTCCCATGTGCACAGATGTTTACGGTTTCTGCTCAAACGATGAAATGTTTAGTTGTTTTGTGAATGTCGCTGTAAAGTAACACTTCTTAAGTTTTACTGTTTGGTCCGAACAAAAGAAACTTCTTTCTGGGAGTTGCTGTCAATTTTCAGTTCTTTTCCGGACTACAAAGTGAAATCCTGCCGCTGGCCTTTTCGTTCCCGCCAACAGTCCGGGAGAGAGTGAAAACGAACATGTTGTTGCTTAGGTGAAGTGGCCCTTTTTAATGCTGAAAGAGAGCAATAAACCCTTTTTAAAAGGCGACTTGGGGATTAACAACTTCCAAACACAAACACTGGCCTTTGACCCCTCAGTCCTCGACACCAGGGGCAAAGTGCCATAAAGTGTGACCGTAATATCAAAGTCCCAAGGTGTGTTATTTACCGTGTTAGTCATTAAAAAGCAGCTGTTCCATTGGCCTACGAAGGTCTGTGACACTGATCCCTTTGAGCTTCTCATTCATATTGTCCAGTGAGCACGCCGTCACTTTACAACCCGTGACATTTAATGAGGTTGATCAATAGCCAAACCTGAACCTGAGGAAAGTGGGTCACACACACACACACACACACACACACACCGTGGGTCATCTTACCCGCGTTTCCTCTCCTGACAGCGCTCCGCCTCGCCGATGACGTTGTCCTCGTTCAGGGGGCGGAGCTGCGAGCAGGAGGCGGAGAGACGCTGTTTCCTGTCTGCGCGTTGGAGGCGGGGCAACAAGCTCTGACGAAACAGGTCCTTCCCCGGCTTCACCTGCAGGGTAAACGGTTGAGACCCAAACTTGAGTGTTTTCGGGCCGCGGCTTGCATTGTTTTTTTTTTTTTTTAAGTTACTGGGGGCGTCAGTGGTCTCACCACATCCGCAGACGAGCCCAGGGAGTACTTCCTGCTGACCCTCCGCTCCACCTGCACACCTGAGAGACGGCAAGAAGGATGTTTTAAAGAAACACTTTTTGCTCTCCTGCAGAGTTTTGCAATTCTGGTCATTTCTGTCACCTTCAACCAGATGTGCAAAACTTGTTTCCCTGAATGTTGCACTACTCCTTTAATTCGTGCATACTGTGAGGGGTCTGAAAGTGATACCGTTGCCGGGATGATAGCATTTCATTTTTCACTCTTAGTCACTTTGCAGGCCTAAGATGCAGCACAATGCATTATGTTCGCCGCCTGATGAACGAGTTGGTTAGAACACTTTTCTATTTGAACGCTGGATCATTGGCCAGTGACGGTCACCAGAGCGCGGCTCCAGCCTCTGCCGGTGTCTTGAAAGTTGATCGAGGATGATCTCCCTGTGCGTCGCATCCTCGACCCCCGAATCCTTCAGCTCCGCGTCGGTTACACCCAGCAAACCCTGCAGACGACACCCGAGCAGAGCGAGCGGGAGGAAGAGGCAAAGAGGAATTAAGGGCCGCGACGATTGAAGCACGGCAGGAAAGAGACTGCTTTTCGCTCATTCGCGTACCTCCAGACCATAATATTCTCCCTCTAGTGCCTTGACGTACTGCGGCAGCCCGATCTGTTTCAGCCACCAGGCGATGGAGCGATTATTCATGTCTGAACAGCAAAAGCAGGGGAAGATACTGGTTACATACCAGCACACATGAACACACACACACACATGCTTAGACATGTTTTGTTTTTTTCCAGCAGATGTTTCCATTTCCGAGCAAAGTTCTTTAAAACGAGTAACGGCTTACTTTTTAGAGATAATCCAACCAGGCGAGTAGGCAGAGAGCCGCTGTGTGGTTTCCCTTGCAGCAGCTACAGTATGTAACACCTACCTGTTTGCAGGGTCCACCGAGTCCCGCTCAGATATCGCTCCCCTCCTTCTCCTGGGAGCACTTCTGTGTCATAATGCCCTTTTCCCGCCCCGCATTCCCTCGGGGTTCCTGCTTCCTTCGCAGCGGCTGGTTGTGACCGTCTCGTACTTAGTGGTAACAGTGGAAGCCCGCGCCCCCTCAGAACCTGCAGGGTCTCTCAAAAGGCCGATCAAAGCGTGCAGAGGGCACAAAGCCGCCGCCCCCACCCCCTCCTCTCAAACAACAGCAAATCACAGCGCAGGAAGTAGCGCGAGCTCTGAGAAGGCAGAGCGTGCAGGTTGAGGCCCGTTAAGACAGAGAGGGTTCAGAAATACCATCATATTAAACTGTCAGCGGACGCATCAAGTCAAAGTTGGGCGTGCATGCGCCGTGGTCAGTCCTGCAACCCGTCGGACCGGGGGGGCAGTGGGGGAAACAGGGCCTCAGGGGATGTGAACAATGCTGACACCTGGTGTAGAAGTGAAACCCGACACCCTGACAATTTATTGTCAATCGGGACCAAGTTACATTGTTTTACATCTTCTGTCACTGAGGACACACCGGAAGACGAAGGTGTCCACAAGGCGGTGACACGGTGCCGGGGAGCATTATGAGCTTTTATGGGGCTTGACGGCGGTTTTATGGATGTGCCGTTCTAAATCCCCAGAGGGCCCCTTTAGCCTTTAGAGACCCCTGTTGTTTTTGTTCTTTCTTCAAGGTATAACAGGGGATCTTTGGATTGATGATGATTATCTTTGAGGGCCGTTCCCACGCTAGGTTTTGTCGCGTTATGTCGCAAGTTTTTACCACCTGTGAATCAAAATCAAATGAAGACACCAAAACATAGAGGAACGCCTTGGAAAAATCTGTGATGGGATTTTGCATTTTAAAACTTTTAAATTTAAAGATTGAAGGCAAAACCGTGGCTGTGAAGCAAAACGTTTCCACAGTTTCCCCTCCGCCAAACACAAGTATGTGATATCATGTGTCATATTCATATACAGGAATAAATAAATAAATAAAAAACGTTGGATCTCTCATGTAGAGTTTGAAATGTCATTCTTCAGTGGAGGAATATCACACCCCTTCCTCTCTTTTCTTTGATTATTACAAAATGAAAAAATGGTGATTCTGCACTCCGTCAATATATTTTGCTTCTCCAATCTATTTTCAGTTTGAGCTCTGGAAATGTGTGGGTCAAAGTGCCTCATACAGATGGGTGAGTAAGATGCTTACAGTTTTAAGAGTAAAAGTTAAAATAATACACAAAAATCCCTCCTGTCAAAGATGTCCGTCAGGTGGATGATTGTGAAGTTGCTGTCAGGAAGTAAATCCCTGAGAATACGTAATACTGTAAAGGTCACATTTTGCATAAAAAAACCTGCATAGTTACCACTTACTTCAACATTCAAAAGTTGCATTAAAAAGTACAATATTTAGACATACCAAGTAGTATCCAATGAAAATACACCCAAAAGGTGTAAATATTGTACAAATTGGATCAAATGTTCTTCATTATATTTCACTACTGCTGTGTCCCTGTTTTGTTCATCAGAACTCGACTGCTTGACTTGCTGATAGTTGATATATATATTTTACTCTTGTAGTTGAAGTTCAATACTCTTGAGATACTTTAACAAATTAAATCTCTATGTTATTGTACGATTTGTTAACCCTAACCCCATTTTAACTCTACTTTCATCAGCTTGTACCACTCGGCAGCAGCAGCTGTGTGTGTGTGAGTGTGTGTGTGTGTGTCTCTGTGTGTTTGTGTGTGTGTGTGTGTGTGCGTTTCTGTGAACGCGAGGGTGCGTCAGAGGAAAAAGGAAGTTGCGGGGATGAAGTTAAAAGTCTTCCGACACATTGCAGCTCTGCAGAACACCCACCACGGAAGAGAGGCACGACGAGAGCGCCGGAGCCCGACGATGACACCGTGAGAGGAAGAGCGCGCCGTGAGAGAAAGACAGCGGACGGCGGCGAGGACCTGCAGGTGAGAGGCGACTGTGGCGCTGATCCCACACACGCGTGCAGTCACAACAGTATTACCTTTTCTAGCGGGGTAGTTTCTGGCTTTTTTTTGGCGGGGTGGGTTCTCTTTCAAGAGGGCCGCTTCAGTCTTACACAGAAGTGGAGGCCTCCATGAGGCTGTGATAATCCCCCATATTCAGATACAGGTTAACTGAGGCCAAAGGGAGAAGTTGAACCGTCACTCGAGTGTCCAGATGTTGTACAGAGTGATCCGTGGTAACTGCTGGTGCCCGTGTGCGCGTGTCTCTGCCGTGTCAAATACCATCCACCCCTCCTCAGAAAACAAAGATGGAGTTGTGGCGGCAGTGCGCGATGTGGCTGATCGACTGTCGAGTTCTCCCCGAGAACCACCGGGTCACATGGGAGGGCGCCCAGGTAAGTCAGCCGCGCGCGGCACGCTCCGCACGCACACACCCCGCGGGAGAATATACGCGACATCCCGTCCCGATTTATTGCGTGTGCCGTGGCAGGTGTGCGACCTGGCTCAGACGCTGAGAGACGGCGTGCTGCTCTGCCAGTTACTCAACAACCTGCTGCCTCAAGCCGTCAACCTGCGAGAGATCAACCTGCGGCCGCAGATGTCCCAGGTAGCACGCACACACACACACACACACACGCACACACACACACACACACACACACACACACACACACGCACACACAGACACAGAAAAACGTTTCCTGATCCATTTCCATAGACCATTTCCATAGCGACCACAAAGCTGGACTGAAGCTGCAAGGTGTCCAATAGGAAAATACTGGGATCAGTTTCCGACGGGTGGGGCGTACAGGTGAACAGGCGTACAGGTGAACAGGTGAACAGGTGTGGAGATTGAGGAGGGGATGATGAGGAAGAACTGGAAAAGAGAAACGGCTTGACGTTACCATGAGAGGTCAAAATCACCGTTATTAAACTTTTAAAGTCTTGTTTTCAAAAAGGAGCTTGGAGAAAAGCTTTGAAATAAATACGATCTGACCAACCAGCCCTTCTGAAGCTCACCAATGATCATCTGTTAAATCCGAATCCTTAAATCCTTTTTGTGGTGCTTTTCGTCGCCTCGCAAGTTCTCTCCGCCAAGAAACAACCCGACACTAAAAGGCTAACTGTCGTAGTCGCATTTTTTCTCATAAAGATCAAATAAAAGATATATATCTCGATCAAGCTTTTGAGAACCAAGCTGGCGGTTTCCTTCTGTTCCAAGTCTTTGTGCTAAGCTAAGCTAAGCTAAGCAAACCGGCTGCCGGCTCCAGGTGAAATTGAAAAATCCTTCGTAGAAAAATGTCAAAGTCAGTGAAAATATGTGTGACATCCAGTCACGAGATTAGTGTCATAGGAAGTCCTCGATCACATATGATGGGACTCACCGTGATGTCTCAAACGTGCGTGCGTGTGTGTGTGTGTGTGTGAAACTCTGGAAAATCCTTTGAGGTCAACCGTGTTTGAGAAACATCCGTAAAAGACGGGAGTCCACTCTGATGTGCGCACACACACACACACACACACACACACACACACGCACTGATGCTGTGCCACAAGTGGAGGATCTTCCCAGGGCTGTTGTGACACTACGCCGCGCTGCAGCGATGTGCTCTGCCGACAGAACAATTCGGCGTGTGCAGCAGTATCAGTTAGAAGTCAACATTTCCCCTTTTCTCAAATTAGACTTCTGCATTCCCCTCCTCCCCCCCTCACCCCTCCACCCCTCTCCTCCCCCCTCCCTGAACGGCCAGAGACAGCAGAAGTGAGAGAGAGAGAGAGAGAGAGAGCAGCTGCTTCAGGAAGTTGTGTAGAACGATGAATGTGGTGCGCCGGCGGGTCGCACACGCTGAGCGCTGCGCTCTGTGTGGATTCTTTTGTGGTTGTAGATGCTGGTTATGAAACATAAAAGGTCCTTCGAGCAGCTTCTTATCGGTTTTGAGACGTTATCTCGAGCTGGTTTCACTCCTCTCGGCCTCGCTGAGGCCTTTGCGGCCGAGCGGTTTTGTGCGTCCGCGGCGCTCAATGTGCTCATCAAACTTTTACATTCATGTTCCCCAGAGGATTTAATTTGACTCAAATGACTTTGGCACCAGTGGGTTGAATTCTTTACTCATCCTGTGAACTATTTCAACATCTTCTGGACAGTTTGGTACAGAATTCAGTACACATGTGTGGCTTTCACTTAATGCATCTTACTGACTTTGGTGGTTCTGTGTTTTTGTTTTAGCGTCATATAATACTTTAGTTTATATTTGGATGGCAATGTGCTGCACAATACGGGGGAACACGGTAAATATTATAGAAAAAATGTATTTGCTTTGTCATTGTCTTCACGTTAGCATGCCGATGTTAGCATGTAGCGCAATAAACAAAGAGAGCTTTGCGGAAGCCGCGGTCTCGCGAAACGTTCTGTGGACAAACTCAACAGCTGAAGCAAAAGTAAATTAACGTCTGCGTCTGTTTCTCAGTTCCTGTGCCTGAAGAACATCCGGACGTTTCTGGGAGTTTGCCAGGAGAAGTTTCATCTCAAGAAGAGCGAGCTGTTCGAGGCCTTCGACCTGTTCGACGTTCGAGACTTCGCCAAGGTAGATCCCGCCGCCCGGCCTCTGCCGCCTCGTCCGCCCGTCACGTGGGGGGGAAAGGCGTCAACCCCTCTTTCTGCGGTTGTCACAGAAGAAGTCAGAGGCGAGAACGGTCCTCGCTGCAAACTCGCACACTCCCACAAAGCCCCAAACAGGAAGTACTTTGGTAATTGTCTAATTGTGCGCCGAGGACCCGAATTCTTTCGAGAAGAAAAAGAAAGAAAACGAGTCAGGGAGGTGAACCAGTCAGGTCTTTTTACAGCTCTTGTTCTTTTCGTGTGGTGTGCAGTTACTGCCGGCGAGCTAGTCAACCAGGGCAATAAAACACTGAAAAAAACACCCGCATGGTGTCTTCTCAACAGCATGATTTAAAGATAGGCATCTTTTCTTAGTTTATCGTCATGTGAACAGCGATGAGTGCCCGTTTGCTCGCTTGGCTCGCTAGAAACCGATGAACTCCTCTCATCGTAGAGCTAATAAGTGCAGAGGTCTTCCTTCTATATTCTGCTAACCAGATGGCCGCATCGTCTGCTGTGGTCCTCCTGCAGACTCTCACTTCTTCTTAATTCTTTCCCGTTCTCACTGTCTTCTTTTTTTTTTTTTTTTTTGTGTGTCTGAGAGAAAATAACCCGGAACTCCGCGTTGAGCCCGAACAGAAGTCGAAATGTCAAGATTTTGGAAATGGAGAACCCGTAAAACGTTTAACTGACATAAAGCCAATTTCCCGACAGAGACTCGCCGACACCTTGTCGCTTAATCAGAAAAGTGCGTTTCGCTTCGATCGCCCCGGGGACATCTGTGAGTTGGTTCCGGATAACATCGCCCCGTCAAATAGTTTATCTGAGTCAACACTTTGTGTCACCGCTGTTCTCACTTAGAGAGTCGGGTAGCGTTGCAATGGCAGTGAAACCAGTTCTCAGGAGAACTGATCAGCAGCAGCGTTCAAAGTGTGTGAGGCTCTCATGACGGGTGTGTTCTGTGTGTGTCTGTGTGCGGCAGGTTATCGACACCTTGTCCATCCTTTCTCACTCATTCATTGCTACGCAAGGGAGACTCCAGTAAGTAACGTCCTTCCTCTGTCATTCATCAAAGTAATGTTGTTTTTTTGTAACACCTAAAAAAAAAAAACCCAAAAAAACCCCCAAAAAAACATGCCAACATTCTCACACAGAAGCTGCCAGACAAAGTGCCTCTAATCTGATCTGACTTTATAAATGACTTCTAACACACTGGAATGTGTTATACACAGATAAAGTGACACTTTTAAGTGTTTAAGAAATGTTCTATATTATTACAAAGTAGTTGACATTTTTAATTTAGTGCCACAACAGTGAAACTTGTGTTCTGACTTCAATGTGAATTCAACAGAAATATGATCAGACGTTATTGTCACCTTCTCCTCTCGCAGGCCTTTCCCCTCTGAAGGATGCACTCCCGATGAAGACATCTACAGCGGACTGTCTGACCTGATAGAGTAGGTCTTTTTTTTCTCAAAATAATCCATAATCACTTCCGGGGTTTCGCCGATAACTTGACGGTGCGCGTCGTGTGCATCAGTGACACGGTGGACGGGGATGACGACCTGTACGACTGTGTGGAGGACGAGGAGAACGAGGGAGACGAGATCTATGAAGACCTGATGAGGACGGATGAACACGCGAACACTGTAAGTCAACAGGGAAGGTCTCTGGTTTCTTTGAGGAACCAGGTCTGCTGTTATGAAATCCAGGCCACAGTCTTTTTCTATTCTTTTTTTTTCACTTGAGACCTGTTATTGCATTTCTATTTCTACTGTGGTCATTTTAAATGATTCAGAAAATGCCAAAAAAAAAGGGATTAGAGGACCGACGTGTCAGAAATGTGTCCTTCTTTGTGTCACTATGAGATATTTTGGGAAGCCGATAAGAGATCTTCAGATAACAGCCGCATCACCGAGCTAAGAGACACAGTCCTCTCTGTCCTAAATGAGGCCTCAGGAGAGTCAGCGTTACAAATAGTACAAAAGTATTTTATCAAATGTTGTTTTCTGTTTTCTCTGTGAAACAAATAGAACAAATTACACACAACAATAACCAAAGATACTGCGTGCAGTAGCAACAGTTGGTTTAATTGAACAACCAACTAACATCACGAAAAATACATGAATCTACCAGTGTTAAGAATTAAAAAGTGATGTCCTTTCAAATCCTCACGTCTGGTCTCTTTGTGCTTCTTCTTTTCTTCGCGTGTGTTTCTGCAGCAGCCGAAGGCCGGAGTGGACAAGCGCGAGTGCTGCCTGCAGGAGATCAGACAGACGGAGGAGAAGTACTCGGATACACTGCAATCGATACTACAGGTGGGCACGAGTCCACCACCTGATAAGAGGAGATCCGCGTGGAGGACGTCGCTCGCACAGGCACACAAAAAAAGCATGCATGTCCTCTGACGGGAGAGTAACACCCATGACTTCTGTATTTGCGCAGCACTTTATGAAGCCTCTTCAGAGGTTCCTCCAGGCTCCAGACCTGGAGAGCATCTTCATCAACATAGTGGTACGAGACCCGGCCGCGTGAACACGTTACTTCCATGCATCGAGCCCCGTAAAACATGTGTCTTTCCGCGTACTTGCAGGATTTGGCAGACACCCATCGCAACATGTTGGAGGAGGTCCGGAGTTCCATCCTGGATCACGGGGCGAAGAACCTGTACCAGGTGTTTCTGAAGTACAAGGAGAGGTACACAGCACAGACGGCACTCGCTCAGTCGGGACACGTACTTGTCGTAATATGTTCTGAACCTACACATCGCCTCCCTCCCCTCAGGCTCTTACTGTACGGCCATTACTGCAGTCAGGTGGAGGCGGCAACGAAACACCTGGACAAGCTTTCCAACACGAGGGAGGACATCAGGATGAAACTGGAGGTGAGGAGGAGACGCGCGGCTTCTGTAACCACGGCCTGCGTGGGGAGGGCCTTCCGGCCGTCAGGGGGATTTTTTTTATATGTGTTTGGTTTGGGACTGCTGGGTCTGCTGCACAACATCCTCTACACACAAGTATGGTTAACTGCAGGTGTCCCCCCCCTCCCCCATTCTCTCTCTCTCTCTCTCTCTCTCTCTTCTCTCTCTCTCTCTTCTCTCAGGAGTGTTCAAACAGAGCAAATAGTCGCCGTTTTTCTCTCAGGGATTTACTCATGGTTCCGATCCAGAGAGTCCTTAAATATCACCTGCTTTTACAGGTATGTTTGTAGAAGTGCGTTTGTGTACATTGTGTGTATTTGTGGCTAAGCACTCTGCTTAAGTACAAGTTGCTTGTAACTTTTGTACATAAATCATACAGCTCTAGTAACTATAATAAATAGAGAGTTTTGCAAACAACAAGTGAAAAACAGAAGTACAGAAGTACATATATACTATAAAAGTAAAAGTTTTTTTCTAATTTAATTTGGAAATAATCAGCAGATGGATTCATTACAGGAATAATCAATAGTGCAGTCCTACACATAGACTACTAATAAAATAAATAATAATTCATGCATTTTAATTTGACATTTTCTGTCTGTTTTTGCTTGCAGGAGCTGCTGAAGCACACCACCGACCCTGCAGAGAAGGACAACCTCCGCAAAGCTCTCGACGCCATGAGAGTAAGCGCTCGTGTCAATCACCGCGCTTGATTTAGGTCACACTCAAATGTTCATTCACCGACGTGTGCGCGTCCGCAGGACCTGGCGCAGTGCGTGAACGAGGTGAAGCGCGACAACGAGATCATCAGGCAGATCACCACCTTCCAGCTGTCCATAGAAAACATGGTGAGCTCACGTGGACCGCGCTTGATGAAGGCTTTCACTTAATATGTTACTGATCGCCCCTCACTCGGCCCTCCAGACTCAGTCTCTCGCTTTCTACGGCCGGCCCAAGATCGACGGGGAGCTGAAGATATGCAGCCCGGAGAAAAAGTCCAAACAGGACAGGTGCGTTGCCGTTTGTGTCCCGGCGGATCGTTCCCCGCGCTAACGCCATAAATCTGACCCTTAATGCGCGCGGCCGTTCGCCAGGTACGCGTTCCTCTTCGACAAGGCCATGTTCATCTGCAAGAAGAAGAGCGGGGAGACGTTTGAGCTGAAGGAGATCATCGAACTACAGTACTACCAGCTGCGAGACGAAACCACGGGGGAGAAAGACAACAAGAAGGTCTTTGCACGTCCCTGCAGCACCGATTCCACCAGAGATCCATGAAAGCGTGGCTGAAGCTAACGGTGTGTGCGTGTGTGTGTGTGTGTGTGTGAACAGTGGTCCTACTTGTTCCTGCTGCTGGAACTCAACGGGAGGTGTGGATACGACTTGTTCTTCAAAACCAGGGAACTGAAGAAGAAATGGCTGGAGCAGTTTCAGATGTCTCTGTGAGTCATCACGCGTGTGCACACGTGGAAATAAATACACACCCCGAGTTGTTGCCCAAGATCAAAGTGAAGAAGGTGTGACTCTCAATGTGGTGATGTAACGCAGGTGCAACATTATGAGTAATCGAGTACCGTTGCCGATCACCTAATGAGCCTTTGACGTCATTTTTTTAGATACTCATTGGCGGGGCAGTCCGGTATATTTAGCACCATGCATCTTCCGGACAGACTTGGTGGTCGGCAGCGAGATTCTTTTTGTTTGTTTCTGCTGCCTTCGAGTGGCAACAGAAACAAGTGATGCAATTTTTAAAAATGATCAGTCAGGAAATGGAAGCAGAACCAAAGTGGTCGAGCTCGCTGGTGACTTGCAGCGTTCCGGTTGCACGGTGCATCTTTGCTGAATGGTGAACACAATAGGAAATGCACATGATTTGCACATTTTCATTTGCAGTCCAGTTCTTGCGGCCGCCGTTGTTATTTTTTTTTTTCCGGTCTCAGAATCACCAAACAGTTGCCACACACTTTTCTACGTGTGTTTGCAGGTCGAACATGTGTCCGGATAACTCCACAGCCAACAACCACGACTTCCAGATGAACTGCTTCGAGGACACCACTTCCTGCAAGGCCTGCTCGATGCTTTTGAGGTACTTTGTCTCACTCGCTTGTCCATCAGTTTGTCTCTCAGATCCAGTTTCATTTCTTTTTTCACATTTGAATCTCTCCCTCTGTCGTCTGCAGGGGGATTTTTTTCCAGGGTTATCGCTGCAGTCGCTGTAAAATGGCTGCGCATAAAGAGTGTTTAGGCAGAGTCCCGGCCTGCGGAAGAAACTCTGGTGCGTGTGTGTGTGTGTGTGCGTGCTTTTCACTGCTCAGCCTCCTTGTTGTTTCTACAACATTAAACTGGCTTTCTTTGAATTGCAGATCATGCTGGTACTGTGAGGAAGGTAAGACTGCATTTATTTTTGACACTGTGGAAAGGTTTTATATCATCCAGGTCAAGGGGATGAAAAACCTCTGTTTTTTTTCTTTCCTCTCCCTGAACGCAGGGCAATTTTAATGTTCTCCTATTAATTAACCCGCACAAATAGATCAAACTTGAGGTGCAATTATTTTGGTTTGTCTCTTGTTCCACCAGACTAAAACACGCAAGTCCACAGGAAATCCAAGCGCCGGTAAGAACTTACATGTTAAAATAGAGATATTTAATATTGAAAAGCCGGCAGTGAGGCAGGAAACGTTTAAAATCACTTTTTTTTCTTAATGACCACGATAAAGTCGACCGTGGTGATGAATGCAATTAGCGCGATCAACCGTCACTTGAAATAAGCCAATGTGAAATATTACTCCCTCAACAAAATGCGTCATGAGCCGTCTGTCTTCTGCACCACAACCGCCCGCGTGTTTAAGAGCAAACAACAATCTAGGAAGTGATGCAGCCAGAGAGCTCTTGCACTCAGAGATCCTTCTGCATAAAAATCTCAAGGTCTCCTCTTCCTTCCTCCTCGCTCTCCCTCTCAGGATATCCAAAGATGGAGGTGTGTCAAGAGTATTACGGCTTGCCGCCGCCCCCTGTGGGCTTCGGTCAACCGCTTCCCCTCTGCAAAGGTGACATCATTGAGCTGACCCGGGCGGAGGCCGACCTGTCTTGGTGGGAGGTAGCGTTAAAAAACTAAATACCAGCGTTTTCACCCCCGGCGGCGAAGGTCGTGCGTTGTTTGGTTTGCGTTTCGAGCCTCGCTTCCTGTGGTTGGTGTGTAGGTGTGTCGTTTTATGTCATTTTCCTCCATGTATCTCGTTCTACTTCCTCCCTCGGGGGCCCGGGCCGGCGCTCGTGCCTCCGCCGCGTGATTCATTTACACGGTTTTGATATGGAAAATAAATCAAACACAAAGGCTGAGTGACATTTAGCTGCTTTGGTTTCAGGCTTGAATAGAACGGAGTCATCGTCAGAGTTGGTCGGTAACATTCGCCTTGAAAAAGACCTTTGACATTTACATTGTGGTTGTTTTTTCCCCCCAATAACACTGCTGTTGGAAGGTTGACTCCTCCCACTTTCCTGCAGTTGTGTTATGGTTAGATGGTTTATTTATTCATTAAGCCTCCGGAGTCAGGTCGCCATTTTAGAACGACACAAAAACTTTATTTAAAAAAGAATTTGCATCCTGCGTTTTAGGAAAGTATATTCATCCGAAATCTTCAAAACCTGTGAAATAATTTATTACATAATGTCTCTTTGGCTCGCACCAAGATGAGGGTCCAAAGATATTGATGTTCCAATTGACCCAGTTCACGTCTGCGTCTTTTTATTTACCCGATGTTGCATTCGAGTGCTTGTGAAACTTTTGCCCAACACTTCTCCAAAGGTTTCTTCCGGTAATCTGATTTGCTTTTCTTTGTGGCACTCAGGGAAGGAACCTGACCATCGGTCAAATGGGATGGTTCCCGGGCCAGAACGTTCAGCCATACATCTCCGTGAGTACCAAGCCCGATCCGACTCTCTTCAGCAGAGATGATCCGTCTGCTTGATTGTTTGCTGTCTGAAGTAGAGAAGATCAATTCTAACCTCGGCGCGATCTCTTCCCCAGAGGCCGACCTCGGACCTCTCCGGCTTCAACTGGTGAGTGTCGACCCGGACTGGGTCACGTAGCCGTGCTTCTTCCCGTCGTGCGGTGCGGGAAAGGTTAACAGCAACGGAACAATGCTTAAAACCCCAAAACAGGAATAGGACTGTGGATGTACAAAGTAGTCTTTAGTTATTATTCACAATGGTGCTCCTTAAGATTAAAAACATAAAAAAGTCTTCCTTAAAGTGTTCATGTATTAGATTTGAAATTAGTCATTTCACTGCTGAAACTGTGGAGTGAAACTGAAATGAAAAGTCACCAACCTGCTTAATCAGTTTCACAAAACCTTTAAAAAGAACTGACTCGAGGAGTTGAAGTGTTTGATGCTGCATCTGTCAGCAACTTTCACTGCTGCGGCCTCATGCAGGGAAGTCGGTGTAAATAAAGATAAAGAATAAAGGAACTTCAATTGAAGTGTCGAAACTTCGAAGCAGAACTCTTCATTTTATCGAAACAAGCCTCCTGGTTCTCCTTCCTTTCAAACTTTGTAAAACCTTTTTTTTTAGTTTTGAGTTAGTAACGGGTCTCTGTGCTTAAAGGTTTGCAGGGAACATGGACAGGACCGCAGCCCGGAACCTGCTGGTGTCCCGGTCCGACGGGACCTTCCTCGTGCGGCAGAAGGACGGAGGAGAGTTTGCCATCAGCATCAAGTGAGTCGCTCGGACAAAAACAGGCTCCTGTGAGACGCTGCTTTGCCTTTAAGGACCACGGAGGCTCGGGGGGGGGGGGGAGAAAATAATCCGATCTCTCACGTTTTAAACTACACACCCGCTGTCCTCTAAATGACCACTATTGAATGATGGCCGCTACGCGCAGGTACACTGCTGAATGAACGCTGGTAGTCCTTCCCCTTCCTTCCACCAGCAAGTAAACAACACAAAGTCAACGCGCTATAATTGAGCCTCTTTCTGCTCTTTCAGGTTCAACATGGACGTCAGGCACATCAAGGTCACGTCCACGGAAGGCCTGTACCGCATCAACGACAAGAAAGCTTTCAAGGGTTTAGTCGTGAGTTACTTCAGGCTAAAATAAGATGACACTGACCTCGAGAAGCACACGAAAACGGACTTTCACGTCTTGAGTTATTTCCTCTTAACAAACTGCATGCATCGTCTTCGTAACCTCCGTAACCTCTTTTAGATCCTTCTTCAAAAGCAAAGTGTGATCTCACAAGGATTTTGGCCTAAAGAGAAGGCCCTCTTTTGACTTAATCTGCAGTTTTATTTCAATTATTTAAAATGTTGGTCAATATTGTATCACTTTTAAACTATTTTAAATAGTCTGGCAGTATCTTGCGGAGCACTTTTGCAACTTTTATTTTGAAAAATAAAATATGTCGTAATGATCATCATTTTTAACCCTCGTTATGTCCGTTCTTCCTGTTACTAGGAGATGATCCAGTTTTACCAGCAGAACTCTTTGAAGGAATACTTCAAGGACCTGGACACCACGCTGTGCACGCCTTACAAACAGCCCGAGCAGAGCTACTCGCCTGACCACACGCCGCACAACGCAGCGCACACCGCGCCGGACGCAACGCCAGGTACGGTGCATCTCCGCCGCTACCACGACCGCGACCGCGTTTAAGGAGAGTCAAGTGGGAAGACGGACCGCAGAGGGGTGATTGAGCTTCTCGACAAATTCTTCGCAAGAAGGCCAATGGGGGGGGAGGGACTTACTTCCAAGCGCTGTCCTATCTAACTACCTAACTCTGGCCACTTTTCTCGCGACAGGAGGCGGCGCGAGGAGCTTCTCCGCGGTGAGGGCCAGGTACGACTTCTCGGCCAGGGACCGCTCGGAGCTGTCGCTGCGGGAAGGAGACACCATCAAGATCCTCTCCAAGAAAGGCCACAGCGGCTGGTGGAAGGGAGAGGTGTACGGCCGGGTGAGGAATATTTGCAAAACCTTGAAAAGAACCGGAGAGGTCTGCGCTCAGAGACCAGCTCAGCCGACGCGTGTGCTCAACAGTTGAGGACGGGCGTAGAAGTGCACAATTGATCACATCATCACCGACGAGATGATGAATAAATAACAGGAATAGTTGTTTAAAAAAAAGCAACGTTTGCAGGCGTCTTGTCTTAAGCTGTCTCTTGGTTTTCAGGTGGGGTTCTTTCCTGCCAACTACGTGGAGGAGGACTATTCCGAGTACTGCTGATGTGTAGACCAGAAGTGTACGTTTGTAGGTTCATGGGAAACCTGGTTTGCATCGATTTGCATTGACTCGCATGCAACGGTGTGTGCGTGAAAGAGGTGTCGTTACTTGTGAAATAATGATTGTCTAGTGTTGTGAATAAAAGTTTTGTCCAGCTGATCTGAAGGTCCACTTCTCATGGTCCCTGCTGTTGGGAGATATAGTCTTGGTGCGGTTGGTCGTCCAACCATGCAAAGGTTTTGGATGGTCGACCTAAGCAGGACAGTGAGGTTCTTCAGAAGGGTCTGTCTTTATGCATAGCGGCGTTGCAATGCTTTGCTTAGTTTTGCATGATGACTGTGAGGTGTTAAAGGGTCTTACCCAAATGATGGGAACAGAATTGGATACATGAGAGTACAGACTTGACACTGTTAATTAACAGAATACCTCAAAGTGTGGAAGTGGGACCAAAAGTGCACAATCCTTTGTTGCGACTTCAGCTAAAGAAGTCTCAATAATGTGTTATTTCTGGGGTTTAGGACGGTTCACACTAGCACTCTTCTACAAAGACGAGACTATTTTAACAAGCAATGTACCAGAGAATTAGTGAAATGATCTCTGCATTCAGTATAATGTATGAAGATTAAAGTTGTTTTCAAAGTTATGTTGACAGAAAAGACTTTACGGTTATTACAGGATGACAAAAGTCCAGCACTCGGCCTCGTTAGTAGGTAAATATCCACTTTATTTCCAGAATATCAAAACAAAAACTGAACATGTATTTCACACAATTTGCAGGTAGAATTCATAAGCTAAAACAAAGTAGACACTGCTCTCTCTTTGATGATCATGATGGTTTGTGTGTGTGTGTGTGTGTGTGTGTCGCGTCTCAATAAAAAGGGTCTGTGTGGCATCAGCCGGTGGTCCTCTGGTCTACTGGTAGTACAACTCCAGGTTCATCCCATCATGGATTTCATCTGCAGAGGTCGTGGTTAAGTACGACGGATCAGGATCAAATAGTTCTGGCATTAATATGATAAAATACCTTTTCTGTTTTTCATCATTTAGAAAACACATGATCAGTTACAATGAGCTCAGGTTGCATAATAAAAAAAAAAAAATTTTAAAAGAATGCAGCCTCAAAGTATAATATGAAGAGTAGGTTCATCAAGCGTACCTACTTCTGCAAATCATTTCAGTTTAGTTCTAGTTAGTCTTCTTTTGAAAGTTAGTTACTGTTATCCATCTATACTGGTGCACAACTACACCTGCTATGTAGCGGCACCATCCACCCACCACCTTTCCTCAAATTACAGTTCATTGTTCATTAAAATGCTAATTTCTAAAGTTAGAAAATATAAGTTAGCCCTGTGAAAATATAAAAAAAAACTGAGAGAACATTGAATGAAAAGGATACAGTCACCCAGAGACACGTGGTCCTTGAATATGGTATACCTGCGGGAACAGAACATTTCATTGCTTACGGAAGACGGCCAAAGAAACGATTGTTACGATCAGTATTTCAGACAAGAAACTTACCATTTCTTTAGTACAATCTTATCAAAACGTGTTCCTGTCTGAGCAGCGATGAGCTTCTTCAGATCTCCGATAGTGTCCTCTGAGCTGAAACACGGCCGTTAAGGAAGCAGCATCGTGACAGAATAACCCAAGAACAAAGTCAAACGTGGTTTAAGGGATCCTGTTACTTCTCATTCAGCTGTACTCACTTTTTCAAAAGAAGTGTCAAGGATATTTTGTTGGTCTTGGGGGAACTCTTTATTTTATCTTTTATCTCAAGCAGCCTGAATGAAGGGTGCATTCATGATTACTCGGTACGGCACATGGGGCACATTTGAGAAGCTAAAAACAATCTGAGTAAACTTTTTTTTTTTTTTTTTTTTTTAAATAAGTGAATGAACTGCTTTTTGGTTTATCTTTAATCATAACAAAATCCGCAGCTTTGAGTATTATAAATAAATAAAAAATAGATATGGATGTCATAATGTATGTGATTATAGACTTTTGCAGATTAATCTATTACATAAATAACAGTCACTTGTTGCAGTGAGCGGCATTTTTTTATATTCAGTCTTTTGACTTTGGTTTTATTCTTCTATATTGTGAGCATTGCTGATTGCCTGATACACAAGCTTTCCGTCTGTTAGCGAATCAATCAGTTATCAAGTCGAGCTAACTCCGCGTTAGCCGTGCGCGGACTCAGGTGAAACAGGTGTTGCAGGACGTGCTTTTTAAGGATTAACTGGACAGTTTCAGAGAAAGGATACTTGCACTTGACCCGGACTTTCTTGCCCAGGCGATCGTTGCAAACCACCTCGATCATTTTCGGTTTCTGTCAGCTGAAGGAAATGTGACGTTAGACAGTTTGTTAGCATCCGTTGTGCGAGAGCCAAGTCGCTCCAACACTCGTGCTCCTGCATTCAGTTAGCCAGAGGTTAATTAAAGTGACTGTTTTCTTACATTTGGCACGCTGTGAACAAAGCCCAAACTGTCATCTCGGTTTAAAAAAAGTCAGGTTATTTTTGTTCGGCGTTAACGTTAGCTAACACCTAGCTAGCTAGAACGAACAACACGCTGACGTTCACCAACGTGCGTAATGTAACAAGGCACAGAGTAACGCCAAGATTATGTCTAGTAAACATTGAGCATTGTGTTATATTTGCAATGAAGGCGTCTTAAATGCGGCATTCTTACCTGTAAACAGTTCACAGTAGAATAACAAATATTGTCTTTAGAGGATTTTCTCTGTGGAATGTTCTCCGTCCGTAAAGCTGATTTGTTTTGTGTGTGAGTCGCCGGGCCAATCAAATTGGAATTACGATGATTGACATCCAGAAATAGCCAATGGTAGGACAGAGAAAAGGCGGACCTGATTCTGAAAACAACTCGTACCGTAAACCCGCTGCTAACTGTCGTGCATTGCCTTGCTGCAGCTTAACCTGTCACAAACGTTAGCTTCATTGCAGTTTAATTTGTAAACGCTGCTGCTGAAAAAATAATGGCAGACGAGGAGAAGTTACCAGGTGGATGGGAGAAAAGAATGAGTCGCAGTTCAGGTAATGAAACCGAAGCCCGGAGAAGCTAAATATCCTAGCTAGCTAGGCTAAATGGCAATATCACCACCCTTATGAACTTAGCTTACGAGCTAGCATCCCCAGCATCGTGGCTTAGAGTTGAAACGAAGCAGACAAGACGTTAGCTTTGATGTGGATATGCTGAAACAAACGATGGGTAAATCCCCACTATGCTTGTGTTTAGTAACATGTGACGTTTGATTGTTTATTTGGTGCGTTGCCTATTGATCGCGCCAGAGCTGATCCAAATAAAGCTGGCAATGCAGGGCCCCGCATGACGTCATTCTGCTCCAGCGCCTCACCTGCGCTGCACGAGACTCTGCAGTTTTCTCTTTACTTATTTATTTTGGGAGGCCAAAAACAGCTTGGTAGATAGCAATTGCATTAAAACATGAATATTTCATTGTTGACTTGACTCCCACTCAGGTTTGGCTTGCGTGGTGATGGAAGTATACAGATCTAGAAGTACTTCTGCTAAACTGTAAAAATACTCCCTTACAAACAAAACCCGCGCATTCAGAACACCACTTGAAGTATTACGGTATTTTACCACCCGGTATTATGGTATTTTAAATACTTTACAGGTCTATTGTGGCATACGATAGAGGCTTTTCTTTTACAATGTTTCATACAGCGTATACTAAATCACAATGTACAATACAATGTAATGTATTACATATTACTCAATAAAATGAATCCACACATATTATTCACTCCACTGTCAATTTCTTATTTAATGTACCTTGTATTATTTGTTTCTTCCTATCTCTACCTTCTCTCTATTGACCTCTTCTTCAGCTGCAACAACCTAATGTTTCTTTTGGGAATCAATGAGCGTGTTTGTTAATCTTAAAATTGACATTGAGTAAGAAAAAGAAGCCCTATATTCCAGTTGATCCAAGACCTCAATATATTGTATACTTGGTAGTAAGTAAAGTAAAATAGTAATATTGTAAAATATTTTACTTTCTGTTTCTCCACATTTGTGTGACAGCTTTAGTTACTGCTCAGTTAACGATGTGCTGTCGCCGTCCAGTGGAAACAACGTGTTTGAATGTTTGTGATGGACGTACGAATGAAGAGTTACTTTCACATGATGAGAGAATTCCCTGCTTTTTAATCTAGATACATTTCAATTTGAAACCCTTTTGAGAATCGGACATAAAAACGCACCGTCACAAAGTTGAATGAATGACTTCCTCTTCGTTGACTCTCACTCTTCGCCCTGCAGGCAAAGTTTACTACTTCAACCACATCACCAACGCCAGCCAGTGGGAGCGTCCGGTGGGAGACGGCCGTGGAGAGCCAGAGAAGGTTATTACGTGTATTATGTGTAGGATCTATTATTGTAACCATACACTTTTAAAATTTTCAAAATTAAAGTTACAAAGATGCCGTTAAAATAAGACTGGAGCAGTTTAACGACGACCTAAATCAGTAATGGGTGAACATAGGTCTTATTGTTTGGGCTTCATGCTAAAATAATGAATTAAACTGTGGACTATTGGATTTAGGAAAAACAGTGACATCATGTGGTTTGTAGAAACTACAGCAGCCACCTGCTAGTTGTATACTGTGCATTTTCTTGCATTTAAACCTAAATGATTTCAGTGTATAACTGAAATGACCAATTTGTTTTATTATAACCATAGTAACTACATGTTCCGGTCTTTATTTTAGGTTTCTAACCCAAACTCAAGAACCCCACCGACTTTGAGATGAGTGCAAACATGCTTATTGCTTCTCAGCACTGATGAGTTTGTGTGGTTTCGCTCCCTCAGGTGCGCTGCTCTCACCTCCTGGTGAAGCACAGTCAGTCACGTCGTCCATCCTCTTGGCGGGAACAAAATATCACACGAACTAAAGACGAGGCCCTGGAGCTCATTCAGAGTACGTCATTGTTTCTGGGTGTGTGTGCGGGGGGGGAGATTAGTTCTGATCAACATGTTAAAGTTGTGCTTTATTTTTCTGCAGAATATATAGAAGACATCAAGTCTGGAGAGGAGAAGTTTGAGTCCCTGGCTTCTCAGTTCAGCGACTGCAGCTCAGCTAAGAACGGTGGAGATCTGGGCTTATTTGGCAAAGGTCCGTACCCTCAGTTCACAATACGGGACACGCAGAAAACCCAAAAGGGCCCCAACACACCGGTCACAGATGACGAGCTGCCACACGTTTATGTGTAAATAAGAAAGTGCGCCACCTGGACTCAATGTATCTGTTTGCGTTTCAGGTCAGATGCAAAAGCCTTTTGAAGAGGCCTCCTTCGCTCTCAAAGTGGGCGACATGAGCGGCCCTGTTTTCACGGACTCTGGAGTCCACATCATCCTACGTACTGGTTGACTTGGAAGGAGGGGGGGGGGCTCATTCTACTTTCCTCTCATGTCTTCACACACACACACACACACACAGTCCAACCCGACCCGAGCCGATTTATTTTAATGACCCGCATAACCCAACAGACAAGTCGTACGTGCTGAATCGATAAGTTTCATGGGGATCATTTCTGTTCCGTGCACTATTGGACATGTATGAATAATTTAATCACACTGAACATCAAGGAGCATCGCAGAATATTCCTGTGAGACCTCAAGCTTTTATTAACCCCATCATATGAAAACATGAGTGCCTGTGACTCTGTTGACGTCATCGGTCTCACCCTCCCGTGCGTTTGTAAAAGCTTGTTTTTTTTTATTATGTGCATGAATACTAAAAGGACCATTCACTCTGTTTCCCTGTAACCTTTTTCATTTCTACTGTATTTGTGCCGAAACAGGTCCTCAATCCTGTTTTGGAAAACGGATTCATAAGATGTTTAAAATAGTTTTACTTGTAAATCCATGCAATGCAAAGAGCTGTTATTTTGAGTTCTCCACATTTAGCGTTGATTTAAATTTGTCATCCTTTGCAGAAATCCAGTAAAATTCCAGTGAAAAAACACCCACCTTGAAAAGTGCATCTTTTCTTTCCTTACGATATGCAAAGATAAAGACGGCACAGTTGGAAATTTCCAGGTTTTAACAATCCGCTCTGCAGCTTTTAAAAGCATCAAAGTTCAGATGACCTGTTGCACCGTTTTCCCTGCATCAATAAAAATATCTTTTTCTAAGTCTTGTTGTTACGGGGTTTATTTATAACATAATTAAACATGATTTTTTTGAGTTTAAGTAGTTAGCACATTTTACTATTGTATTTATCTTCTTTTTTTATATTTTATCTTACTTTTAATTATGATGTATAGACTAAGATAATTTATTTATCTTTGAAAGGTAAAGGAGAACATGAACAAATATATCGTCTAATCCCAGAGAATAATCTGATTCATGACACCGACCCAGCAAAGAGTCTAAACTCATGTCTCAATACAATTGACAATTTGTGGCTAGATTTAAAAAAAGAGCAAAGTGATAAATAAAAAAAGAACAACCGGTTGCAGCTTGAGCTGTTTCGCCAGGAAGAATGGACAAAAAGTGTGATTAAGACACAGACAGACTAAATGAAGGGAGTGAATATTAATGTAATCATTTACCATTTACGTAAATTCTTATAATTAATTAACATTAGTTTGTATAAACAAAGCTAAATAATACAGACTATTATTTAATTATTTAAGAGCATGGTATAATGCATAATTGCACTAATAAACAAGGTGTTAAGTAACACATGAGCAGGAGCCATTCGTGATGTTTGTGTACGACACGGTGCTGGGAGCCAGTCTCAGCTTGGACACGGGTGGCATTAGTGTGTATTAGTGTGTCTACATATGGGGGCACATGTGCAATAGGCACAGGTGATGATGCATTAGGAGATTGCACGTTTTGTACCGCTAGTCTGGACACACAGAGGGAGATCAAGCAGCAAATGCACATACAGTGTATTATAAAGTGTAAAAAACTAATAAACGGGAACTTCACCCAAAGAGACCAAAGATCTATAATCTCTGTTAGCGAGTAAGGAACAGGGTCGTCTCCCTGTCGAGTGGCTTACGAAAATCAGTCACTATAACATTAATAATTAAAATCAAATAAAACAATAGATTCACTGGTTGCTATCGGACCCACGTGGTTGATTGATCGAAGGCCACAGAAACAACAGGCAGTTTTAACAACAGTCAAACTAGAAAGGAGTGGTTGGCCTTTTAAATCTTTCAGGTTATCCCGAATAACAACAGCGGTAGTCTGTCTTGCGGTTATGACGTTTTTCCTGTTTGGGTGGGGGGGGGGGGGGGGCTTCGATGTGGTCACCCTGGAGCGAAAAGCGGCCCGCGCCATCGACGTGACGACCTTCATGACCCCGAGTGGCTCCTGCACTCTGTACAACAACCCTCTTCAAGGCAACGTGCTGCAGAAAGGGATTTGAATCAGAAAAGCACAAATACAATTCACTTTGTTTTATTTGCGCTTCACACGACCTCATGTTGAATCTTTCAAATGTCTTTTATTTTCAAATAAATAAAGACTCTGAGACTGAGAAAATAAGATGTCGTTAATTAGCGAAGAAGTTCTGTAATGCGGACAAAGTATTTCATTGATTGATGTAGATTTATGATGTGGCGTGGCGTAAATTCAAATGGAATAGATTGGAATTTAAACATTGACGTAATGTGTATCTGTAATGATGAGAGGTTATATAATTAGTTTTGAAGTCCTCTACTTCAAAAATGCCGCTCACTGCAACGAGTGAAAAAGTCTATAATCACGTACATTATGACGTCCATATCTATTTTATAATACTCCAACACTTAAAGCTGCTGATTTTGTTATGATGAAACATAAAACACAAACCACTTCATTCCCTTATTTAAAAAAAAGGTTTTGTCAGATTGTTTTAGCTTCTCAAATGTGCCACAGTGCCATGCCAAGTAATCATGAATGCACCCTTCATTCAGGCTGCTTGAGATAAAAGATAAAATAACGAGTTCCCCCAAGATCAACAAAATATCCTTTGCAATTCTTTTGAAAAAGCGAGTACGGCTGTTAAATAAAAGCCATAAAACCATTTTGTGACTTTGGTTGCTTTAATAGTATTCAAAGCTATTGTGGTGTTTATTAAGTTGAAATGTGTAGTTCCCACGAGTGAAGGATCAGAAAACTTTTTCTGTTTTGTCAGAGCATTTGATTAATTAATTGCTTGCAGGATTTTAAAATAATTGAGAAAACATGTTTAGAAGAAAATGACTTTACTTTCGCTGTGAATGCGACATGTTTGGGCTCAATGTAACACAAAATACCAACTAACAGGCTCCAGCTGTATAATGTATGTTGGTGCGTGATGAGTGATAATGAATGATGACCATTCTGCCCCCGGGCACACAGGGGGGCGCAGGCCCTAATAAACCGCCCCCCCCTGCTGCGCGTTCATGTCTCCATGCCTCCTGTGGTAAAAGGCTTCCTGTGCTGCGTTTAAGTGCAGCGCGTAAAAACCAGCTCCGGCGGCTAGAGGCTGGATTCCTTCCTCTCATCTTTGGGGAACGCCGTTTGAAGGGGGGACAAAAGACCTCCGTCCGTCCCTCGTAACGGGGCACGACGTCCCGGACACCTGCAACCCATTTGGGGGACCGTGCGGCGCTGTGTCCCCCCAAATCCCCCCCCGCCTCCTCCACCAGCAAGGCGTGTTCCGTTAGAAGGAAATGATGGAGAACGAAAGTTTGTGACGCCTCACTGGTCCGCTCGTAGGGGGGGGGGCACTGGAGATCGTTTTTAGGTGCGCGCGGGTCGCTCGTCCTCGTCCTAACGCGCGGACAGCGTCGATGTGAAGGATCTGCGTATGGATTTAGGATTCCTAAAGTCTCCGACCCTGCAATGTCTGAGGATTGGAAATGCAGCTCCACGCCTGCCTGTTGCTTTTTATTATCACCACAGGTAAGAACCTCCATTGAAAAACTGTGTCTTAAAACTCTGTATTATTATATTATATTATTATCACTGCTTTGTGTTTTATTTTACCTAAAACTCCTGCTTCGTTTTCAGCTCCTTTAAAATTAACATTGCAGCTCTTTTATCTTCTTGTATTTGAAATTTAAAAAAATACAATAAATACAAAAAAGTAGTAGGTAGGTGGGTAAGCCCACATCAAAATACGGGGGTCATCAGATGTATTCAATAAATAACAAACGTTATTTGGAGGGGTTGTTGTTGTGAAAAAAGAAGAAGTTTGAAAATGAGTCATCGTTTGTTGAAGTGGACGTTTAAGTCCATTTTTATTTATTATCAGTAAATTCCTGCAACATCACACAGAACTTCACGAGAGATTCGTGCCATCGTGTTGTTGTTTTTTCTCTCTCTCTCCTCAGATAAAACGTTGGCCTTGCCGGACCACCGCTGCGGAGGACATGTCGCCCTGGACAAACAGCCCGCCGGTCTCATCCACCTCTCCTCACCTGGACCTTCTGCTGCAGTCCACCACACGCACCAGCCCGCCCACCACCAGTCTGCGGCGGTGTCGGCCTGCAGCTGGACCCTCGGCCTTCCTCCGGGTCGGAGGGTGCTTTTAAAGTTGGTGTGGTTGGACAGAGGTTCAGGCACGGTGAGCTGTGCTGGGGGCGAGGGGAACCGGGTCCTGGAGAGCGGGGGGGCGGTTCTGCTCTCGGGCTGTGATGGACACAGAGCCGCCTTCACTTGGACGGGATCAGTACGCCCCTCAAGTGGAGTTCAGCTGTCCTATAATGGTGAGAATCCCTGACTCAATTATCTAGTTGAACGTCTTGAGTCACGATGGCCCACTTTCCCGCCCCGTGATCTAATTGTCGTAATAACGTTTGGATGTTTTTATAGCTGCTAATTTTACTCCCTCAAAGAATACGTGTCATTTTGTGTTTTATTCCATTTGCTTACAATAGTGGAATATTCAGGTTGCTTTGGCCGTGCGATGTGAGCGGGGAAAAATGTGTTGTTCAAACTGTTCCTGTGAGTCCGTCGGAAAGTTGTTATCACACTCACTGCGGTGTGGGAGACAGATGGCCGTGTTGTTGTGATTACAACTCTTCCCTTCTCTCTTCTCTCACCTCTCTGAGTTTTTTTTTTTGTGTGTGTTTCTTCCTCGTCATCCAGTCCAGGAAGATGAGAGGAATTCCTCGGAGGACCACGCCGGCCCACGTTCAGACCGAGACCTCCATCGTTGGTCTCCGACAGGAACCAGCTTTACAAGCGCCTCTCCTGTGGCTCAACACGTGGCGAGAGGCACGGACGGGCGCACAGGTCGCCTCTTTGAAGGTCCGCAGGGGAGCCCTGTGCCTCGGCCTGCGTCCAGTCCCTCCTCCCGGGACCAGGGGCCACTGCACCCCACCTCCCCCCCGCAGGGACCCACCATGGCTGGGAGAGCCGATAGGGAAACTCTCCCTCTTCCTGAGGAAGCGCCGAACAATGGAGCGGATACATCTGGAGCCGCTCGCCACGCCGATGGAAAAATGCCTGCCGCGGACAGAGCGCGACCCAGTTTCCAGCCCACGGACTCGCCGTTTGACACAACGCACACATCAAACACAGGGAGGGAATCGAGCGACCAGCCCGTTACCTCCGAAGCCTTGCCCGGCGTGTATGTTCACAAATACACAGCCACTCGAGCTCGCTCCAGCCCCAGCGTCCACCTTCTCAGCTCCGCTTCGCCTTCCGGGGCCACCTGGGAGGGTGGTGCTTCTGGGGAGGAACAGCCCCATTCCTGGAGGAGCCATCGAAGCACAGACGGACTCAACTCCGATCTGACCTCCGCCTTCACCTCTGATCCTGTGAAACCCCCAACCGAGCCTCGGCAGGGTGACTCCCAGGCCGACGCCGCGCCGCCATCGCCGCGAGCCCTTGTCGCAGAGCTTGAAACCGAGGCCGCTTCGTTTCATCCAAACACGGGTGGAACTGACTCATCCGTTCCGGCTGCGTCGGAGGTCACCAATCACACCGTCGCGTTCGAGCCCTACGAACTCGTGACGCTTCACACTTTCACTTCCTCCACAGGGAGTCGAGCGAACCCTCCGCAAAGCACCAGGGGCCTCGCGGCAGATGCGGCGGCCCAGACCTCGGCCCCCTCGGGAACGACTACTGACGCTGGAACGCCCACGCTGCCTCCCACCTACACGCCCTCACGCGACAGGTGGCCCGCCAGTTCGCAGACTCCTGATCCCCTTTTCTCGCCCGGGGCGTCCACGCGGTCATCAACGGCGTCGCGCACGCTCCAAACACCCACTGCGTTGCCCGGTCGTTCCCGTTTGACACACGCACCCTTTGCTCCGCCCTCCTCTACCGCTGAACCACTCATCGGCCACGACAACGAGCCTGGGCCCTCACAAACCATCGAATCCGAATCTTCACGCACACCTCATACGCAGAACCGCGTACCTTGGACGTTTTCCCCGGTTACGCTTAAACAGCCGCGCAACCGTATTACCACTGCACCCACGTCTCTGCTCTCACCCGCAACTGCAAAAACACATTCTGGGCTTGGAAGTGAAGAGGTGGAGGAAGAGGAGAAAAAGACCACACAGACCCCCACAGTTGGGTCTCCATTAACCAGGCCTCCATCGACCGGGCCTCCATCGACAGGGCCTCCATCGACCGGGACTCCATCGACCGGGCCTTTATCGACCGGGCCTTTATCGACCGGGCCTCCATCGACAGGGCCTTTATCGACCGGGCCTTTATCGACCGGGCCTTTATCGACCGGGCCTTTATCGACCGGGCCTCTATCGACCGGGCCTCTATCGACCGGGCCTCCATTGTGGTCCGCCTCATACCCCGGCCAGGAGCCCCGTTCCACACTCACACCTCCTGCTCTAACCTTCGCCTGGAGCCCCGCGGCCACTCAGACACCCGACTTCTACATCGTGCCGGACCAACCTTCAGCCATCAGAGGTAATGTGCACGTCGGGGTGCGCCTTGTGTGCTCGCAACCATTGCTCGTTGTAATGGATCTATTTTCCTGTTCCGTCCAGTGGAGTCGGTTGAGCTGCTGGTGCAGATTGTTGTGGAAGACTCCGGATCGGCTTTCGCTTCTGGTTTGGAGAAAGACGCCGCTGCCTGGGTGAGAGATCGTGTACAGACAGACACACACAAACACACACACACACACACACTGGTATAGCAGAAGAGCGCCGATAGATCATGGTATCATACGATAGCTTTAGAGTCCTCGTTCCGTGTGTCCTTCAGGTGGAGCAGTACCTTCGGAAGGCCCCGGGGTTCAGCGGGATGGTGGGAGTCTGGAGCAGGTGAGGTTCTACTGAGAACATATGTACTCTATTAGATTTCATACACTACGCTAAGGTTGTTATTGGGAAACAACTACTTATTAACACCTGCGGGGTGTTTAAAAAAAGGGTTTTCATAGATAACCAGGCATGGATCTCGCATACAATGAATACAACGGTTTCCCATGAGGGGCACAAACTGGGATTTCGCTACACTAAGTGGACTGTGCGTCCTTTTCAGTGGCCATGCAGTGCAGAGCCTGGTGGGGTTCAGAACCAGCGGGGCGCTGCGGTGGCTCGGCGTGACCGGACCCGCCTCACTGTTGGAACGAACAGGACTCGCTCAGGCCGTGCGCGAGGGGAGGAGCTTCCGCTCGTCGAAGATCACCAACATCACGCTGGGAGGTGAGCGGAGGTCGAGAGGGTGATGTTTATATGGATGTTTAAGCTTTACTGTTGAGTGCTGCAACCTGTGTAGGATGTCAAACTGCCAAAGAGTGCCTGGCGTTAAAGAAATAGACATTGACATTTTTTGAGTCTTGTCCTAGATTTCCTGTGCAGGAATTCCATTCTTAACCTGCTTAATCAATCCAGTTACAGGCGGACTCATGTAAACATCATAACGCAGTTAGGTTGACTCAGTTAAACTCACAATCCAGTTATGGGAAATCCGATTATGACAACTGGCTCACATTTGAAACTGTTTACTGTGATATGTGAATATAAAATGTATATTTTTATTCCCTCCAGGTGTGCAGGGTGACGTGTGCGACTGGTTACTGCAGTGTCCGGAAGGCTACGAGTGTGTGTTTAATCCTGGCACCTCAAACTACAGCTGCTCTTCCCGCTGCCACTTTGACTACTGCCATCACCGCGGCATCTGTACTCACCACCCGGGCCAGCTGCCAGTTTGCCGGTAGGACCGAATGGAGGCATCAAAACGACACAATCGAATTGTCCCTTCTCCATCCAAGAAGGTGTTGAGCATGCAAGCCTCTTCTTCTTCTTTGTGTCTCAGCTGCCTTGTAGGAGAGGACTTCTGGTTCATGGGTCGGCGGTGCGACGTGAGGATGACCCGAGCGCGGCTCGTGGGCGCGTGTCTCGCCGTCTTACTCATCATGGTGACGCTGATCGGCGTTTTGGCCCTCGTGGCAGTGCGACGCTACCGAGCCATTCTGATCCAGGCCAAAGTGGACCAGACTCGGAGCAGGTTCGCGCCGGCATGCGCTCAAGCTACGATAGAAACAGATACCCTGAAGGAAGTGTCTTTTTAACAACAAATTCACGGATCCAAAGGTGTCATCTTGTGGGTCGATCTTAAGGTCACACAAGAAAAACGCCTTTTCCAAACATAAATATGCAGTTGACACCAAACAACTCCAACGTGTGGATCACACAAAGGTCCCCTTGGGGAAAACGCTGTCCTGACACAGCGGGGATTTAGCCACACGTGCTGTAGTTGAAGTTACGTTGAGGTCCACTAGGTGTCCTTGTCCGGCTGCTAAACCACATATTTAGGATGAATGCTGCTCAGGGGGCAGTGTGGGAAACGTTGAGTCAGTCTGGTTGAATCCCAATGACAGCCCAATACAAGCGTTACACCGTGATACGTTCACCGCCATCTCGTCAAGGCTGTAAGGTGCGAGAAGAGGGAATTCAATTGAATTGATATAATGTATTGATAATCTTGTGCGTCTTCGGTAATCTGCTCTCCAAAATGGCTCTCTGGAAGTCTGCAAAAACTGCTTGTTGACCAAATCTAAATCACAGAGCGAGACGGCAAGACAGAGAGTTTTGATCGTATTGCTGGAAACGGACAGATGAAGTTCTGACTGTTTCATGAGCAGCAGAAAAAGAGCATCCTGTCCAAAGGAAGCTGGACTCTTCCCGCTTCCTACACATATATTCTTACTCGAAACTGAATAAAGGAGATGTAATGAATAGTGCAGCCTGCGATCATCACCCTTCACATTGCGACCTGTTGTGTGCGTGCAGCTACCGCAGGTTCAACCATTTCGATGAGCTGTCAGGGCGGTTCTGGTTGCGTTCGTGGGCAGGCTCGGCCGACTCGCTGGACAATCCCGCCTTCACGCGCTCCGACGAGCTGCTGCACCTGCGGGCGCTCGACCGCCCCTGCTGTTACCACGACGACACGCTGTCGCTGGCCTCCACCTGCCCGAGCCACGGGGCTCGCATCAACACAATCTACCCACACAGGTAAAACCCACACACAAAGAAAGCCAGAAGCTCTCATTCTAAAGCTGCCAGTTGGGGGCGGCAGATACAAACATTGTCTCTTTAGCTGCCGAATGATTTAAGGTTCATCAGCCCATCACTCAGGGCTGGACCGGCAGTGTGCAGTGGTTTATCAGAGCTTTTTTTCTGAAAACAGCTGCCTGTAGCTTGAAGTAACGCTGCTGAGGATGACTAAAACTAAAGGCCGTAAAAACAAAATATGCTCAAAAAAGGAACTGAGTAATAAATCTTTGTGGGTTTTTCCATTCTCACAAACCTCTTTTCATCTTTTGCTGCTATTGAAATATTTTTTTAAAGCAGTTGTAACTATTGAATACTAAACGTGGTATTAAATCAAAAGCTAAAACGATACAGTGAAGAGGTCAAATGAAACACAACAATGAAATAAATCTAATTTACTGACATTAAACATAACAATAAGTCATATAAACAACGCCTGCGTGGACGCTCTGTGCATTTCCCCGCAGCTCTCAGTACGGCTGGAGGGGAAGCGAGGTGAGCATGGCCGACGGAGTGTTGGACTCGGGTAAGGCCAGTGACCTGTCTGTCTGCAGCTGGCCCGTGGAACCCATTCACTGGACTCCCTTCCCACTCCTGCAGCAGCTGGCCTCCCACAGGACCCCCGCTGTGAGTGTGTGTGAGAGCAACAGATAGGAATGTACGCATGCGTGTATATAGACGTGGTTTCATCGAGCGTTGTCCCCCCCCTTGTGAAACCAGGCGAGGGTGTCGAGGCCTCGGTCCTACTGTGAAGGCATGGAGCTGGCGGACCTGGGGAAGAGCTGGACCGCCTGACGCACAACAAGAGGAATGCAATTGACAGTCTGACCCAGTGGTTTCCGGCTGGTTGTTGCGTTCTGGCCTTCATGTAAGGGGTGTTTTGTTTATGAAAACTGTAAAAAACAATATCTGTAAATGTGTATATAAATGTATATTATATAAGTATTCCAGTTCTGTGTCTTATCACTCTGATGAGATTATAGAGTGTAGAATATAATGTAAAAGAGAGAAGAACAAGGTGTGTGTCTTAATGTCTATGTTGCAGAGTCTTATATCATAATCATCATAATAAATAAAAAAACTCCTCAGACCAAGAATACATGCATTTCATGTTTTGCTTTTATCAACAAAAAATGTAAGTGCTTTAAACACAGAGCTTTGCCCTCTGAGGTTATCGTGTAGAAATGGCAGTTTAGTTGTGTAGCACAGGCATTGTACAGCGAGCACAACACAAACGGTTGAACAGCAAACAGATGGTGAGTCCCACATTATAACAGTTTATAATCTTGGGCCCGATTAAAGGACCTGTGACCAGTTTTAAGAAAGCACCAGACCTTTATTACACAAATGATTACTTAAGCTTGATCAATGTGTTTTCATGTTGTTATTACCCCGCCTCCCCCTCCTCACTCCTCAGTTTGAAATACAATCCAAAACAAATCCAGTTATAAAATGTCTGAAAATACCAATAGAAATTACATCTACTGTCCCTTTTTCGAATCTAATAAAAATGTCATTAAAATCCCATCGATATTTATAAAAGATGCTAGTCCAAAAAGTTCAAGCACACAAAGCGTACCCACATAAGATAACATATTACATACAAGTAATGAAAGAAAATGACCCAAGATGGAAGAGAATGTTATGAAATACTAAAATTTGAAAGAATTGGTGAACTTCAGATCGTGACCTTCTAGTGTCACGTGTCCGTGGAAAAGAGCAAACAGGATTTCCTGCATATGAGAGGTGAGTCATTATTAAAGCAGAAGACCACCGTTTCACAACAAAACAGTGAACGGTGTAGATTTTAGGGTTCAATTATTTAGTAAAATGTAGATAAAGCACATAGATGCACTAGAAGGTGTTGTACCTCATCGGTCCATGGTTCACGCTCCGTGGTGCTTAGTAACTATGTGTTGCTTCGCTTTATGGACTCCAGAAACAGAAACCACTACAACAGACTGGTAGCAATGGCCGGTGAAAGACATTCACAAGTGAATTTTTGGAATAAATCACAGCAAAGTTCAATGACACAGTGAGAATGAAGATGAGAATTAGTGAGATATGTCTTTGCCATGTTGGATTCTTTAGGGGGGATTTCTGTGAAAAAAGTAACATTATAACATTTCACATACCTTCTTCCTCTCACTGTCTCATTTGAGCACACACCCGCACACAGACACACACAGACACACACACACTCACAAGCCACACCTCCGCTTAGCTGTGCATGAACCCTGGCTGGAATGTGATGCCATAAACGACGATTGGAGGGTTAAACGGGCAAATATGCGTTGCACTCCCATGACAGTGTCATTATGAAAAGTAATAAAAGTAGTGATTTAATTGGGTGCAGAAGAAATGTGGCATATGGAGGAAGTGCAGTGAGTGTGTGTTTAAGGGAGAGACAGGGCGCTAGAGATAGGGATGAGTGAAAAATTTGACAGAAGCTACCTGCTAGCTTCTTCCATATACGGTGTTAGTCAGAGCCAAGAGCCGGGCCTGTGGATTTCTCTGACTGTGTGAGTGAGCAATGCAGGGAGGGTCTGTGTCTATGTGTGTGTGCCCGTGTGTGCGTGTGTTTGTGTGTGTGTGTTGTAATGCATGAGTCAATCACGCTACCAAATGATGAAATTGCATGAAGAAAGATGTGAGAGGAAACATTGAGAAATATCTGTCAGAGAGGAGTCAGTGAACACAAAGTTTCCACAAATATATTGTTTTCTACATATCAATCCCTTGGTGCTGGTGAAGGAAACAGAAATGTAACCTAAAGCAACATGCACACTCATCCACACCCATCTATATACATGCAGCCTTAAAAAGGGACATTTATTCATTTCCTCAGTCTGGTCACATGACCTGAGCAGTGCATTCTTCCCCCCCATGTGACCAGCGCCAATATCTCCTTATATGGACGTCATCCAAAGGAACTCTTAAAGGGATGGTTGTCCTGCCCCGGGTCTATACTTGGGGTGTGTGTGTGTGTGTGTGTGTGTGCGCGTGTGTGTGTGTTTAGTGTTTGTCTAGAAAAGGATAATGCCACTTTGAAAAGCCAATTCCCTAATTAGATAATTCATACCCCCCCTCTTCCTTCGATGTTATCCTCAGCTGCTGCGTATGACATGTGTGCGTTTGTGTGTCTGTGTGGTCACTTCCTGCAGAAGTGAAGGACTGTGAAACACACTTCCTGCCCCTTTGGCAAGCTGGCTACTATATACCCTTATTAGGACCACAAAGAGCCAATGAGAATTCCTCCCATAGGTTCTTGTCTTTGTCCAGTGCCCTTATCCGGTGAGCTAAAACAACCCACTTAAATCTCTGGTCAATTTATGAGATGAGCTTTGCATTGCAAACATCCAAGTAAGTGTGTTAACGTAATAAAAATAAATGTTGCTGCAGTTTAGATACAAGCCTCACGAGCATATGGGTGTGTGCTTGTTGTACTTTTAGCAGGTTAATCAGTCATAGTTTTCATAATAGGCCTTGCGGTTTTTAATACCAAACCACATACACCTGTAGGCATGTTCTGGAAATGACACACCTGTCTATTACTCATCTCAGCATCTCAGAGTCAAGCAAAGTTGAAATGCAGCCCCCGCCAATCCGAGTGGTGAGCGATAAGTGATCTACAGCCTCCTAAGGGTTTACTGTAAACATACCGCAGCCAAGCTTGACCACATGTATCACTCTGCTCTTCTCAAGTGTGTGTGTGTGTGTGTGTGTGTGTGTGTGTGTGTGTGTGTGTGTGTGTGTGTGAGACTGGTATGTCAGGGTAGACCTGTTAATCAGGGTGTTAACAGTGCTGTCAGTGACCCTGAGACTGGAACCACCCCACGTCCTGGCACCACCAAGCACGAGTTTCTGCCATGAATTTGCAAACCCATTAGCACATTCTTCAGTGCATGTTTTACTGTCTCACTCCCTCATGTCATTCACTTAAATGAGATGAATCGTGCATCTGCTGCACTTTGCCTCCAACGCACAAAGATTCAACAGAAGATAGAAACACCCGTAGATGATTGAAATGCAGTTGAGAGACAACGTGCAGACAATATGTTGATGATGGGAATTAAAACTATGATGGGTTGACTCAATAACATCCCAAGTCATCTCAATGGACAACAAGATGAAATCACATATTTCAACTCGTTTCTAGGAGTCTGCTGTGTGCTTTGCGGCATCATCCCCATTGCGCCCGCCACAATAAATAACGATGCCCGAAAGGACATAAACTGTGTTTTATTGAACCCACGAAGAGCCCCAGATTAATACTTGACAGGACGCAGGTTACTTTTCCATGTTGTCTGCCTCCTTGGTCCTGTCAGGGCGCAGGAGCGCCATCTGCATGGGCCACGCCCAGTGGACACGGCTGGACCAATCAGAGGCCGCCAAGCGGAAAAGTCTCCTTTTATGGAGAGGGGCTGCGGCGCGCGCTCTCATAAAACCCTGCACCGCGCGGGCCTCCATCGCAGTCAGGTTCAGACCCTCCGGAGCGCAGTCACAGTCACCCCGCAGCGCCGACGACCCGCGAACAGGTAAGCTTACGGTTCGCTCGTGTTTTAAAAGGCGGGCGTATCGGAGGGCGTTACGATATAGAAACCGGTAACTTCATGACGTTCAGCCATTCGTTCTCTTTAAATGTCTCTAGTTTCTTTTTTTTCTTACGTTTTGAGTAAACTGTCAAAGTGGATTTCCGCGCTGTAAAATAACCCCGCTAAACATGCGCCGTAATTCACTAAAAGCAGAGTGCTGGGATGTGTAAACTTGGTCTGTCTTTTGTCTCTGGTGTCTCTGAGGACGGACCGGTGGACATAAATCGCAGGTTGTCGTGTAGAAACCGTTGCTATGACACTACAGCGACCAAGTCATGCGAGGGTCATTTCATTAGATGTTGTCTTTCTTTGCTTTTTTTTGATTGGTCACGACGTGACTGTCCACCTGATTGATGGGTGTGTAAGTTCATCCGCCTCGAGTGTTTAAATGTCCCGTAGCGGTGTGTGGGCACTCTGTCGTGCGGAGGGAGTGGCCGTGACCTCGTATTTGTTTTAATGTTTACCGGCTTCACTGCCTCACATTTGCCTTATATGGCCAGAACGAGACAGGGCTTTTTTTTTTTTTTTTTTTCCCCCTCGGGATTAGGACCGGCACGTGCTCCACTGCGACATCCAGCGTCTGGTCTCCATAACGACCAGGCGCTGAACAGCGTGCATTGTGTGCCAGATGTTTAACCCGCAACGGTCGCACAAAGCAAATCAGTGTTTTAAAACGTTTCCCCCCCCCTTTTTTTTTTCTGCCCAGAAAAAAAAATGGAAGACGAAATCGCCGCCCTCGTTGTGGACAACGGATCCGGTATGTGCAAAGCTGGCTTTGCCGGAGATGATGCTCCCCGTGCCGTGTTCCCCTCCATTGTTGGACGCCCCAGACACCAGGTACAGTTTCCACATGTTTAGATCCTACACTAAAAATCACACTGCTCCTCTTTTTTTTTTTTTTTGTCTTGATTTTTAACAAGTGCTCCTGCTTTTTCCTCGCCAGGGTGTGATGGTCGGTATGGGCCAGAAGGACAGCTACGTCGGTGACGAGGCGCAGAGCAAAAGGGGAATCCTGACCCTGAAGTATCCCATTGAGCACGGTATCGTCACCAACTGGGATGACATGGAGAAGATCTGGCATCACACATTCTACAATGAGCTGAGAGTTGCCCCCGAGGAGCACCCGGTCCTGCTCACAGAGGCGCCCCTGAACCCCAAGGCCAACAGGGAAAAGATGACCCAGGTAACCATGGAGGACCGACTGCAATATCCCCTCTCATAGGAAACCCTTAATGCGCCTGCAGGTCCTCGACATGGGAAATTCTCAATCTATGGAATTTCTGCTCCATCTGTCCCTTTCCTCCTGCTCTTTAATCTTAGGTTTCTTTTATCCGGTGCTGATCTTTTCATTTCTGCGGATGCTTCAGGTTTCTATATCTGCATGTGATAAATCAGGAGTGATGTTGCCATGTGGTCAAATAAAGCTTGTTTTTAGACTTAAAGTTGATGACCAGCATCTACAGTGGTGTCTGCATGACGCACCAGATAACCGCACAGTTGCCATGTTGGTTCTTAACAGTCTATTAATCTTTTATAGTCTTTGCATAAATGTGACCGCGTGCTGTTTTTCCGTACCATCTTACTCAAGATGGCCTTGACTCTGATTTCAATCTGCCTCTTTCTTCCAGATCATGTTCGAGACCTTCAACACCCCTGCCATGTATGTGGCCATCCAGGCCGTGCTGTCCCTGTACGCCTCTGGCCGTACCACCGGCATCGTCATGGACTCCGGTGACGGTGTGACCCACACAGTGCCCATCTATGAAGGCTACGCCCTGCCCCACGCCATCCTCAGGTTGGACCTGGCTGGCCGAGACCTCACAGACTACCTCATGAAGATCCTGACCGAGAGGGGTTACAGCTTCACCACCACAGGTTGGTGCTCTAGAACTTACTTCAAAAACCACCTGGTCTTTTTGAATGTGTAGACCTGAATGGGGGGAAATATACCGAGGACTGACTCTAAAATGTATTTTCTCCTCTTCCAGCTGAGCGTGAGATTGTGCGTGACATTAAGGAGAAGTTGTGCTACGTTGCACTGGACTTTGAGCAGGAAATGGGCACCGCTGCCTCCTCTTCATCCCTGGAGAAGAGCTACGAGCTTCCCGACGGGCAGGTCATCACCATTGGCAACGAGCGGTTCCGTTGCCCTGAGGCCCTCTTCCAGCCCTCTTTCCTTGGTAGGATGTTAACCGATAAACCACGGAGGGGGTGGGAGGAAGTTTTTGAGGTGTGAAACACAAACTCACTTTTTACTTTACAACCTCTTCTAGGTATGGAGTCTTGCGGCATCCATGAAACCACCTTCAACAGCATCATGAAGTGTGATGTGGACATCCGTAAGGACCTGTATGCCAACACCGTGCTGTCTGGAGGCACCACCATGTACCCGGGCATCGCTGACCGTATGCAGAAGGAAATCACTGCCCTGGCCCCAACCACCATGAAGATCAAGGTATAACTCGTCCTCTTTGCTGGGACTAGTGCCCTCCTCAGGCAAAACGGATGTTGTGGGATACTCTTTATCTCTACTTCCACCTGGTGGACAAACTTTGTTAATTAAGCAGTATCTAAGATCTTGCTAGTCTTTAAGCTTCTGTAAATTAATTCCATGGATTTGGCGTGTCTTACTTATTCTTGCTCTCTGCAGATCATCGCTCCCCCAGAGAGGAAGTACTCTGTGTGGATCGGTGGCTCCATCCTGGCTTCCCTGTCCACCTTCCAGCAGATGTGGATCAGCAAGCAGGAGTATGATGAGTCCGGCCCCAGCATTGTCCACAGGAAGTGCTTCTAAACAGACTTGTCAAGTCCACTCCCCAAAACACACACTGCTACAAACCCAAACGACTGGCTCTGCATACATGCCTACACAACACCAACACACTGGTGTATGCCGAGCCCTCGACACCACTTCCCATTTCCCCCTCATCACTATGGCACCACGGCCCCTGATGGGGAGAAACTCTGCAGGAAGTACCAGGCGGTGTGAGTGAGGGACATGATGTCCATTGTGGTGTTTGTGTACGTCATTCCAGATGTGTTTGTTCACCTTATTTGCCTCTATGAAGGTCCTTTTTCTCTGGTGGGTTCACTGCCCAACAGACCTGTAGAATTGCTTATGTAAATTATGTAATCTTTTTTTGTTTTTGTACTTTCAGCCTTAAACAATACTTGGTCCGGTTTGTCATAATGCAAAGCTTCTACCTTGTATGGGGGTGTTGGCAGGATTGTGCATGGGGCATCGAGCCTCTGGTGTACACAACAACCTAATAAAACGCACATGTCTGAGATTCCAGTCCTACTTGGTGTTTATTCATTTTGATAAGCTATTGTAAATATTGCCTCTTATGGGTATCTGGAGGAAAGTAAATGCAAAACATGGTTGCAAGCAATTGACGTCTGAAATGTCTTTAATTCCAGCTGATTGACCTGAGGCTGACTCTCTAAAATGTCATGCCATCTATTGGTGTTGCAGGTTGCAACCAACTAAACACTTACTTTCCAACGATATGAGGACTTATGGATTTAGAACAACCAGGGCCTGCACGTATCCATGTAGCTCTGCTACAAGACTAGATTTATAACATTAGACTATGTATCCATAACCTGCATTTTAGCACATGTAAATGGCTAAAACTAAGTCACCAGGTCCATGCTGGTCCTATACCTGGCTATTCTCTTCAGTAACCTCAGTGTCACCAGTATTACCCAAACTATGGTATTGCAGCTACTTGCTGTATTCAATTCATAACTAATTTTGGTTATTGTATGATTTATATTTTTGTTCAGTCTAATTTTGATTTGAAGGAATAGCTGGTACTAGAGGACTTTATAACTAGTCCACAGTGAGAATAAAAACCTGATACCTATCCACAAAATAAACCCATATCTTATTTTGACTAAGTGAATTCATAAAGTAGGTATTTTGGGCATTTCATAGAAAAGGAAATTATATGGAAACTAGTTAACATTTTATTTGACTTTATACTACCCACTGGTTTCAGAGGTAGAGCAAGCACTTTGGGCAAGGTTTATATATATATATATATAGCAATCAATGAATCACATCTAATTAAAATACAGAGAGAAAGATGTTTTAACTAAGTGTGATTCATTATTGATTACTTTTTATAGATGTATCCAACAGGATGAAAAGACGTTACCAGCTATAACATAAAATGCTGCTTTACACAAAAAAACATAATATAATCATTTGATATTTTAATTATATTTTCAAAGTGCTAGTTACTTTTCATCATCCAACTCATTACATTCTTTTTTCAAATAAACATTTTCTAAAGGACATTTTAGGTTCAATTCACGTCATGACTAATCTTTTTGTTCTGACAGCACTTTTTTTTTTTTTTTTTGCGACCGACCGGAAACATGTCCGTCACCGACAGACTTCCGCCACTGTGCAGCAGCAAACGTCGTCCGTCCTGTCAACGGATGGACGCTACACCCGGTAACGAATCCAACGTTAAGCGGTCTCACCGGAAAATGAAGCGCTGAAGCGGCTCGATGAACACTAAAGAATTAAGTTAAAAAAACAACAAGAACCTGTCGACCATGAGCGGGACCGTGAGAGGGATTTCAGAGGACATGGACCGACAAATCGCACAGGTCCGGTAAACCACCGACGGTTAACGGTAACGTCGAGCACAGCGGCTCCGCCGGCGTAAGCTAACGTTAACGCTACGTTACCGCATTCCCGTCCGGTTTGGGTCGTTCGGTTAGAAGCTGCCGTAGAAAGACGTGACGGGAGGACACGAAGACACTTGTATCGATACGAATGTTTTGACCGTTGCTGCTGTGGACGCTGTAAATCACAGTTTAATCCCTAATTTACAAACAGTTTTAATGCTTTTCCTCTTATCGACACTTCACCTGACGTTATAACACCAGTTAATAACTCAACTAACAACGGGTGTCTTTCTATGTTGTGGTATCCATTTTTTTTTGTCATTTATTGGATCTTAATCGAAAGTCTGAGGTAAATTCAAAATAAAATAACCAGATTGGAATATCTGATTTTTTGGCACCTGCAGCTAATTCAGAAATAGCAAATATCTGAATCTGTTGCCAAATTATATCTTGGGAAAAAAAAGTGTTATGAAGAGCCAGTCAACTGATTTGTGTATTGTCGACAGTGGCTCCATGCAACCGGACATTAAAGGGATGATACGTCGTCACGTTAACCACATACAGCTTCTGTCTCTTTGTTGAGCATCAAGAATTGGTGGTTTCTAAACCAGAAGGATTTGCAGCATCTTGGCCGTTGTTTTAATTCTCTGCGTGGAACACGCAGAGGGGTCTGACGCGGTTTGATGTCTGTCTCAGGCTGTGTTCGACGAGGACGCCATATCCTCCACCTCGGTGGGGATGTCGGATTTGTCCGACGAGATCCTGCTGTGCATCCTCCGCCACGTTCCGGTGTGTGACCTGGTGCGGAACGTGTCCAACGTCTGCCACAAGCTGCACACGCTGTGCCGCGATAAGACCCTGCTCACCAACGTCAGCCTGTCTGAGGAGTATCTGGTAAACGTTGAATACATTCTGTACTGATTTTTCTATCCAAGATCTCCGTGTCTTTGTGTATATTTGAATAAACCCCTTTTATTTTGCTAAAACAGTGGAGTATTTGTTTCATTTCAACAGATGGATTTAATGAAATGACTTCTTTGTTTCCTCCAGGCTGACGATCTATTGGTCCGGCACATTTTAAAGCGGTTGGCCAACCACGTGCAGTCTCTCAGCCTGAACGGTTGCTACTGGCTGGCCGGCTCCACGATGGAACTTCTGGCTCGCTGCAGAGGAGTGACGCACCTCGATGTCACCGGCTGCCGCCTCACTTCCCTGCGTCTCTCCCGTCTCCTCTCCTCCCTCTCTCTGCTCAGATCGCTGGCTTTCGACGTGACGCCGGGCTTCAGCTCCGCTCAGCTCAGTTCGGAGGCGGTGGACTCACTGAGCCGCCTGTCGGAGCTCAGGCAGACACTGCTGACGCCGAGCTATGGGGTGGTGCCGTGTTGCGCCCAACTCCGCAAGTAAGAATCCGATCAGATTACTGAGATTTCGCAGGGGACACAAAGTAAAGGGATCACCGACAAGATTCCAATTCACCCTGAGCTCAACATGAACGTTCGTTCACATTCCATAGTGAGCAACACAATAACTTTGGGGACATTTCATCACAAACTACTAGTGCCTGTCCTTCTTACCTGAGGAGTTCTTTTTAATGCTTTTTTATTTTCTAAAAAGGATGAGCAATATTCTAGTAGATTCAGGTTTGACTCTTTGTTAAGAAACATGGCTTTAGTTTTTGTTTGACGCCAAGGAGGGGACCATGTCAGAGTGGCGAAGTGACTCTGGCATTCTTATTCTTGCGGCTATACCTCCACACTTTGTGTTACTATTTTCCACCAGCGTTGTCAAATGTGTGTCTGCGTCCTGCAGGCTGATGCTGCAGTTTGACATCTCAGATGTGACCAGAGAGGGTATCGGTGTTTGCTGTCAGTTAATGATGGGTCAGAGCAGCGTGCCACATTACCAACAGCTGGAGGAGTTCACTGCCAGGCTGGCTCCGGGAGAGGTTAGTTTGTGTCCGTATGCATGTAACCGTGTACACGCGTCAGTACGGTGCAGTTTGTATCCTTACGGGTACATGCGTGTGTTGTCCTGTCCTCAGGTAAACCAGACCTTGCTCCTGCTCTACCTGGCCGTCTTCAGCGTTCACGTGCCAAAGCGCCTCCGGGTTTTCCTCGTCTCCATCCCCGGGCCGAACCCCGCTCACTGGCCCGCTGCTCCCTCGCTGGCCCAGAGCTTGGGTCAACGCGGTGACCTGGAGGCCCTGCAGCTGCCCCGGTCCTGGCTGGATTCCTTGTCCCTGAAGCGAGCCCTGGAGGGAAACAGTCCCAAGCACCTGAGCTTCAGCCGCTGCCCGGCGCTGTGGCCGCAGGTGTTCCAGTCGTTGCTGGAGGGCGGGGTCCGAGACGCCACGCAGCTGACCAGCCTGAACCTCAGCGGGATCAACAAGGTCCTGTACTCGGAGTGCCGCAGCGTGGAGGATCAGCTGGTTCCCGCAACGATGAGCCGCTTGGCAGCCGGCTGTTCCAACGTCAAACAGCTGAACCTGATGCACACGCACTATCACCACGAGAGCTCGCCCGGGCTGGGCGGGGAAACGCACCTGTGCGCCAGCTTGGCCAAACTGGCGCACCTGCGGCTCCTCACTCTGCCCGCTTGCGCCCTGTCAGACGGGCTGAACACGCATCAAATCACCACGAACCACACGTCCCCCTCGCCGTTGTTCCTGGGCTTGAAGAAGCCCCCGCGTCTGGGGATCCAGAACTACAAGCCCGACTCCGAGTCCTCTCTGTCCGGGGACAGCACCTCAGGGCTCGCCCTGCTCTTAGCCGGCTGCCCTTTTTTAGAGACCCTGGAGGTCATCGGCCCCGGTTTCGTCTCCGCGCTGCCGCGGCTCGAGCCTTGCACGCGCGCCAGCGTGGAGCCCCGGGGCATGTGCGTGTGGGCGCGGGGGGTCGGCGACGCGCACTTAGCGGCCCTCGCGGCTTTGACTGAGTTACGTCGCCTGACGCTGGCCGGGCTCCCTGGGGTGCTCAGGGGGACGGGGCTGGTGCAGCTGACCAGGCAGTGCAAGGACCTGCAGGTATTGTCCCTCGCCAACATGGGTTCACTAAAAACCATGAACTACAGCCCTGCCTTGCTGGACACACTTAAACAGTGCACGCAGCTACGGGAACTCAGGTGAGAAGACGTGTCATTTGGTGTAATAGTGACCTGTAACCATCAGGCAGGACAGTCGTAACTGTCATTAGACGTCTTCTTTAAATGATGTTGTTTCAGAACATTGAGAAAATTTAATGTAATGAGATGGAGAGTTGTTGGTTGTTCCTTATAATCATATAATCAGCTTGGTGCCTTCACGCATCGGACATTGTGTTCCAGGTTAGAGCAGCCGTACCTGAACGCCAGCGCGTCCTTCTTCGAGGCGCTGTCCTGCTGCTCCCGTCTGCAGCGCCTCTGCCTTATCTCGCGCGGCGGCGCCTTCGACCCGTCGGCCGTGGAAACCTTCGTGGAGCGATGCCGCCACGTCGTCATGTGCCACATGTTCACGGGGGGCACCCTGGTGGCTTGTCGCACGCTGCAGAAGGTTCTGCTGGACAGGTCGGTGCCGGTTTGGATCTCCCAGGCGGAGCTGTTGGAGGTGCTCGCCCGTAGCCGGTGTGTCGCGTACAGTAACCGTGCACCTGCGTCCTCTCTCCGTTAGGTTTTCAAACGATCGCCCGGCTCTGAGCGTCGTTATCTACCCGTTGCAGCATGAAGACCTGACTTCAGTCATCAGGGACATCCCGCTGACACTGCTGGACAGGATCACTTTGTTCCAGAGCCACGTGGCGCAACCACCACATCTATCGCCGTTGTGACATCACCAGAAGGCTTCGGTGTGATCGGTGGTCAGGAGCTGCTCGGGCACATTTTATTCTGCAGGATTATTAAAAAAAAGACTGGTCTTTGTTTCAAGCTTGTCAACAGCAATCATCATCAACAACCACAACCACTATTTTTCTCATCACGTGACACATCAATGATGTCTGCAAAAGGTAATTTACAATTTATTGTTCTAGGACTTTTCACATTTGTAGTTGTTTGAGGGGCCCTCAGTCGTAAGTAATCTACATAACTACACTACATCTGTTACTTGGAAAATAAGTGCCAAAAAAATGATGAAGGGATGTTTCTCTTCAGATACTTTGCACAGAAGATCTGAATTGAATTCTGTTGTATTAAACTCCATTAGTAACTATTGTCTGTGTCCCGTTTGCCTTTTCATGTAATTCTTTTTAATCATCACAACATACTGTATATCTGCAATTGTGTAAAAGCAATGTTTTTTTGGGGGAAATGCCCTTATTTACTTATTTTTCGGGAGTTGGATGATGAGTATCACTCTCCGGTTTGTTTGTTCAAAGCTACGAGCTACGAGTCCTGCTGCCAGCGACTAAAAGGTCACCAGCTAGCTGAACTATTTCCACCACACAGGGGGTGCATGGCGTTGTTATCCAGCGGAAAGGAACCCCCCAGATCGAGTGACGCTTTTTGACCACGCCTCTTCACTCCGGGTCACACAGGCGGGCCGAGCCGATGACCCACAGCCCGGCGTAGAGCGGCCCGGTGAAAGCGGTTTGCTCTCTGTGCAGCAGCTGCAGCGCCGTGTCGCACACGCAGTAGTAGGTCAGACGACCTGCCGTGTGATCGAGGTACACGCCGACTCTGGAGGACCGAGGCTGCGGCACCACCGCCGCCTCCTCGTCCCCGTGTCTGAAACACTCGCCGTTTCGGTTCATGTCCAAACTCCAGGATTTATCGTTGCAGCCGAACGCACACTCGGCGTAATAGTCCGACCTGCCTAGATCTCTGTACGCCACCGCTATCTCAACAGGGCCGTCGAACTGCACCTCCCAGTAGCAGCGTCCGGACAGACCCGCTTCACTCAGCACCTGGTAGAGGTGAGAGAACCTGTCCGGGTGTTCGGGGTAGTCCTGGACCACGTCCGTGAGCTCCACCTTTCTGTTCCCCTCAGACAGGACCATCTCTCTGTGGGCTGTGTTTGGGTCCAGGGTCAGGTGGCAGTAATCTGTGGGAGGACGTGTGAATGGGAAGCAAAACTCGACGAGCGGAAGCAGCCGATATGTAATACACGGGCATTGAATTATCGATTGAGTGCAAGCAGCGTCGTGGTCGGCTGCCACGTTCTGTTACAATCTGTTTGTGTTTGCTTTTTTTCGATAAAAATAAGACTCACATTTCATGAAGTCTTCTCTGGTCTGAGGTTCATCTGTCAGTGAATCATCTTCCTCACAACACACAAAAAATACACCGTAAGGATTTAGTTTGAATTTGATAAATTACAAGGATGAACCATGATGCTTTTTTATAGCAAAGTTTGTTTTTGTGCTGCTGGTGCATTTGCATAGTTGGTGTGATGTGTTCCTAATCTTGCAGAGATTTCCTGTATGAATTATATTACTTATTATAATTAGGTTGCTCTCCACAACTCTGGCACAATACAGAACAAAAAGTGTGAGGCAAAAATATATTGAGGTACGTGTGATAAAACCTGAGGAAAAACCAACATTTGTCCACATTATTTAGAGCCGAAGGCAGGAATTCAACATAACTCTGAGACAACTGCAACCTCCGAAATAACACTTAATACATACATAATACAACATTAGGAGAATGGTGTTTTAATAATATTCCAGTATTCGTAACAATAAAGTTCACAGCCTCAAAAATAGATGATTAACTCAACTGATAAAGAAAAAGAAAATGTGCAATAGATCATTCACAGCAGGGCCTTTGTTTGCCGGCTGACGCTTTTGTCACTGCAACAAATGACTGTTTATTGAATTGAACTTTGGAGCCAAGTTCACACACTGTTGTATGGCTCTTCTTACATGGTAAAAATGTTAACTAATTGGATCCTACTACGCAATGAAAGACCTTTATTGTGTGTGATAATTGAACGTCTTTCTACATTTAATGATTAATCATGCCTGACTAATATGAGCGTGTATTGAGCTGAATGTTGTATTTTACCTTTGACGCGTGCAGCTGCCTCTCTGTCTTCCATCGCAGGTTAAAACCTCCAGGAAGTACAAATACTTCGTGACTGTACTTAAGTCGAAATTTGGGGTATCTATACTTTACTGGAGTATTTATTTTTCAGACGACTTTTTACTTCTACTCCTTACGTTTTAAAAACAGCCTCGTTACTTCCGGCTTGTCGCAGTTCAAAAACACAAACACAAAAAACTGGATAAATGTCGCTATGCGGACAGTGAATGTGACTGTGGTTGGATGAGAATATGAACATTTAGCGTCCAGACACCCGGTTGGTTTTCTCCGCGATGCGCCGGCAGGTCGGAGCGACGTCGGAAAGTTGGTATTTATGGAGCCTCCTCCTCCTCCTCTTCCTCCTCCTCTTCCTCACGCAGAGTCCATGTAACGTTAAATGAGCATCTTCATGACCGTGGGTTTGTCCTAAATGTTTTATTGAGAGTCTGGCGCCACACAGCGACTTGCAAGCAGCGTATTAAATAAAGTGATGTTTGTCTTAATGCGGCTTTGGAAATGAACACAAAGGGATTCTGTATTTGCTCATGAGGCCTGAACTTACTGGTTATTTGGCCGATGTTTTGAGAAGCCACCGCTGCAGCTGTAGCGCTGTGCCAGTCCCTCGTACATGGGCTTCAGGGATCAAAATGAACTTGAATGAAAGATTAAAACTAGTCGTGATGCCAAATATATCATATATTATCCTAATCATTGAGGCATTAACGTGTTTACATTTGACTGACTTTAAACAATTCTGGTGGTTTAATCTATTACAAGATCCTAATTTATTAGTTGAGTAACATCTGTGATATGCAACTAGTAATTAATGCAGTCAAACACACGTGAACACAACTATAAACTAACATGTGGCGTGACACCAACATCAATGCATTTATAGACATGACACGTGTACTAAAGTACAGTATTTATGGCTAACAACGTTTATAGTTTACTATTCTCTCAGTACGTACATAATATGTATACAGAATGTATACATGTAATATACAATATTTAGCATAATAAATATACAGGGTATAGTGTAACATATACTATATTGTTAGTATTTACAGCTAAAGACATGTATAGCTGGCTGTTCTCTAAGTACGTTTACAGTATATAATGTTTAAACAGTATAAGATGAACAGCTAATGAGAATCTGTATAATTATTCAGATTAATATGCAGCGTTTTGTACGTCATTTAACACAGATTCTCATTAATTGGCAGATTCTAATTAAAAGGCTATAAATATAGCCTTTATATATATATACATGTATATATATAGCCTACTTTTGAGGGGAGTGGCCTAGATTTACCTACAGCGCTGGGTAGTTTAACCGCACAGGCAAACGAATCTATCACCGATATAGTCGATCAGAGTGGGACGTCCAATCCACACTACATGAAGTGTTGTCAACAATTCACGTGCGTTTAATATGAACAATTATCCGTTTTAATTCAAATATCGTGAGTGGGGATTCGTTTCAGGGTCCGAAGCGCCAAAGTGGGCGCTTTATAATTCCTGTTCCTTATCTACTGCTCATGTCTGGTGTAGTTTTTGTCATTGAAACATCGTGGCGCACACAACATGACGGAAGCTACGCAGCGTCCCCGACGTATTAAAACATGATCCTGTAGTTAGCAAACGTTAGATTAGAACTACGGAATATGTTAACGGCCGTCGCGAGAAACGGGGGGAGAGTCTCGGCCTCCGTAGCTAAATTCTCCCTCTTTTCAACGGCGAAGAACTCGACCGGGTCCCCGACTCTGACCGGGGGGCGAGATGTGTTCCGACACCGGTCCTCCGGGCTCGTCCTCACTCCGGCTCCCCGGCAGCTGCTCCCCGCCAGATGCGCGTCCCTGTCGGCTGCGTCCCGTGGGGGTACGGAGCCTCCGGGGTCCCCTTCGGACACAACCGGAAACCACCCCCCGGACCGGGGGAACTTCGGCTCCTACTCCAGCGACATTTCCTCCAGGAAGACGTTCAGGAAAGTCAGCCCCTACATCCGGGACCTGCGGCACGGGGATGGCGAAGAGGACGCGGTTGATGAGCCGGTGACCTCCGTGAGGAGGCCCGGGAGGAGGAACACGCCGTACTGGTACTTCTTACAGTGCAAGAGGCTGATCAAAGAGGACAAGGTGAGTCCAGTTCGCCGGCATCACCCACGTGTCCTCCCCCGTGTCTTCCTCGCCTCTGTCCGTCGGTGAGCTCTACGTGTCCTCTCGCAGCTGCAGGAGGCGCTGGACGTGTTCAGCAGGGACATGCTGCAGGGAGAGAGGCTGCAGCCGGAGGAGTTCAACTTCTCCGTGCTGATCGGAGGCTGTGGTCGAGCTGGACAGCTGAAGAAGGCCTTCAGACTCTACAATGATGTAGGTTTATTTTTATTTTTAAGTTATTAAATGCACATGAATGCTGATGTACACATTTTTCACATCAGTCACTTGTTCAGTAATCTGATGCAATCAGATGCGCGTGTGGTCGTCTTCCAGATGAAGAAGCGAGGTCTGGATGCTACGGACGCCACCTACACCGCGCTGTTTAACGCCTGCGCCGAGGCGCCTTCCAAACAAGCCGGTCTCCAGCAAGCGCTGAAGTTGGAGCAGGACCTCCGTCGCAGGAACCACCCACTCAGCACCATCACGTACCACGCCCTCCTCAAGACACACGCCGTCACCAACCACCTTCAGGCCTGTATTCACACCCTCCGGGTAGGACATGGGTGTGTGTGTGTGTGTGTGTGTGTGTGTGTGTGTGTGTGTGTGTGTGTGTGTGTGTGTGTGTGTGTGTGTGTGTGTGTGTGTGTGTGTGTGTGTTGGGAGGTTTGTGCACCAATTAGTCCGATTTCTACATGAGTGTGTGTGTGTTTGTAGGAGATGCTGCAGAACGGCCATGCTGTAACTCAGGAGACGTTTCACTACCTGCTGATGGGCTGTTTGAGGGACAAACAAACAGGATTCAGACTGGCTCTACAGGTACAAACATGACATTCATACATCGATACACAGTGTGTGAGAAGAAAAGACTATTTACTTTTTTGTGTAAAAGTTGCCGGCTGCGAGAGGAAAAACGCTTAAATCTTTGGTCATCACTACGACCTGACTTGATACAATCGGGGTGTTTTTATAATCATATTATTGCATTTTAAGTATGAGATCAACCTTTCATGACCCCAAAGAACGACTGCGACCTCTTTTTGTTTTCGGTTCAGGTTTGGCGCCAGATGCTGAGGTCCGGGCTTCGCCCAGACTCCAAGAACTATAACCTGCTCCTGCGAACTGCCAGAGATTGCGGCATTGGCGATCCCGCCGTGGCCACTGGCGTGCTGCTGAGGCCCGACCCGATGGACGAGAGGACACTCGTGCCTCACGTGAAGTCCGGACACATCGGTGTAATAGACGTTGACCTGCTGGAGAGGCAGCTGTGTATCCAAGCGGACCCCCGTCAGCAGGGCAGCCCGGGCAGCGAGCAGGAGCCCCACCTCATAGACTCCACCCACTTGGTGCCGGTCAGACGAGCGGAAACCGCCTCACTGGCCGCCGACGCTGCATCCGATTCAAAAGGCCCCAACCTACTGGACCTTTTCGAGGGTAGGAGGGGGGGCGTGGTCTCCCTCGGCACCGTGGATGGAGCGTCGGATAGGCTCGCCCTCATCGGGGGGGCGGAGGGGTTCCTGGAGAAGATGGCGGCCGACGGCCTCAGTCCGGACCTCAGAACCGTGACCCTGCTGGCCGACGCGATGGAGCCGGGGAGCCGGTCCCTGCAGACGCTGCTGAAGGTCGCCAAGCGGCACAAAGTGAAGCTGGACGTCGCCTTCTTTAACACCGCGATCCGCAGAGCAGCCAGAGCTGGTGACCTGGAGGAGGCAAAGGTGCACACACACACACACACACACACACACACTCCAGGCATCTTCTAGGTGTGAGTTGGTGCTTTTTATTACACGTCTCTCTCTCTGTCTGTCCAGGCGGTGTTGAGTGTGATGCGGCAGCGTAGCGTCCGCGTCGACGTGCAGACGTTTGGAAGTCTGGCGTTGGGCTGCGAGCGGCAGCAGGACGGCCTGCAGCTGCTGCGAGACATGGAGGTAAGGAAGCTCTCATCCGAACGGTCCCCGTAGATTTAAATCAAGAACAGAAAATCATCCGTCTGTGGCAGCTGCTTTTTCCTTTCTCCTTTTGTTATGTTGATTCAACACAAAGAACAGAAAGTGTTGATTATTCGTTGCACCCAGAGATAAACAGTAACATTGTCATGTTAAATACTCAGTGAGTATTAACAGTCGCAGCACTGGTACAAGTACCTAAATCTGACATGTGTTTATTGCAGGAGGCGGGACTTAGGCCCAACGTCCACGTGTTCTCTGCTCTGGTTGGCCGAGCAACTCGAAGGCTGGATTTTGCTTACCTCAAAACAATGCTGAAAAGCATGAGAAGCATGAGCGTGTGGCCGAATGAGGTCATCATCAGACAGCTGGAGTTTGCCTCCCAGTATCCTCCCAACTATGACAAGGTAAAGCACAGGGAGCTGCACCAAGTAGCCACGACTTACCTGAGCATGGAAACATGTCCGCGTGGGTGTGTAGGTGCAGATTCTGGTCACAGCCGAACAAACTCCAAACTCTTTTTGATCATTTTAGCAGATGTGACAAACGCATTTCAGCACCAAGGGGGTGAATGCAATGGAGCAGTTAGCTGCTCAAGAGATGGATATTTTTAGACTCAAAAAAAGCAGAACAGGGGAATTTGTCCCTGACTCACTGGATGTGTAAATATACAAATGTCGTGAATACACCTAAGTCTACAAGTGTTATGAGCCCTCTGGCTGGAGGCGTCATCACACTGATTAAAGTCAGACTTTTGTGTAAATGTTGCATTGACCCCCCCCCTTCATGTTCCACCAATCCCAGTTCAAGTCCAGAAACAACTACCTGCTCCAGATCGATGGTTTCCGTGGTTACTACCAGCATTGGCTGAGAGCCATGCCTGCTCAGAGCGCCGAGGACCATCAGGCGGACCTGAAGTCCGAGGCGGACGTCAGAGGGCTGAAGACAGAAGCTGCGGATGGACTCACATCGGCTCAGAGGAACCAGAGAGCAGCAGCGAGGAGGTTCAAGCCCCACAACAAGGACAAGAGGAGCAGCTCGGCTCTCTAACAGAACCTCTGCTCGTTCGTCAGCTGATGGTCTAAGCTGTGGGGGTCTTAGGTGATGGAACTTCCTTCAGTTATTGCAAATCCATTGATTTTCCCTACAGATGTAAATGATTGTAATCTATATTGCAATAAAGTACAATTCAAGTTTGAAACCTGAATCTAATTGTAGTTGTCTATTGCATTATAGTTTATTTGGAAAGAAATGTTTCAGTGGAGAGATGTGTGGTGGTTATTTGAATAAAGGTGAAGTGCCCCGTATTACAATTTGGATTATAGAATTAGAAGTTCACAGGATGTGAGGTTTGTTCATTTTTTTTAAAGAGACTTGATGAACTAAAAGGGGAGGAAAACCGATTTAATCTGTCAGGATTATTCATGTTTCGCTTGATGTGCCTCAACGGGACAGACAAACTGAGTTGTTTGATAACTTTCTGAAAAATCTTTTCAGCGAGAAAAAAGTTAAATGAGAGGAATGAAAATAAGAATTGGGTGACGTGTGAAAAGGAAATATGGCAATATCTTTAATTTATGGATTGATCAAAACAAGACATTTACTTTTTAAAAGGGAAGAGGCAGTACAGGGTCCTTAAGGATCACTCAAGTGTTAAAATTCGTTTTATAGAAGGACTCGAGCAAATGAAAAGAGACGTTCACATTGAGAGGATAATAATAGAGCTGTAAAATGGAAAGGGAGATTTTTTTTTTACTTAGTCAAGTATCCGTCTTAGTTTATTGACCATTGGGAAAATAAAAACTCGCTTTAACAGGTTTTCTGTTTTGGGGCAAAAAGAAAGACATGCATAAAAAGAAGACCGTCTTGTTTTCAGGGAGTTATAGTTGCTCATGAAAGAAATCCAGAGACACCGACACAAACGAAATCTGGTATCTATTAATTTATGTATTTTAATTATAGTAACTAACGCTACTTTACGAAAATGAAATGTATTTATTTGTTCCTCCTTCGGCTGTATGATGATTTAACGCTCCACAAATCCGTCCAGCAGGTGGCAGGAATACACCCGGGAGCTAGTTGGCCAACCAACAGTAAGAACAACGAATAAGAATATTATACGTCACATCCGGTCTCGGGAGTTTTGGAGAAAGCCGGGCGGCAAAAAACTACTTATTGACTTTTTGGACAACCAAGGTAAGACAACTAGTCGCTAATTAAACTTAAACAACTATTCGAATGCGTTTTGTATCAATATTGTGTAGCAAATAAGTACTTTTAATGTTGTCACGTGGTGCCTTTTATGTTAACTTTCGATTTCCTGTCTCCAGGAAAACTTCTTAAAACTACGAAAACAACTGTGGTTTGGTCTGTTTTTAGAAAGACGTGTCATGTTTTATAACAAAGACACAATAATGTCTCCTCTTTATCAATTGTCCTCTATATTCTATCGACTATTCCCCCCCTGCTAGACATTGTTTGATGGGTACAGCGGTGGACACTGGAGAAGTCATCGTCATCCTCAGTGACGATGAAGATGCTGAAGAGAACATCTCGTTCAGTGATCAGTCGGTTGTCATCGTGGAGGCGGAGGACGTGAAGAAGAGCGGTAACAGCTGTGTTCACCTCTTCCACCCCAGCAGCCTGGACGTGCAGGTCGTGATCTCCTCCTCTCCCCTCCTGTTTCAGACTCTGCTGTAGCTCCCGTTGCTCTGGATGAAGACCTGGTCATCACCTTCTCCCGCCGCGCGGAGGTCCTCCCTCACGCACGCTACGACTGCCCCATACACGTCTTCACGTGAGTGAATTGCATCGCTTTCTTGTTTTTGTTTCACCTTCACGAGAGACGATCTCACCTTCCTCTCCTCTGATGCTCAGGGCGACAGACGAGATCGGCGCTCCTGCGGCCGGTAACCAGCTCATGTGTGATCAGTGCTTCTGCTACATCTGTGACAAGCTGGCGTCATTGGTGCGTGTGGACGTAGTTTTTAAACTACATGCACAACACAAACGCAGACATCGAAACATCCAGAACCCAGAACCCATCTATCAGTTATATTTCCATGAGTCTAACAGCTGCTGCTGCTGCTGCTGGTGTTGTTGTGGTGCTCTGGATAAACGCATATATTCATTCCTAAATAAAGATCATTTCAGGTCTAGTTTTTCATGTTGTTCTGGTGTGTGTGTGTGTGTGTGTGTGTGTGTGTGTGTGTGTGTGTGTGTGTGTGTGTGTGTGTGTGTGTGTGTGTGTGTGTGTGTGTGTGTGTTTTCTCAGTGTCAAATGTGGTGTTGCAGCGGACTCTGTCACTGCAACAGCCACAAGAGGAGCGACTTCTGGAACAACCTCAGAAACAGCTTGCTGCTGGGAGGACTCCAGCGCTTCAACCTAACTCTGTCGGAATTAGATTCTCACCTCCGGCACGCAGGTACTTTCACACGCGTATTTTAACAATAAATGGTGTCCGGTTGTTACTGCGCTGCATTTCGCTGGCTCTGTCTTCCTCCTGTGCAGAGACGATGCTGCAGAGCTTCAAACTAAGGCTCTCGGCAAAGTTCGAGTGCTTCTTGAGAGGAGAGTCTTTAGAAGGATACGGTCCGAGCGACTCGAACCCGAAAGGCGTCGTCTTCAAGTGAGTGACGGAGCCGCGCTGCGGCGAAACACTGAAACCTGTGCACATGATCTCCCACCATTCATGACTGTGGGGTCTTTGTACAGGAAAGTCATTAGGATTCATCCTTTTAATGTCCGCACCAGATTCACGACCACGCAGACATTAAACCTGTTAACTGAAAACGTCCCAGTATAAGTTATTAAGTTAGTGGAACCGCTATGAAAGCTCTGCTACTTGTAGTTTTCTACAGTGTTCCTTTAGTTCAGCTCTTTAGGGAGGAGTGTGACCCAAACCATCGGAAAAAACACTCAAAAATAACACTAAACTATTATCACAGACATCCGCATGCTGTTAAAAAGTCAAATTAGACCAAACAGTTTACATGGCTACAAATTCTTCCCCATTTAGTGCCTTCAGCTGTGACTGTCGTGATTACTGTACGTCGTCGCTGACATTATTAACAAAAGCGACGTATTTAAAATGATATTTTTCCGTTTGCGCTTTGCAGCTACACACCCGTGTACGAGTTTGTGTCGTCGTTCCTGAACGAAGCCGACCAGCAGGAGGGCAGAGCTGCAGCCGTCCTCCGACTGGGAGCCGCTGAGGTCTTCATACGACATTTTCAAGTCTCAGGGTACACACACACACACACACACACACACACACACACACACACGGCATGGATGGCATTTCATGGACATCTTAACAGCTTTTCTGCTCTCTGTGTTTATGATTCTCTACAGGTCTTACATCTCACACTCTCCTACTGCTAACGCTGTTGAAGCCAGACTGGTGTTACTGCAGAGGTACACACACACACACACACACACTGTCTCAAAGTAATTCACTGTGATATTTACCTCTCGTTGGTTTTCCCAGGGTAATAGCGTCCGTGCAGAGACAGATGGTGATGAGCAGTTTGACCCCAGACTTCATCCACAAATTGCAGGAATTTTACCAGAAGTTATTTTTCCCTCCTGAGCTGAAGAACATGAAGAGCAGGTATGTGTGTGCGTGTGTATATATATGTGTGTGTGTGTGTGTGTGTGCACGTTACTCTAACTGTGTGTGCGCCTCAGCCTGTGTGTCCGTCCCTGGGACGACGTCCTGCTGGTGTCCGTGCTGAAGGGGCAGAACGTGTCGGGGGTCCGCAAAGACAAAGGCAAGAAGGACCTCCTGATAGAACAGATTGCTGTGGTTCTGTTGAGAACGGAAGTACTGCAGCAGCAGCACAGGTACAGACACACACACACACGTAGACACACACACCACTCTCGCAACTAGTCAGACCCCACCTGACTGTGTCCTCGCTGTCTGCAGGTACCGAGAACTGTGTCGCTACCTACGAGTTGTCGAGAGCGATGATTCCAAACTGTGAGTGTTCCAGAAGCATTTAACTGCAGAAAATGAACAGAATATATTTCAAATAGGATGAAATGTGCATTTCACATACATAACATTCCTAACGCAGACATGTGTGCTGACTGGTTTTGTCCCTCCGGTAGTCTCCAGCAGGTCCGTGACCTCATCCCGTTCTTCTTCTGCATGGACGGGTCCTTGCCGGGCGGTCTGCACAGCCTGTTCCCCACGGTGAACGCCCCCGCCGCACGCCTCACCCCGGACCTCTTCCTCTTTTACCTCCGCCTCTTCACAACGGCAACGGCGCCGCCGACGGCGACGGCGAGGGTCAGCGGGTCGGTGCAGGTGTGCATCTCCGACGCGGCGTGGCAGCCGATGAAAGGTCAGACGCACGCGAGAGGAACAGGCTGGATTTTTGACAAGAAGAAGAAGAAGAAGAAGAAGAAGAAGAAATGTGTTCTCGTTTCTCAGAGCCTTCCCTGTCTCTCCAGATGCTGTGCCACTTCCAGATGTTGTGGTGGTGAGGTTTGCCCTCAGGGTGCAGCGGTGCTGCCCGGCCGTCTTCGCTGACGTGAGTCCACAGATAAGAGCTGTGGAGGAATGTCCTCGAGCTTTTTAATCATCTGGCCGCGTGTATTAACGTGCTGTGTGAATAGTTTTTTTGTTGTTGTTGTGAACCTTCCGATTCAGTCTCGATGTTGGATCAGTTTACTCCAAATCGTCAACCCGCCCGCCGCCGTCCCAGAACCCACTTCCAAGTTTCTACACGTATGTGCGTTTTCTTTTCTTTTTAAACCGTTTTCCATTCGTTCATTCCAAGTTGTTTACGTTCTGTGAATTCCGTCTCTTACCTCAGGAAGCGAAGGACGTCGTGAGTACGATCCTGCACGGCGCAAACGTACAGATCCCGCGGGTCTTTCAGGAGGTGCGCACGTCACGATGGCCACGCGTGCACGTGGACGTTACCAGCGGCTCGTGACCGTGTTGTGTGTGTCTCCAGGGGTACCCGGATCAGGCTTTGTTGCTGTTGGTAACGGGAGCTTTAGGTCAGCGGGTCCTCAGTGGCGCTCTGAGTCCGGCCCTCCCTGTGCTCAACACGTTCAAGGTCTGCACACGTTTAGAGAGCGCTTCTGTTCGCACGCTCCTCCTCCCTTTTCACCCCGCGACGTGTCTCTTGTCTTCGCAGGGTAACTTGTGGGCTCTCGGGTGGCTGTGGGACAGTTTGTCCTCGAGCCCGGAGCGACTCCGGTCCTTCTCACAGGAGCTGTCACGGGAGGCGGGAGCCACGGCAGGTGCGTGGACGTCTTTCCAACAGCTATGAAAACTTGCACCAAACTCTCTTCATCTGTACTCGCGCAAAGGTATTTGAGTTCAAGTTAACGAAAAGAGGACAAAGCGACCTGCACTCACCGGGCGACACCCGGCGGCAGTGTGGAGGAACTGCAGCTCGGCCTCGGCTCAAAGCGCCGAGTCACTTCCTGAGGACCTCGGGAGACTTCTGCATTCTGGCTTTTTCTTGAGTTAACTTTTCACTTGCACCAATGCTCTGCTTGTTACGCTGCCTTCAGCTGCAACTAACTATTACTTCCTTGATTCATTCATTTTTCTTTAGCGCATCGTTAGCTACGGAAGCTGTATTGGACGTAGACATGCTGCTTTGGCTTTTTAATGGTTTTAACGATGAATAAAGCTTCACGGGAGCAGCGTGGTTCCTTCATGTCGTTGTTTCAAAAGCTCCGCTAACGTCGAGTTGCATGTCTTTGTGTCTCTGTCAGATGGGGATAATATTTTACGCTTTCTTCACTCCCTTGTACCCGCGCCGTCGTCTTCAACAGAGTACCGGCACCAGTGAGTGTGATTTCATTCATTCATCAACCAAAAAAAGAGATAAAAGAAACCTCACGTGGACGTTTCTAATCTATTTTCACTGCGTGATAAAAGTCGCTAGCGGGCCGTGTGTCTGTTTTCCGTGCGGCGGTGAGTCGCTGTCACATGTGTTGGTCCCACACAGTGTCTCCTGTGTTGTGCTGTTGGTCTAACGCTCTGCGTCTCTTCCTCCTCCTCCTCCTCCTCCTCCTCGTCGTGCAGGCAGTCCAGCGGCTCTTAAACTCTCCTGCTAAGAATCAGCTGTAAGTCAACCACAACCGTCATCAGCTGTTTCATCCACTTTTTATTTTTGCACATAGTCCGGAGTGTTTTTTTTCCTCTCCTTGTGTTTGTTGGTTGTACGTTTTGAACTGTGAATTCTTAGTATTTGTCACTAAAACGCATCATGTGAAACCTCGAGGACGTTCAAATGTATTGAATGCATTATTTGTCTTCCACGTGACCAGCGGGAGCCGCTGAAGGTACAACGTGTGACATATGGACATGTTTTTACTGGTGTGCACGCGCTCACTGGTTTGAGCTCTGATGAGGTCAAGGGTCGGGACTCTGTGCATGTTTGGAAGGTTTGACAGTTGGATTAAATCCTGAAGGGCAGAAACAGGAAAACAATTTGAGCTTTAAGGAGCTCCGGGAGACACACTTTTCACATCTCTGCCACCACTTTAGATTTAATCTGGTTAACTCTCAGAAAACACACACACCGCACATCTGCCCCGGAGGATTAATAACGGTGTTCTGGTTCAGCACCAATATCATTCTGGATTAAATCACTTTTAAATATTGTCACACCTCATTTCTCGGACCCACTGATGGATGTTTGTCCGGTTATGGCAGCAAGTTTCATCTCGATGGATCAGCTGTTCCTTCTGTCTCCTTGTTTTGTCATTTTTCCTCCATGAATTTTGATATAAAAGCCTTTTATAAGTCTTTCCTGCACTGTGGAAACTTATCAACCATGTCTGCATTTTAATTGTTGTATTCATTGTTCTACTGTTCTCCTGTATATTACAACAGCCTCACTTCTTTCTCCAACAATTAAAGATGATTCTTTTTCCTTTCATGTGTTGTTTTCAATAAGCGAAGCCTCTGCTTGTTCAACACACCACGTATTCGATATCGAGAACGCGTCGGGCTTTTTAAGCGAAATGACAGTTCATAGATTAAGCCCAATTAGATGTGAGTGAGTTGATTGGTTTTTCATATCAGTGCTGAGTGGTAATTCGCAGATTCTCTCTCTGACTCGTGGCTCCATTCAACACACGACTATGTTTTTATATTTGATGTAAAGCCTCCTTATAAATGCTGAAGTGTAATATTTTTTATCCTCTGGGTGTTTGCAGCCGCGTCTGATTCCAGACTGTAGCAGGACAGACGGAGCGATGAAGAGACACATCATCATCATCATCATCACCTTTGTTATTAATTTCATAATAACAGAGAGGCACTTTGTTGCTTCATTCTTTATTGATTTAGAGCAGACTTCACTGTCAACTCTTAATGTTATTTTCTGTTAATGAATTTCTGAAAAGGATTTTTAATATAATCCTTTGTTACAAATGCTCATAAAATGCACCCATGTGCTTTAGTAAATAAATGGGAACAAAAACAAGTTTTAATGCTTTTCTTTTGTTGCATATGAATCCTAATGTAAAAGATTTTATTTTTGTGTGAATATAAATATATATTAAAGACTTTTGTTACAGTGCTGTCTTTGTAACTTTTTAGGATGTACTTTTTTACTAAAAATATTTTTAAATACTTTTCTATGACGTCCAAACTGGCTTTTCTTTCTTTGTTAAAAAGTACAGACTTTTTACTCCAATTTGCCGTTTTAATAATGTGCTACACTACACATCTTTGAATACTTTTTATGAAATGTTTTTTATTGCTCATGTTGCTCAATTTAAGAATCCAGAGTAAAGACACGCGTTAAACTTGCATCAATCAAATCAAATTGAACGTTAACCAGAAGGAAGTTGTTATTAGCTACAGTTTAACTTCTTTCATGTCTTAGTCTTCAAAAAACTCCAGATTGTTCAAACCTCTGCTGACAGGCTTCAACGACCTCCTCCAGCTGGCGTGATCCCTGAGAGATCAGTTAATAATAAAACGTGTATTACCACCAGGATCTGCAAACTACAAGCAGCACTTTGCTGAATGAACAGTGTTCTCACGTCAGTAACAGTTGTTTTGCTGCTCAATTATAAGCCTTCATTTTAAAAACACACTCCAATAAAAAGCAAAAAGTGCCTCATTGATAAAAACACGTAAACGCGGTTCCTCCGTGCGACGCGCGTCATTGCCTCTGGTCGAGGCGTCGTCACGGATGGTCGATGGTTCTTATAGTTCACGCCGCGTGCGTATTTCTGTGCAGGTGCACCGAGTTGTAGGAGATACTCAGAGCAGGCGGTCCACGTCCCGCGTGGCGCCGCGTGATGAGGTCACACAGGAAACGCATCACTCTCGAATCGTGCTCGCTGCTACAAGTCGCTGGCGCGGGCGGGACGTCCCGCTCCGAGACCCCGCCCGCCTCGGCGGCGCCGGGGCCACTCGACGGCAGGCGGAAGGCGTGCAGCAGAGCCCGGTTGGCCAGCGCGGTCAGGCAGCTCTCCAGGTGGAGCAGGTAGGTGCCGCCGCGGCTGATGCCGCCGCGGGGGTCCGCCAGCCGGCCGACGAGGCAGCCGGAGTACGACGGAGCGAGCAGCGTCCTCTGGTCCAGGTCCAACAGCGCCAGGTAGCGGGTCAGAGAGCCGAGGGCGCCGGCCGAAGAGCCCGAGGGCGACCTGAGGAGACGGGGAGACGGTGATCAAGCGATAACGGGTGAGGCGGCGCGCCGTGTCTCATGGCCTACCTGTGTATTCCTATGAGCCTCCAGGTGAGCAGGTCGCTCAGCTGCAGCGGCGCGGTCAGACACGGCATCACGGCGGCGCCATCGGGCCCGGGGGCGGGCAGGAAGAGGCTCAGAGCCTCCACCAGCTTCCTCACCGCGCTCTCGTCTCCGCCCGCGACCACCAGCGGCCGCCCGCTCAGGAGGCAGAACACGGCGTGCTGGGAGAAGGAGTTCTGTTTGAGGAACCGGAGGGCTCTGAGTCCCGCCTTCCTCCTCCTCCTCCGCCTCTGATCCGAGCGGGGGTCAGAGGGCGGGTCGTGGGAGCCGGCGACGCTGGCGCAGTCGGACCCCTCGTCGATGCTCAGCAGCCGGAGGGGAGCGCCGGGCGGAGGCGGGCGGTCGGCCTCCGCCTCGGCAACGGGGGCGCTGAAGTGCACGTGAAGGTCGGGCACTTGCAGCAGTTTGGACGTCTTCTCAGGACGTCCGTCTTCTTGGCCTTCATTGCTCTTCCAGCATCCGATGGCCTCCGCCTTCTTTATTGTAACGGCTTCTTCGTCTCCTCTGTCCTCCTCGACGGCCTCGTTCGCCGAGGTGTCCGCGCCCGCCGTCTCCTCCTCCCCGAGGACGCCGTCGGCCCCGCGCGCTCGCTCCGCCTCCTCCTTGCGCTCCGAGCCGTTGCTCAGAGGCCGGGGCTCCGCCTCCTCCTCCGTGATGGCGGTGAGGTCGTCGGGAAAGATCTCGGTGGTGCTCAGCACCTCGATGCTGTCCTCGCTGTCGGCTCGTCTGGCGTACGTCCGCGCGCTCCGGACGGCGGAATCCGCCGCGGCTCGCCGGTGAGCGGCGTCCGTCGACCCGGCCGGGGTTTCTGTTTGAAGAGACAACGTGTGACTACTGCAGCGCCTTTGATCTGCTTGGATCGTCTTGTATTGTTAATCATTCGATCGTCATTAGCTTGTATCTACGTCGTATATGACGGCCGATCATGTTCTGTATGCTTGAAAGACATTCGGTGGAATTTGTGGGAAAAAGAAACAATCCCTCCGATATAAAAAGGTTTTGGTACCTCTGCTGTCAGAGCCGCGCTGCGTCTGGTAGGACCTCTCGGTGCCGAGCACTTCGATGCTGTCGCCGCTGCTCGTGCTCCCCGTCATCTCCGGGGCAATGGGGGGGTCGGGGGTCGCCCTCCCAGCTCGCCCCGCCTCCAGCATGATGGGGATCTCCTCCACGCAGGAGCAGAAGGACTCCGGGCCCGTCGGGTCCGATTGAAGCGCGACCATCTCCCTCGACGTCGCCCTCTGCAGCTCCGCCTCGGCGCTCTCTCTCCCCTCCTCCACCTCCTCCTCCTCCTCGTCTCCGTCCTCCGGCCTCCACAACTCAAACAGGAAGTTGGTGAGCGTGATCCTCCTGGCCATCGCCCGCGTGACGCGGTTGATCCGCAGCACGCTCTTGTCGCCGCGCAGGCGGCGCTCCGCGTCGGCGAGCTGCTCCTTCATCAGCGTCAGGAAGTAGTCGTTGCAGAGCTCCTCCAGGGGCTTCAGGCGGCGCTCGGACCTGCAGGAGGAGGAGAAGGAGGTGGAGGTGGAGGGGGGGGGGCAGCGCGCCGGGGCCAACAAGGCAGCCGGATCGGCGAGGGAGTCGGCGGGGTCGTAAGGCAGGAAGTCGGGCTGTTTCAGCTTCCTGTTTGGGTAGGAAGTGACCTGGCGCAGGAGGTCTTGATGCTGTGAGATTGAACGCTCCACGGCGTCCAGCTCGTCTGCCTTTTCTCCCTCCTTCGCGAAGCCGCCGGGCGCCATCGGAGCTTCTGCCTCCTGCAGCAGAGTCGACCGTGTGTACCTGCAAGCGTCAGAGGGAGGTTATTCATACTTTTTCATTCATGTTGACTTTGCACGTTGCCACGACGTCCCTTGTACATCTCCAAAAAGGTCCATATTTTCAATTTTACTAATTTCATTTTTGTGGTTGCAGATTTTTTGGGTTTCAGATTAAAATCTTATTTTCTTGTCATTTCAAACATAAAGAATTCTAAAGATCCTGCCACTGGTGATCACACGCCCCTCTCCGCTGATGCCCCGCCCCCAAAGCAGACCAGGACCAACGTTGTTTTTGCTGATCCAAGTATTTAAATAGTCGCTTACTCGAGCTCCTGCAGCCTCCTCTGCAGCTCGGCGGAAAACGCCTGGCGGTTCCCCGTCTTCAGGCTCTCGGAGGCCTTGGCGAAGCCGCTCGACAGCTCGCAGAAGTTCTCCGTCAGCTTCTCCTGGTCCGAGCACACGTACGCCATGCAGAAGGGACGCACCAGGCCCCGGGCCTCCAGGTCGTACAGGGTCACGTGGTGGACGTAGGCGAACGCGTCCTCCGCCGAGTCTCCCAGCACCACTTTGGAGTCCTCGCTGAAGTTGAGGCGGGGGCCGGGGGCCGCCTGGCAGGGGCCGGACGCCTGGTAGTCCACGGACATGATGCGGACGGAGAAGTGGTTGAGGTCAAACGATCCGATGACCCCGGGGACGTCCGGTATCGTCAGCACGGGTCTGGGTCCCACCTGGAATCAGAGAATAAGGAAAACGAATGTTGAGCTTTGCTCTCTGGGACACACGGTGCTGTGGGAGAACTTTGTTTTAACTCCTGTATCGCTTCTGCTTTGCAGGACTGACTCGTCTTCTGAAGATGTGACGTGTTTTCAGGTCTTTCCATCGTCAGCGTTCTCACAAAATATATATTATTTATTTATATATATATTATCAGCATTACTGGAACTGATCTCAAACATTTGGTTGAAAATCTGAAGCAAGGTAAGCACTTTTTTTATTAAAAAAAACATAAACCACATACATTTAAAAGATAAATAGAAAAGGAGGATATTTCATGCTTCCTTTTTTATGAACTTTACTTTGCTATGACTGAATAACTAATGAATAATATGTGAATAGCGTAAATATCATTGAAGGTTACGCACCAGAACTACGAACTGCATCATTATTCCACACCTTATATTCCATAATTGTTGTTCTACCTCATAATATTCTTCACCTTGTCATTATTCATATTGTTACTTTGCTCAAACTACACATGTATTATTTGTAGCCTGTTGCACCTTTAACGTAAAGCATCGTTAGGTATCTTTATCTGGTCAATAACAACTTTATTTATACGCGTTTTTTTCTTTTCTCTCTAACTCCAACTTTCAAAATTAAGAAACACACACGCACGCGCGCACACACACACACACACACACACACACACACACACACACACACACACACACACACACACACACACCTGCTCTGAGAATTCCGCCACCAGTATGAAGTCTCTGTGAAACAGGGCGGCGGAGGTCCAGGGGTTGGACGGCGGTAACCGGGGGACGGAGAGCTCTTCCGGTAGACCCTCCCGGTCCTCCTCTCCTTCCCCGAACCCCTCGGTCCCGGTGAAGGCCAGCAGGTCCGGAGACCCGATCATCTTCACGCCGTGTGTGGCGGACGGGGGTCATGGAGCACCTACCAAAACACCGCGGTGACCCCCAGTGCGCCGCCCCCCCTCCCCACTCCCCACCCCCCCTTCCTTCCGTCGGTGAGTCAGCTGTTCACACGGGACTCGTCACGCAGTCACCGGTGCGAAAGTACCGAGAAGCGGCGTTCAAGTCCCCCGGTCAACAACGGGCGTTTTCAGGAACCGACCCCACAGAGAAGAACTGGAGAAGTGAAACGGAGTCACATGGTGAAGCCGACTCGTTGCGCGTTCTCGCGGCGGGTGAACGTGACGTCGTAGCGCCCCCCCCCCCCCCCCCAGGGGCCCGGAGGGCTCCGGGGTCGGGCCCAAGGTGCCAGGGGGGGGAGGCGCCTCTTTTTCGGTGGGGAAATCCCGCTTTCTCCAGGGTCCCGAGTCGCCTCCCGAGAATTTCCGGCCAACCGTTTCAAAAAAAAAACTCCTCCCGCGCTGAGCACACTCGGTTTATTGGACACGCACTGATGTAAAGTACATTGATACAACCAGCGGCTGAAACCAGTTTAATTTAACTTAAAATAAGGATGCAATTCGTGGGGATGTTGCATTGTAACTTGTGTTATTTAAACTGTTTTTTTGTAAATATAAAGGACCAGTGTGGATTTAAATGCATTTACTACTGGAAAGGGAATAACAATGGTTTCATACTTTTGGTGGACTGAGCATCTTATATTGTACCTTTTATGTTTGGTGCCATGTTATTCTATATTTAACAGAGATGTGACAAAATAAACAATGTGACAATGTGTAAGAGGCTTTTGAGTTTAGGTTACCTGGGGTACAAGATCTACAAAAAGGCTTGGCGAGGTGATTCAGGTGAATGCAAAATGTATTCCTACAAAACGCCACTGAATCCGACACACAAAAGTTTAAAAAACTACTTCAACAAGTTTATAAAAGTGGTAAAAGTCTCTTTAGCCGATCGGCTAATAAATAAAAGGTACCAGGAAAATCTTCCTGACACTCCTCTTTGTGACGCTCGGTTTAGAAAGTTAGGATGGAAAAATTTCAGAGCAACAAAGGAGGAATAAAAACAAATACTCATTTTTATTTGCAGTGTGTTCATTTACAGAAAATAACTTTCAGTCAGCAAGAAATAGTCCCAACATTCATACGGTATTTAAAACCAACAGCCTTCAGTTAGAAGGCAACTTTATTTATCTAAAAAAGGTTAGTTAACCCAGGTAAGAGTCAACCCACTGAACAGCAAACAAGACAAACAAAATACTGCACACTTTAACACTCAATATGACAAAATATAGCATTTGCGTTAAATAAGTTAGATGGACAGGTTTTTATAAATGCATTAAAACCTGTTGTCATTAGCAGGTCATCAATTGTCTGTATACTTACATTATATTAAAGTAGGTTTAGGAAAATAAAGCCGAGCACTCGCCATCAGTCAGAGGCGATGAGCGCTCCTCTGCTGGTATTCCGAGCGCCGCGTGGCCTCAGTGACCATCGCCGACGCCCCGTCAAGCAGCTACATCCCTTCAAACTCCACTGCAGACTCTGGTGGCTGGTTTGACCGCGCACGTCCTGAAGCGTCACCTCAAACCCGTTGGGTGAACACTTCGTCTCCTTTCCTCTAAATCGCTTTCACATCCCGTCTCGGTTTCGCGTCTCCTCGTCCCGGCGAGGCGCGTGCTGCACATTCTGTAATTCCAAAATCAAAGCAGGAGGGAGGAGCTAAACAAGGCAAGAACGCAGTGGTCAGAGCACGACGTCTTATTCATTTGATCTGTGTGTGTGTGTGTGTGTGTGTGTGTGTCAGAGCTTGAAAGATACTGCGCGTGCACACAGTTATATGAGCAGTATTTCAGGCTCCGACACGGCGCAGTAAAGCATGAAACCCATCCGGTCCACCTGGTCCTCCGACAAGCCGCTCAGCAGATTGACAGCCGGCTTGAAGTAGCTGTGCAGCGCCCCTTGTTCCAGGTAGCCGATCAGCTCGGCGACGCACTGCCGGAATCGCACATGCAGGCTGGTCTCGGACCAGTCGCCCTCGGCGTCGCTGAGGTGCAGGATGAGGTTGGCCAGCGGCGCGGCTCCGAGCGGCCGCAGGGAAGGGTTCAGTCTGCACACCGCCTTGAGGATCTTCAGCGCGTGGCGGCGGCGCCCGCCGTCGGCGGCGTCGAGCTGAGTCAGTCGGCGGTTCTCCCACGGGTAGAGGGACAGGTGCCAGGCATTGACCCAGGGCGCCGTGAGCTCCGGCTGGGCGGTCAGAACCACGTCCTCCTCCGTCAGCAGAGGCAGCACGGAGATGAACACGGGCGGTTCGCTGCTCGCTGCCCCGTCTTCATTTCCAGGCCTGGAGGAACACGGCGGGGGAGAAGTCCATCAGGAGAGAGCAGGCACACACGGTTTATCAGCTTCTTTAATAAAAAGTTTACAGCAAAAAAACAAAGAATGTGCAGAAAGACATTGAAAGGTTCCCTGTAGCCGAGGAACTGCAGGGTCAGAAGAAAACTCTTTCACACACGGGAAACTTTTTCTTTCTGGGCTTTCTGCCAAAAGGAGTTTATTTAAGCCCAAAACATGATCTTTTCCTAAGCCCTAACATGTAGGCTTGTTGCCTAATCTGAGGGAGAGTTTTAAAGCCCTCGAGGCAAAAGCCTCTCCCGTGTGCCCTGTTTACACTACGGTGACGTGAGCCATTCTTCATATGCAACACTTTGATCCAAGCATCCCTTCTACACAGGGATTTAAAAAGGACTTTTATTTAGTTGCCTTCTTCATAATTAAACCCGGCAGACTGTAGGGAAGGCTCGGTTTAGCCACAGATAAATACAGAGTCCTTCTGAGCATCAAATCCTAGGTAGTAACAGCGTACCTGATCTCCAGTCTCAGGTCAGGTCCTCCCAGCACAGGTCTGACCAGACAGTCCAGAGTGCTGCTGATGGACAGCCAGTTCACACTTTCCATCACCGTCTTACTAAACATGTTCACAACCGCTTCTGCAGACAGGTACCCCCCCACCAGGTGCCTGCAGGACAGAGACCGGCTGCTTCACTGAGGCTCAGCGTCACAGCAGCAAACCCTCAGTTCTGATTAAGTCCATTACAGCTGCCTCAATTTAAATTACATTGATTTTAAAAATCTCCTCCAAGAATGAATATATGTTGGTGATTTAAAACTAAAATCAGCAAACTGACACATATGATTCAATGTTAATGTAGTATATCTAGCTTCTCAATGACATTGTGTGATGATTTTTCTTTTTCATACATCATTGTATGCTGAATAACTGAATAGCATTAGTCAAAAACACAAACGTTGAAAATGAGCAGTAAAAAGCTTAGTTACACAAACATGCCTGATCTGCTTAAATAGAAAGAGACACAGACCGCTTGAAGGATCACAAATATTTGGGTTGTCACAGTATCATCACCTGTCCCAGTAGCTGAGTCCTCTGGGGAAATATTCCAGATTGACTCGTCGGATCATCCAGTGCAGCGGGTGTGTGAGCAGCGTCTCCTCTCCGGGGATGAGGCGCCACAGAGTGGCTTCCAGCTGTAGGGGCACCAGCAGACAAGCATGGTCCGCACTGACCACCTGAACACACGCGGAAAGAAGCCCGGGTGTTACCCATCCTACACCTACGAAAAGAGAGCGGGCTTATCAGCCAGGAAAGGGGGAGCGAGCGTACCTGCAGGTCATCCAGTAGAGAACCTCCGAGGCTCATCTCTCCCAGCGGCATGTCAGGAACCCGGCTGTGCAGAAAGCCCTGGATCTCGCTGCAGATGTCCACGGCCAGAGACTGAGCCCTCAGCACCTCGTCTGGATGGAGGGCCGCCCTCGTGTGATAGTACTGCTGCAGGCGCTCCTGCACACAACTCACTCAGTTCAAGTGGCGCAAATACTGGGAGGCCGAGATAGAGAGGGTGAAGGGTGACCAAACAGTTTGGATGTCGTGACACTTCCACTGGGAATGCACAAAGCCGCCTCCTGTTGTTTAGTGCCTCTACCAGACTTAATGTTGGCGCGTCTTTAGCATCTGTACCGCAGCGTATTCCCAAGTGAAAGAGAATATTTAGATAAAATAAAAATCTCCATGCACGCACACGCACACCTCCATTGTCCTAAAAGTTGCTTATTGACTGAATGCTGTGATCGGTGGAAACTGATGGGCACAAGCTGACGTAAGCACACATGTCTTGTTTAACCAGAAGAATATTTTGATATAAAGTTATAACGACATACATTTTTCTTTGTTAAAGGACTGCCAGTTAAGTTGCTGCAATGAAGAAAAGTAGATGACAGCCGAGGAACAATGCTGTGCGTATTCTGTCACTGTTGTTAAGACTAAAAAGTACAGCATATTAAAGCGTATTAAAGCCCCATATGAGAGGAAACAATGGACGCTGGCATAGAAAAACACACCGCTGATTCTATTCTGGTTTTCAGAAAGTCATTTAATTTATTCATTCTAACAGGCACTGTTCCTGGGATGCTGAACAGCAAATTAAGATGCGCAACTTTTCATAAAAGATACAATTTGCATAAGCTTTCTTTAAAGCCAAATCCCATTGCTTCAAATCCCCTCTTACGTCCAGTCATGCGTTTGCAGCTGCTCTGCTAACATTTACTGAACAAATTGTCTCATGCAGCTCATACAGAACCATCCACAACATTTCTGCTTATGTGGGCGTCCCGCACTAACTAACTCAAAGCTGTTTTCATGCTCGTTTGACTTCCTATGAACAGTCAGTGCGCAGGAACACACGCACAGTGCTGGGATTATGCAGCACTCTGTGCAGCCGAAGCAGTGCGTAACAATATCCCAAAAAAAGCCACGAGGCCAAAAACGTCGGACCGTACCTGCAAACTGAGCGCGCACAGCTGCAGCCTCTTGGACTTTGACGCGGGTTTGGGTGGCACCTCTGAAGAGGACGTCTGGGGTTGTTGCGAAAGTTCCGCTGATTGAGAAAGATCGAAAACGGCTGTCAAATAATGATAATTAGAGTATTCGCCTTAATATACACACCTCAGTGGGTCTGTGATATTTCTGTGCGTCTCACTCGGGATGCAGCACATACCTTTCTGCTGTCTGGCTGCCTTGGCGACGTGCTTCACGCCCTCTACGCCCTTCTTGAGCAGCGTGGGAGAAGCGGAGACCGAACTCAGCTCCTCCCAGCTCTCAGCCATCTTCTGCTTCACCTTCTCGTCCTCGGCTGCACGGCCCGCGCGCTCTATCAGCTAAACACAAACACTGGTCACAGCCGGCCCGCGCTGCCCGACTGACAGAACGCAGGCCAACCAGTTTAGACTGAAGTATGAACAGAGCCTCGTACAACGTCAAGACGGGGCCGTCCTGGGGAGTTTCTGCATGTTTAGTCCATTCATTACAAATGACCATTTTACAAACACTTTCAAATAATGTGCTGTGCTCCAGGCTGGAGATTTACATTTTAGTAAGAAAACTAGAAAACAAAAAAAAAGGCCGTAGCTTTTCGTCTGCTTTAGTTAATTCCAGAGTCAAGTGGTAAACAGCAATCAATTCAACACACAATTCTTGAATTGATGCATCCTATGTGTAGTATTACTAATGAGTAGATTTATCATGCTACAGGTGATAATAGCTGGACGATTTACTGCCAATCGATCCGATACAACTCAGTGGACATGCTAGTGTTAAATGTCAATGTGGGCTTCAGGGCTTTACAACACATTCTTTGGCCAGGTCCTACGGAATCAGATGATTGGTGAGTGTCTATGAATGACGCACTGATGTGGAACCAGCAGTCTGAAAAAAACAAACACTCACCCGTTTCACCGCCAGGGTAGCAATTCCGAGCACGGCCGCCCCACCGACTCCCAGAACCAGATGGGCATTCGACAGCAGGAAATCAATCACCACGGCGATGCCCTCCTCTCCTCGCCTCCGACTGCCCTGGAAGTTCATGGCTTCCCCTTTTTTGTTGTTAGCCTGGGGAAAGCATAACATGAATTCTAGTAAATAGAGAATAATGAGAAGTGTCAGGAAGAGGGCGGAAATTACCTCCAGCTAGAGCCGTCTAGATCTAGAAATCATGGGACGCAGCTTAACTTCCACGTGGATGACAAGAAGTCAGAGTAACCCAGGAAGCAACCTGATGGGATGTCCAGCCGGGATGACGGGTGGAAAAGTAAAGTAACTACAAATCTGGATGAACGGGCGTAGAAACAAGCAAACGCAAACTAATAACTGATCCCTGAGCCCTGATTTTTTGGACACATGATTTTCTCATGATTTTCTCATGAACTTAGTTGACAAGTTTAGTTTTATAAAACTGAGCTGTTGGGTTGTTTCTCTTGGCTGCTGTTGTTGATGAGGGACGAATCGATTAGACCAATCAGTGCAGAGACAAATACGTGACCATGATATGAATGTTCTTTTAGCTTAAAACAAATCGTGACCCCGTACATGGTGCTTATCACGATTGGCTCCAGAGACCCGAGATCCAGAAACAGCCAGAGCACATAACTCACTCTCTCTGCCAGAGGTAAAGGGGTCGAAGAAGGGAGACTCTATTTAAAGACCCCAAATCCAGCAGCTGGGTCAAATGTATTACAGCCTCAGGTTACAGCACAGCTTACTTTTCTGTTTAATATGAGCTGCAGCACGGTCAGACACACCGAAGGATTCCTGACGTCTTCGTTGAGCCTATTATAGATGCGACAAAATGCATCAGCTGATAAAACACAATGCTTTTACTATCACTGTCCTATTTGCTGATTCCAGTCAGTGCAATGGTGCCATACTATGACAGAGTTTATTCACCAAATGTACCTTGAAATATAAATAATCTCTAAGTATTACATTGACAGATGTGTAGCATTAGCAACATCACATACCAGCAGATTGTTACTGTGAGTGACAGGAAAGACAGTCCCTCTTATGGAGTGGTAATAATACTATTAGCATTAGTAAGAGTACTTTCATTTTTTTTTTTGGTATACAATAGTGAACAACGGTGGCAGCAAGACAACAAAGGTGAGCTAGTAACATAACAGGGACACTGCACAGCATTATGGCTTTTCCTAAAGATCCTCAACAAAAGGATTTGTTAAACGTATCTTGCCGCATAACTGCATGTGGACGTGTGACTGGAATTCTGACATGTTCAGTTTAATGCATTTAAATTATCATTCACCTAACTTTAATTAGTGAACGTTACTGACAACGGAGACAGATGCTAGCAACATAGCAGTTGTTAGTAACGTAGCACCATAACTCTGGTGAACCTTTATGCACAATCGACCGAATAAGTTCACCAGCATGAAGATGATGGTGAAAAGAAAACGGGTAAACGGCTGACAAGTCCGGGAAGCAGCTGACGTCCGTTAGTAAAGCTAACTAACGTTAGCTAACTCTGTTAGCCAACTAGCTAGCGTTCGTTAGCAGCCAGTGACAGCCAGCTGTCCCTCAACAACTGTGAAGTACACTCACCAAAATATAAGAGTCCGAGTCCACACCATTCACGATTTGCTAATAGACCTGTGTTGATAATATTAATCAAAAAGCGCGTGAAGTTACGTATGTTGTCCACGGGCGTAACTTAAAGTAAACATAGCTAGCAATACCAGCTAGCGTTAGCTAACCGCTGCTGTGTTCTTCTTCTCTTCTTTAATTGCGGTTGGAAGACGCTGTGCCCGCGAAGGACCTCCGGGACTCCCAAAACGATTTATCGAGAAAATAAGTTCCATTTGGCATGAAAAGTTACTACAAGATTTTATTTGTTATTTCTTCCACATTTTTGAGAAACTATTGAACTTTTTAGATTTATTTAAGAGTTTAAAATCAGTTGATAAAATATGATCCATTGTTACAGATTAAGCTGCTAAAATGACACAACACACAATAAGTACAATCTAGAATAAAGCACCACTTACATATTAATACATTCATTATAATTATCCAGTAATGTTATACTAAAACACTGACAGCTTCTACTGTGAGTACTGTTAATTTCATAAGTATGTGCACTTACACAACTTTCAAATGCACTTTACTTGTACTGGATTATTTTAAAAGTGTGGCATTACTACTTTTAGTGGAGGGTTTGAATAATGCCCACTAGTAACTGTTTGAGTGCTTTTGTTCATTTAAACTAGCCTTTGTCACACAAACCTTTTTGACAAACTATGCTTGTTGGAAGGTCAACAAGGAACTTTGAACCTCTTATCTCAGGAACCCGTTACATAAAACGCTGTCCTTTGATTTAATTTCCAATTGATTCTGGTCTTTCTTTTCGTTTGCAGCAATAACCCAAATTATTATAATGACTTAATACCTAAAGTCAAGTCTATTCATGCATTGGATACCAAGACTTTACTTAACTAAAAAAAAGGAAAATTGAATGAATGTGAGGCTGTTCCATTTTGTTTGTAGTGATATTTTTACATATTTGTTTTTTTATTGAATTATAAATAATGTTCTGGAAATATGATGGATGCATAATATACAAACTTATATACAGATTCAAGAATTATTAGGGAATTAAAGAAATTTCATGGGTCCAAACTGGTTTTCCCTTCCCACATATTATAATCCTAGAAATACAAAAGAACATCAAACAAATATTCTAAAGCAAAAAACTGTTAGATTTTAATGAAGATGACAGTGGGACTTCTCTAACAGCAGGTAATCAAAGCGGCCTACAAGAATGACAAAACATTCACAAAGATGGAAAGAAGACCCAGAAGATGTCTGTAACAATACACAGTATACTGTATCAATTGGTGTAAGTGGACATTTCAGTGGTTTAAAAAACTTCACACTTATACAAAAAAGTATTTAGTTTTAAAGAAATTATATTCTAAGTGAAAAGTCTTGATCTATGACCGAGTCCAGCCGGAGACCCACAACGTGCCGCTCACAAACCGTAAAACATGCCAACCAGACGCACCTCCTCAAGTTCACGATTTTGTTTGTGGAGGTTTCCGTTTATTAGAGCAGAGAGTTGTGGTCTTTAAATAAAATCCCGACTCCTCTTTGGCCGAGACGGAGTTAAAGTCGATTCTGAGAGAAACCCTCCAGGAAGTGCTTCCGGCGTCGTCCTCCTTGTTACGGACACTTATCTACGGAATCATTTGACACGTAAACACAGACTCTCCAGCACCACGAGACACACTCCGCGTTGTTCATCCACCTGACCAGTGACACCCATGAAGCAGTTTTTTTTGAAGAACCTCTAACAGACTTTTGCATTTGGGCTCAAAAACAAATTCACAACTCTGGCAGAGCTCTGGAAAAACCTGCGACTGTAACTAGAAAGTTGTTTCTCCTTTGCAGCGAGGTTTATTTTTGTTTATGTGTAACTTCAGAACGACCCGCCCATGAGCGGATAAGTGTCCTGGCTAAATATGGCCGACTGGGAGCCAGAAACAAATAAGGCATTTCCACAGATTCCTCTCGGGCCGCGTTGTGGTTCCGTCTCATCCAAATATCACGTAAATGGGGGAAAAATTAGATTTAATACAGAAAAGAAAAAGCGGGGCCTCCGTCACTTTACAAGGTACGCCACTTCAAACTGAAACAGGGCCCAGGGTTTTTATCACTCCCTGATACATCAGCTCGGTTGATGCGCCACATTTACGCCTCCACAAAGACGAGTCACGCAGTAGAATGAAAGCGCACATCTGCCCGGTGTTTCATCTGAAACAGCAGCTGGGAGGCCAAAGCGAACTAAGACCGGGATGCGTGGTAAAAGGTAAGGCTCTGCAACGTGGGTAACAAACTAAATCAACCAAATCAAATATTTCTATTGGCATAAAAGTTCAAAGATCAAAGACTATACAAAAGTATTGTACATTATAACAAGTTAGATTACAGTTCGGTTCTCTTGTACAAATCCACACATACATCTTTTTTTCTTCTTTTCTTGTGGCCTGTACATCTTGGTTACAAAAAATACATGCCATTTTGAAGTGCCTATGGATATAGAAACAATAACGGTTTGATCAAAGGTCAGTTTAACAACAAAGCCTGACTGGAGACAGGAGCTTTGTCAGCCAAAAACAAACAAAAGAACAACGCACTCAAACGCATCCGGACTCTAAATCAAAAACGCAGGACGACTGGACTCCTCGTGCCAGACTGAAACAGGAGGGAGAGAATGACGGCTGATCGAAGCATGTTACAATATTGACATACATAAAAGATATATTCATATGTATACGCGCGTGGCAGAGGAGGCCTCAGTGGCGTCTCATTTTCACGTTGCGCCCTGAACTCTCGCGGTGCTTGTCGGAGTCGTCGTCGTCGTCGCCGCGTCTCCAGTAGTTCTCGGAGGAGCTGATGCTGTGGCGACGGTGGTGGGAGGAGTTCGACGGGCGTCTGTTCTCCTCTTTGTCCATCTCGAGCACCCGCGGCCTGCAGGAGAACAAAGAATCAGGCCGGGTTAGATTTGGATCTTTGTTAATGCAAACCCCCCCCCCCCCCAAAAAAACGGAGACACCTGTTCAACGGGGACAGACTCCAACGCCGTTACAGCCTCAGCTGCTGTTGGAGAATTCTTCTGCTATTTTCAGACATTTTACGGGCTCTCTGTAAGTGGGGGCTTGTTGTAATTCGAGCACCGGTGAATGTTAATTAATGTTTCTCGTGGCTTCATTAAAACACAAAAGCGCAGAGCAAAAACGCTTTGATAGCCAGAGAAAGGAGGGTTCAAAGAACTGCATCACTGATGGATTTTAAATTATTTGCCTGTTGAAATCTATATAAATGACATTTGTGGGCGTGAGCCGGCGCTTCTCCCAGTGAATCCACGGATACTTTCTCCCATCAATTGCATCATTTAGCGTTATCAAAAGATCAAAATCTGCTGCATTGTGACGAGGTTAGGTCGGCACCAATTACAATTAGCTCATATGCTGCATGTATGAGTATTCTATACTCCGTTCACACAGTATGAACAATAAATATAAATAGACAATGGTGGTGCGATTATTATTGTGCTTGAACATTTGAACCGATCGCACTGCGATTGCTTTTGTGACTTTTGTTACAACAGCACTCGTTTAAATTGCCTTCAAATAGAGACCACAAAAAAGGTAACAACAACAACAACAACAGAAGTTCACTACTAAACAAGACCCGATCCATGAATTGATTTTGTCTGTGTCCAAATTATAATCAGTCTAACCGAACCCAGGGTCAGTATGTCAATACACGTAAGCGAGTAGACTGAGAGCAGCCCTGCATTAACTAAATGCCCCGGGCGGTGTGGTTGGGGGAGTGTTAGTTTCCGGTTCCATTGAGGGGAGGAAATATGATTTTAAACAGTTCAAAGTGATTATGATGCAGCGAGGAAGGATTCTAGCAACCTGTCAAGGCCAATATACATTGTATTATGACTTTTGCCTCTTAAATTTGAGGAGCAACAATCCTTTTTTTTTCAGATTCACTGATTGTTCTAAGACAACTTTCAGATCGGCTCCATCTTTTTATTTATTGTTTTCTGCAAATATCACAGGTTTTCCTCAGGTCTGCTTTGATTGGACCCATGAAGAGTTCAGCAGTGAATGGATACCTGTGAGCAGCATCAGGATCTGCTCTGCGATGATGATGATGATGATGATGAGAGCGTTTGGCTTTCAGAGGAGCAGGTCTCTCGACAGCAAAAGAGCTTTCAGAATCCAGTCGCGGAGCATCTGGTCGAGTCCTGGCAAACAGCAGGGGGATGGGGGGCACCAGGATCAGATACAGATTTGAATAGCAAAAGTAACTTGGGGGAATCAGTAAGTGGACTCACTTTCTAAGGATGATCACTGCGCGACGGGCCTTGATGTCTTGTGGGCGGATGCAGTGCGTGATGTCATCAGCAGCGTAGCCACTACGGAGAGAAAGAGGCCACATTTTTAACAACAACGCCGCAATCGATAAAGAGGACAGCAACAAAAACGCAAGAGCCCCAGTCACCTGAGCACCGTGACACTCCCCCGCCTCACGGGCAGCACGAACACCGGCTCCGACACGCGGATCGGCTTGAACTGGAAGCGGCAGCCGAAGCAGAGCGCGCTGTCGCTGAAGAACGACACCGAGACGATGGGACGTGCGAAGATGTGCTGGGGGTCCACGTGCGACACGATGCAGCCCCCCGGCTGATAGTCGTTGATGACCGCGCTGTTGACGAACCCTTCCGGGACCACGCCGCTGGACACGAGGCGCTTGATCACCAGCTCGTGCACCCAGCTCGGGATCTCGTCCACTTCCCCCTTGCGGTAGAGCCTCTCCTGGCCCGGCCCGCGCTTCTCCAGCTGGGACCCATACGTGTAGCCCTCCCCGAAGAAGTACTTGTTGCGGAGGGGCGCCCGGTCCACGGTGTGCTCGCGATAGAGTCCCGCCTCCCCCTTGCAAACCACGTCGTCGATCTTCTCCTCGATGAGGGCGCACTCCTCCGGCGTGAAGATGCTCTCCTGCAGGATGCTGCTCTTCACCCGCACGGCCTCCTGCTCGCGGCTCTCCGCGCTGTCGTCGCTGTGCTCGTGGTCGTCGTCGTCGGACTCCCGCAGCTTGCGCTTGTGTCCCTTCCCGCTGCCGTTGCTCTCCCCGTCCGCGTACTTGTTCTTCGCCTCGTCCCTGTGCGGGGTCATGGATTTGAGCTTCTCCCTCAGGTCGGAGTATCCGCTGGACGCCATGTCAGCCAACGGAGAGAAGAGAAAGAAAAAAAACGACGACCGTTGAAGTGCGACGTGAGCCACTGAGCTAACCGTTAGCATGTATCAGCGCCGCATTTCAGCACCGTTTTAACGGACCAGCTAACGTTAGACGTTAGCTTGAGCACAACACGTGTAGCAAAATATCCACTGCGTTGAAAACAGTCTTTGAAACTGAAACGGCAGCTGCGGGTGGGAAACTTGTCACGCCGTGTGCGGCGACGTTCCTACCGGGGAGCCGCGAACCAACACCGCGTCGACACTACGGGACGCGCTCGGGCCATCCGGGGAGGCTAGCGAGGGCTAACGTTGTCAGAGTTGCTTGGCTACGAGCTAGCTACCGTTAGCTCGAGCTAGTCTGGCTTGGTCTGTCCGTTACCGCCTGGAAATGCCGACAAACCACGCAGCGACATGTCACATGTCACCGTTAAATTCCTGAACCGCGGGGCGCCGGAGACGTTTCCAACCTCGGGTTAACTCCGAGATTTTAAGGTACACATTGTTGTGTTCGCAACGACGGCTTTGACAACGGTCACTTCCCACCACCGTAGCCTGTCCACAGCCTCAAGAAAAGAGGCTGGAAATAAACTCGTGTAACCTGCCACACGTCCGCGCGTGCGCAGTGTTGACCTCGCAGTTCGGGGCGTACTGTCACGTGACGGAATGCCTGGCAAACGGGTAAATCCATTTTGGGAGAAACTGCTAATTTGGTCCCAGTGAGCACTTATTAATGCTATTATTGTAGTGCTTTCTGTTGTGTTGATGTATGTAATAAGCAGAAGTGCTCATATTTGTCGCTCTCATAAAAACAGAATTTATTTAGATAAAATGTTCTTTACAAAAAAGAAAGTTGATGCAATAACATTGTGTGAATACAAAAACTGTACCATCAAGTGTTTATAATAAACAATCTAAAAAAAGATAAAAAAGCATGTTGCATATCAGTTATAAAACTTTATAATGACAAGGCACAGGCCTGTGGTGCTTAACCCCTTCTGTCCATTTCAAAACTACAGTAGCGCGTGTAAAAATAAAGGCATCAACCTGAAAGAAACATTGACTAATATTTACTTTTCACTGTCCGCAGTATACATTTTGTTCAGTCAATGCAGCATAATAATCAAGTAAAAGAGACTGACTTCAGTGTAAACATACTCATTCACATAGACTATTAGAACCCCTGCAGGCCAGAGGAGGAAGGCTATTTACACAGGTTTCATCCTCATTACTCTGCTCACACGTGAAATGAAGCCCGTGCTATAACACGGTGATTTCGCTGGGTGGCAGGGCGAGTCGCCTCTCCCGCGCGGACATCATGTTTTCCACGTGCATGGCGATGACTCGACACAACTCCAGCCCCTGTGGACAAACACCGCCAGCGTGAGAACAGCGACGTAGCGTGTCCGCTCACGGCGAGGCATCACGTGTGGTCTTTGCAGAGTGCCCCTGTCTGTGTTTGCGTAATACCTGCTCCAGCTGTAGCTGAATGACCCGCTGTGTGCTCACGTCCCCCAGGGTCAGGTCTACGTACGGGTAACTCCTTCCAGCTGTGGGCCTCTGGGTGCGGCTGGACTGGACCTCCACCAGGGGGACCACTGCCATCAGCTCCTGCACCAGAGAGACTGACTGTTATATATATATATATATATTTATATATATATAAAACCACAACGTCTACTGAAACTGCTATGTCCCTCTACTCTTACGTGAGTATTTTTGTGGAGGAAGTGGAGGCCATGTTGATTGACAGCGATGATGCAGGGGGCGTAGAAGGTGGTGGAGCTGCTGCTTTGGACATAGAAGAACGAGGAGCCGAACATGGGGAACGCACTGATCAACCCTGCACACACAAAGACAAAAGAAAGAGCTGATTGTCACATTTTTATTTGTGCACATTGCACAGAAAGGACGTTCTTACGGGGGTACTTCACAGATTCTACACATAAATTAATTAAAAAAAAATAAAAAAAACAGTTCAGCCAAGATCACAGTTGTCAACAGGAGCTCTTACCCAGGAACTGTGCTCTGGCCTGGTGCGGGTTCAGGGTCTGCACTTGCTGCATGTGCTGCGTCACCATGGTAACCCACTGCTGGGGCGGCTGCTTCTTGAACAGCGGCGCGGCGATGTACTCCGATAGTTCATGTCTAGAGGAGACCAGAAGATGAACAGGAGTCGGCTTCACGCAGTGATTTCTTAGCATTTCGCAGGACAATTTTACTCAGTGAGCTGTTTCTGTTCTGCGGTTTGACTCTTTGTGTATGTGTGTGTGTGTGTGTGTGTGTGTGTGTGTGTGTGAGAGAGTGAGAGAGACACTGATAACAGTACAGAGATTGCGAAAGGACGTGTTTTTACAGTTGAGAAGGAATAAGGTGTCACGCATCATAAACACAAAAACTATTGACTGCTTTCTCTCCTCATCGCGTTTAAAAAAAAACATTGATTGCCCTGCAACAACTATTTATTTTGCCTTCATTAGAAATGAATCCAGACTGCGTTTAAGGTTAATTTACCGAAAATAATCAACCTGCAGGTAAAATGGATTTTATATGGGAAATTTATGCTAATTTAACTTTTATATTTTGGTCAATGTTCAAGTTAAATTGGATTGGTGTTAATAGGGAAACAGGGAAGGTTAAATGGAGCCTGAAATAAAGGATGAACATTTTTTAATTGCTCTAATTGACAAAACAAGAATCTGAAGGATAAAACGGAAGCAAAAAAAAAAAAAAAACTTCTGGAGCCGATTAAAAGCACGACGGCCGTGTTGAGTCTATTAAAACAAGATGTGATCAATGGCTGCTTTGGGGAAACGTTTGAGGGAATAGACAAAACTTGGTGTGTGAATATAATATATATATATATACTGTATGTGTTTTTGTTATCTCAGTATTAAATGGTAACATCAACATTTTTTAACCCAAGTGTCGATGTGGACACCAATATTTAACTAATACTAATGCTTGTTGTGCTAAAGTATAGGAAGTGTAGCTTGAGGTTATTTCAAAGAATATACAATGTCGTGGATGAATGTTTTTCCCGTTAAATAAAGCTGATGAATGAAAGTTGAAGCCGTGTTGTGTTCTCACATGCTCGGGATGAACGCCACGTCTTTGGCTCTGTGCTGCAAAGCTGCCAGCTTGGAGATCTGATGGAACTGTTGATCGCTCACCTTTCCGAGCGTCAGAACGTTAAGCAGGCCTTTGCGGTAGTCTGGCAGGATCTAAATGCACACAGAAACACAATCACGCACGCGCGCACTCGTGTCGGTAGCACAAACTGTGTGTGTGGAGCACCAGACGCCTCACCTGATTGTAGTGCATGGAGACACGGAGCTCGTTGTCGAACTTGAGCGCCTGAGTCCAGACGACTCGTCTGAACCAGAAGCTGTAGTTGGCGTCGACGACCTCGGCCTCCGTGGCGACATCCAGGATGTACTCGTGTTTGTTCAGAGGCCGCACATTCTGACCTGAACACACCCACACAAACATGATATTTATTATCCAGATATCTGCATGATCACCTAAGCGAGAAGCTAAAACTAATGAAAGATGAGATTTTTAATTTTTTTTAAATATTTTTCTTAAATTGAATGGATTAATTAAATTAAATTAATTAATTAATTATTTTAAAACAATACCTTTAAAAAAAAACCTTTTCTGAACTGATATTTTTTCAACCTAACATACTTTGAACATACCTGACCTAATATTTTTTGGGCTTTTTTTCCATTAATTTTTTTGATCCAAAATATTTAAACCTTTTTTAAAAGCATTGTTTGACATGATTTCTGTCATGTAATTTTTCTATTCTTTTTAACCTAATATTTCGCTTGACATATTTTGATTTCATTCTTTTCTTCACTTCTTTTTCCATGACATTGTTTATTCAATCAAGTTGTAACACACACTAGTTTAAATGAAATTTAAATGAAATTTAAACTACTGACATAAACACAGTGAAGAGTCCTGCTAATACTTGTGCACACCTGCTGTGCTTTTGAATAGTACACAAGCAACATCAGCTGCCAGCTGTTGCATGTGGAGATATTTAATGCTATGGGAGGAGACAAAACAACAACAGAATGCAAAGCGTTTCGCATCAACGCTTCAGTGGACCTAATCAGCGCTGGAGCTTTCAGCACTCAGAACCTATTAAGACCAAAGCAGCATGAGCGGTGCGCACATCAATATGACACAGTTGTGCACAGCAACAAGAACCTTAACAAAAGCTGCATTTTATCAGGAAAAATATAATTAAAAAAACAAGTGAGTGACCCTTGAGACGGATTATGCATTGTTAGGACCTCTGTATTTATCCGATAATCAGTGTTTGGTAACTTGTGCCTCATGCAAATGAATGTTAACAGTTAATGAAGAGGAAAGACGACTCTGTGTTGAGACTTTGTCATCGACTATGAATAGGTGACATCGATCCTGCTGTCGTTATTTTGCTGCGGCGGTCCAACGAGGACTCATGTGTGACTTTCTCCCGCAGCTAGAAACCAGAGAACAGTCTGACATGTGATCTGTGAGTGGATCTGCTCCACTGACCCTGACGAGAAGACGGCCCTTGTGCACAAGCACAGCGCCCTGTGTGTGTTTTTTGTGGGAACGAGCGAGGCAGAAGACAAGCTCACCTCTATTGGTGACTAAAAATATGGCATATTCTTCCATGGCCTCCAAGTTGTGCAAACCCATCTCATAACACAGCTCCTCAATCACCTCCAGGGCAACCTGAAACACAACAATATCAACACGCGTGGTGCCATAACCACAGCGGTGCTGAGCTGCTCACTGGACACTCACGGTGCACGTTTTGATTTTCGCGTGACGTTCGATGCCTCCGGGGAACAGAAACAGCTGACGCTTTGAACTCCGTCCGGCCTGGGGACAAATTAAATAGTGTACACACACTGGACATGTCGGGCTACGGCTGATTCTTTCAGGACACACACACCTTCATACACAACTCTAGATGGGAAGGGTAAATGTTTTCAAGCCAGGCTTTTATGGGCTGTGCAACTTTAAGATGAATAGGCTTTAATTTAAGATTAAACAACACAAAAATACGTAAAATAGTTAAAGCATAAGGATGGCGATATTCAATAGTTTTCTTTCTGTTTTTTTATCACATTCTCTAATCATCCGAAAGCCCAGCGGTTTCTGAATACATTTTTTAAAACATGATATATTAAATGATATATTTTGGGGGGCTATTTTCAAGCTACAGTGCCCATGTTCATTGTAATGAAGGAAAGTGACACAAAGTGTCTCCTAATGCGTTTTTAATCGTTTTTCTGACGGCAGTGGAGCTTTGTGGCACAAAGGAATACACTCTAGATACACAGACAATAAATATATATAATTTTTCATCTTTTCATGAAATATAATGACAAAATCACAATAAAAAAAACAAAAAAAACCGTAAATAGGCTCGTCCTTGTCCTACCAGATTAATGTGCAGCTTACACAATAAATGTAATCAATAATATAATATTTACAATAACATTGATGTATATGTGGCTATTCTGGAGAATGAGTGACTTTCCAATGAAGCACTGACCATCACAGCCTTCAGCTCCATGCTGTTGGGTGGAACAATGCGTCCGCCGAACCGGAACGTCTTCTTCAGGTTCTGCTCGCACGCTTTAGCGATGCCTAGCACAGTTAAGGAACATTACACGCTGGCGGCGCTGCTGACGTCCACTGCGGATTTACTCTCATCGATTGTGCCTGTTTTGTTACCCTGATACTGCGCGCCGGCGCTGCGAGAAGCCTGCTGCAGGCTCTTCAGCAGGAAGGGCTTCAGGACCTCAGAGCAGCGATGGTAAGCGGTCAGGAGGTACAGCAGCCTCCAACCTCGTTGGCAACTGTCACTGAACAAACACACACACACACACACACACAGGGGATTACAGGCCCTGAGAAAAATGAAGAGGAGCGCAGTGTGGGTAGGTTTGTTCATGTGGGAAATCGGACTCACGGTTTTAAGCTGGTGTTCGCCGTGAGCTGTTTGAGGAGTTGGCAGTAAGCCTCGTCCCTCATCAAGGGGAACTCTCCTATGAGCTGAACACACACACACACACACACACACACACACATCAGCAAACGGTCAGAGAGAAGGTACTAGCTGGAGAGAGAAAAAACGGGGTGTATTTACTTTGAGGATGCTGTTGACCACTTCCTGCTCCGTCAGTCCCTTTGATGGAGAATCCCCCATGAAACGCATCAGCACTGTACAGATTACACAACAATTACACATCCAGCACTCGAGAACAAAATCTGCTACACGTCTGATTCCAACCGAGGACGAATCGGAGCACCGGTGTAATAATAAGAGAAATGTAATAAGATGTAATCAGAGGAATGAGAGAAGGTGAGAACGTACACAGGAAGAGATCCGCTGCCACCCTGTTCATGGCTGCATCGGTGAACTCTATCAGAGACTCAGTCAGAGGAGTCTGCAAAGGACAAAAAGTATCACACAAACGGCTCAACACAACACACAGAAGATTCATTTTATGAGAGTATTTAAAGTTGTAGCGCGTGAAAGGCACCTTGGAGAACTTGATCATTTCAGTGGGCTCTCTGGAGTCTCTGGTCCTGCTTTTGCTCTTCAAGGAATCTCTGAGAACAAAAAGCAGGCACAAGAAGAAGTAAGATAAGTTACTCCATTAAAAGTTACAATACCACTCTGTGAAAATAATAGTTAAACTTAAACTTAAATCAATAAGGATATAAAAGTATGAAGGACAATGTGTTGTGTATGTGTGTTTGCATATACTCATTATGCAGATTGGTGTGTGAATGTTTGGTAATTTCTCAGTCAATCCATGTTAATGATAAACTGTAATGTTGCAGCTGCTTCCAGGACAGTTAGTTAATAATTATTTCACACGCTGTTGGGCTTTAAATTGTATACACTAATGTGTTTTTTGTGTAGAGCTTAAAAAGTAACTGGTAATCATAGCTGTTAAATGGATTAAGTGGAACAAAGACCACAATAGTGTCATTAATTAAAAAATGTATTGGACTAGAAGTATAAAGTGTCATATGATAGAGTGCAAGTGCTTCAGAATTGAATTATACAACTTTAGTACTTGATTGAATGTTACTTTCCATCCATAAATTAGAAGTGTAGTTGTGTCATGTTTTTATGTGTGTTTTGTGCACGTTTGTTCCTGCGTCTCACCCCTTCCCCCTGGCTGCCTGCCTGAAGAACATCTTGGCAAACTCGGACATGTCGTATTTGCTGTCCTGCAGGGCCCTCTCGTCCAGATCTCCTTCGGGAAACTGGTCGAGGGAAACCTTCTGAAATTCAAAGGTTGCCAGTGAAAAACAATCTGACAGGTCAGTCGGACAGAGAACGTGTGCCCGCGTACCTCAATCGTTTGATCTATCTCGTGCGCCGCCGCGGTGGATGCCACGGCAACGGCGATGGCCGACGACACGGCGAACTGTCCCGCTCCTCCCCGAGGCTCTGCCTGGCGGTCCAGGGGCAGCGACAGGAAGCCGGGGGGAGCGACGGGATGCACGCAGTCGGCCGGAAACGCGCCGGAGCGGCCAATCACGGCGCCGAACTTCCAACCTGACACACAGACACACACATGTCACATAGATCACAACACACAGACACAAGCCCGAGCGCTTTGTGCCTCTAGAGAACACGCCTCTCTCCGCTGCAAGTCCCGATCGCAATCTGCCTCTCCTCTAACAGCAGGTCGGCGTTTCATCGCCACGCGTCAGATCGGTATCGGCATTCTTTTCATTTATAAGACTCAACTGCGCGGCAGCGCTGATAACCTGGCACAAGCTGCAGCCTCTGGTCTAATTATAGATACTACACACATGGGTACGTCTGTCCCACGTATTGACTTACATCAAGTGCCTGCAGGTTTACTCTAACCTCTGCAATGACCACTGCAGCATCAGTGAAACAATGCATCGAGCAAAGAGCGGAGGTAATATTGGAATTCTTTTTTTCATTTTCTGGAAGAGGGATTATCTAATGCTAAATCAAGGTTAATTAAATAGACTGCCGCTAATAGACAGTGTACTACACTACCATTAACACATACATGTGTATTTTGGAGGTTTTTCTTCCTACTAGTCGGAAAAAGATATTTTATGGAATAAAAGAATAAAAATACATTTGTGCTTAAAAATGTTTTAGCCTGCAGTGTTTTGCTTGAAGTGGAAACCAGCTGTTGGTCCCCACCATGTGACCAATAGCAGGTATCCTCAAGCTGTCCTGCTCAATGACAAATTGAATGCATAATGCAGCGCAAAAAATACAGCCGTCTTAGCCAACGGATGACAGATCTCAGTGGATGTTATGGTGGAGGATGGATCCAAATTCATAAAACCTGGCAGTGGTGTGCTATGTCCAGATGTCAGAGCCCCCAAAAAACAATAAATGTGTCACAGTCAATTATACACACACACATAACAGTGTACGTGTGGAAGCACACACTGAGTTTGTCCTTTCTTTCATCTGATAAGAAATGAAATAACAGGACTCAAGAAAAAAAATAATCAAAGAATCAATATTTTTAAAATTGCATCGCGCTCTTCCATCTGAAAAATAACTTTCTGATACAATATTGTATTTCCAGAGAGCTGGTCTAGCGATACTGTCACGGACACGGTTAGTACTTCGCTCAGGGCGGTCAGTTTGAATTGCAACCTTGTTTTTTAATACAAATTTTAATCTTAATTGAAATCTAATTAACACTCACCAAAGTCCTGAGTGTCTCTTTTCAGATCCTCCAAAAACACCACCTTCTTCCTCACCACACAGCCGTAGCTGGAACCTGGAAAAGACACATGCAGACACACATGAAACAAACGCGGTTTCACTTGTTAGATGACGTGTTTTCTATCACATATTCCGTTGGGTCTCACCCTTCTCCAGCCCGTCCATAACCTGCAGCCGGATGACGTCGCCTTTGTGAAAGCTGAGCATCGAGCGGTCGTCTGCCACAAAGTTTCGCTCTGCGATCACATAATCAGAGTCCTGCAAGAGAGACAGTTGGATTCTCTCACGGTGCTACTGTCATGTCAGATTGTTTTTAATACAGAGAGTGTGTGCAGATGAACAGGGGAAGAGAAATAGTCTGTGTTTGTGCTGCGGATGGCAGCACAAAAGAGGAAACTCTGCTCCTCAGCCTCGTGTTTACCGCACAACACTGCGCTCGCTCATCTTTCATTGCTGCTTACACACTACAGGTGTTTTTTTCCTGCTGTCCCCTCCTATTCGTGTACTTTCATCTTCCCTGAAATACAGACTGGACCGAACGTGTCTGTGTGTGTCTGTGTGTGCAGTACCTTCTTGATCTCATTGATGAAGGTGTCTACGAGATGTTTGACCTGCGGTGCCTTGGCTGAGAATAGGATCAGTTTCTCGTTGGTCAGATTGAACTCCAGCATGTTTTCAGACGGGATGGTCACAAACAGGATGTCCGCATAGCTGAAAAAATGCAACACAAAAGCTCCCAACTGTTGTACGAAACAAAGCTACAGAAATGGTGGAAAGCACTTATCAAAAAGGAATAATGATAGAATATTGTAATGAATAAATCCAGAATATATACAGAAGCATTTCATATATTATATATATATCATACTGTATAATACATGTTTATGAATAGAAATGCAATACAACCTACATGCTAAATGTACCGAATTTCTAATAATCCATTGCTTACATTTTGTGCCGGTTTGCAAACATGCCTTTATATTATAATATTATTTTTTTAGTCCATATTGTGATCTGATATACGTAGATTTAGAATAAGAATAAGAATTACAAAGACAGAAAAAGCATCACGCACGTGTAGGGCCGTAGGACTCTGAAGTAGTCTGGAGCTGCAGCGCTGCTCTTTACCGTCTTCAACAGCTTTATTCCACCGTGGGACACTGATAACACCTGCACACCTGTTCCTACACTCCCCTGCACACACACACACACACACACACACACACACACACACACACACACACACACACACACACACACACACACACACACACACACACACACACACACACACACACAGATGTTCAATAAAAATGAAAATAAACAGCAATTATGATTTTTCTCCCAGGATTTGTGGCACACACCGAGGCAGGGAACAGACGGGAGAAGTATATTTCCCAGGTTTCTCTGGCTGCCGACACAATTGTTTTCTTGACGTGCTCCTCCACCGGATCCATATTCTGCTCCACGCCGTGTTTAGCTGATATTCACACAAGCAGACACACAAACTCATGAGTGTTCTGGATCAGAACGAGCATTCTGATGAGAAAATCAGTGAGGGGTTCGGGGGGGAGGGGCAGACGGACTACCGAAAAGAGCCTTCATTCTCTGTCTTTCATCCCTGGTGATGCGAACACACTCCTCTGACAGAGTGTCGTTCACGATCTGCAGGAGGCAGCAGAGGAGCAGAGGAGGTGGAACCAGAAGCAAAAGAGGAGAAATTAGCAGAAGCATCTGATAAAATGTTGATTAAAACACATGCGTTAACCTGCTGCATTAATTCAAGTATCCCTTAAGGTACCTGTTTGAAAATGAGGTCCAGCACCAGAGGATTGTTGAAGCTGTCTTTGGGGTAAAAAACCTGCAAAAGCAAGAAGAATTCTCACAACAGAACCAAATGCAAACATTCTGAACGTGGGTCCTGATGTTTTGTGTAAGTGCTCACCTCCTTCCTGAGGTACAACCTCCAGGGAACATTGGTGTAGGTGTAGTGCTCCTCGTTGGTTCTCTGGTGGAGCTGCGTCTGGATGGTTCTCGTCTCCACGGGAAGCTCTCGAGAAACTGAAACAAATACGTCACGTTGTGCCTGCGTTTCACTTTATTTAACGCCCTTATTTCACAGTTGCTGATGATTTGCTGCTGTTTTTCTTTAGAGCGGTTTGAGTACTTTAAAGTTTGAGGGCCCACACTGAGGAACAAGAAGCAGTGCTGTCCTTGGTGAATGTTTGGATGATTCCTCAACCAGACAGTGGATCTGTATCAGTGTGTATTCATTAATGGCACCAGGTGTGTGTCCTGACCAGAGGCACTGTGGTGCACTTAAAAAGGTAAAACACAAATCAGAGTGATGCATTGGAACATGTGGATGAGTGTAAACGGTGGGTGAATGTGTGAGTACCTGGAGGGGGAACAGGGAGGGGACGATCGGAGGCTTTTGCTTTCGTGGTGGGTTTGAATCCTGCTTCCTTCACTGCAGACGCAGATGGTGGGGGGGCAGCAGGGCGTTTGGGCTGAACAAACACCAAAACGTTCCCCTGCATGACTCATTTCAAGCGCTTATCTCTCTGAATGTGCTACGTGTGTGTGTGCGCTTGTGTGTGTGTACCTGTGGAGCAGGAGGGTTGTCCATCTGCGGTTTGAGGATCTGTAAAGCTTCATCACGAGGGGTTTGCTTCTTCTTAAACTTCCCCTCTGGTCTCCTGAATGCAGCCACACAGTGTTGTCAAAGTTTTCAGGGCGTTTCAAGAACAAACGTGGCGCCCTATTAAATCTGTGTGCTCCATGTGTGTGAATGCAATGTGCTTAATGCAAGCAAGCAATGACCTCAGGTCTGCAGGTAGCTTGTTGTGGCCTCGGCTTTACAGCGTGTGGCTCCTGTTCTGTATTAGCAGCATGTGCTTAAATCTGTGTGTGTGTGTGTTTTTTTTAGGCCTAACCTCTTCTCGTGTGGCAGCAGGTCTCCCGGTGGAGGTGGAGAGTTGTACCTTTTGATGATGTCTTGAAAAGAAAAATACAAACCAAGTAGGAAATTTGTGGGTTACTCGATACATTTTCTGTTATTGTTTCAAATCCAAATACCGAGCCGTCTGTTCAAAATAAGGGAAAATATGAACTACTTGATCGTCTATGATTCACTTTCGCTGTATCAAACTTTTAAATTCAGATGCCTTGTATATCTTGGCTGGGGACGAGGAAATCTGAAGTCCGGGCCGAGTATTTCACCACCTCTCCAGCAGGAGGCGGGGGAGCCGTCACCACAGGAGCTAAAGCAAACGCGCGCACACACACACACACACACAAAACGAATGAACACTGCAGCTGATGAGATGCGATTTAGTAAAAGGGCTGGAGGGACTTTCCCTCTCTTACCAAACTTTCTGACTGGTGTGTCCTTGTTCATGGGGACGCCCGGAGCCTTCCTCCGAGGGACGCTGTCCTTACCGGACTGAACCTGAATCAGCCGCACGGAGAGGACACAGAGTTTGGATCAAGGCTTTGCAGACATTAAAAAAGGGTTATCTGGGACTGTTTGAATGCAGAACATTTATTTTTTTACAGAAATATTAGAAATGTGTAACCTGCATTTCAACATCTTTTATGCAGATCAAAATGTAGCTTGTGTATCACGAGTGAAACCCTTTTTCTTTCCTCGGGTCTCTTCGTCAAAAAAGCTCTTGATCTCAACGATTAAAAACGGGGATAAGTTTGATTACTTTCCCTTTCATCCAGCTTTTGCTCGTCTCATGACTCCACAGTTTTTCATCTTATTGCAAACAAAACCACTCAGTCTCACCCGGTCGGCGTCGCGCGCCTGCTCTGTTCTGTACGTCGTGGTGGAGCTCGGCTTAGGCCGAGGCTCAGCGGGGGGGGGCCGAGCCTGAGGCTGCGACGGAGTTTGTGGCGGTCGGGCAGGGGGGGCGTAGGGATGCCAGGCCGGGACGTCCGCCGTAGCAGCAGCGTAGGGACTGGGAGTGAAGTTGGCGTAGGGGCTCGGTGGGACGTTGGCGTAGGGGCTCTGTGGTACGCCGGCGTAGGGGCTGGCGGGGGCGTACGGGCTGGGGGGGTGGTGGAGCAGGGGGCTCATGGGAGGGCTCGTGACCGGGGAGGTGGGGGGGCTCGTCATCGGGCTGTTCAGGACGGCCATGGCCTGCATGGTCATCTGCTGGGCCTGAGAAGCAAGACGGCGGCTCGTTACTTCCAGAGAAAGAGCGCTGCAGCGGAGAAACAGCCGTGGATCCAGACGGAGGGGTTACCATGATGACGGCCTGCTGGTTCACGATGGCCTGCTGCTGCTGCTGCTGCTGCTGCGCCAAAACAGCCTGCCGGGCATCTGGAGAGGAGACGCAAAGAGGCAGAAACACAGTAAACAGGCAGGAGGGATGACAATTTGGTTTGATGAGGTGTTTGTTTTTTCTTCATATTTCTCTTCACACTCGAGACGAACCAGGTGTTACAGGTGCCACGGCGGCGACGGGAGGCAACATCACGCCTCCCACGGGAAGGACTCGCACAGCTGCGAGCGCAGAAACAAAAACACAGTTAATTTCAGAGTTAAACTCCGTTTGCTTTATCACACATTTATGGTGATAGTGAGGTTCTTTCAGTGTGTGACAGCATGAGGCTGTGAATCCGTCCAAATGATCCCATATTTACTTCACAGGGCTCTTCATCTACCTTCGGCGTCTTTATTTGAGTGCTAGAATATTTACTTCATACTAAAGAAAGCCCTCATAATTAGTGTTGATGACGAAATGTGAGTGGAGCATCGCTTCATCTGCTAGTGACGATGAGAGTCAAAACAGTATCATAAAGTGGTGTTTTCTGAGCTCCTTTTCTGCATTAATCCAAATTAAAAATGAGAAAAACCTGTTTTGTCCAGGAAACAGGACTTCGTCAAACTACATCAAAGTATATTAAGCCGTGACCAAGTGAACTAGGAGTGATTTTGGACAGATGCTGTGCTTTTGACTGACCCCCGGGTGGAGGCGGGGGGCCGGTTGACTGGCCTTGCTGTTGCCACCCCCCTCCGACTCCCCCAACACCCTTCATCCTGCTGGACAGTCCTGCAGCTGACTCCACCTCCTGTGAGGACAGACCGATGGACTTTACACCTGAACATCCCTTTTACAACATCAATTCATAAGAAAGACATTATTGAAGACAATTATTCATCACCCAAAAGTGAATATCAAACCCATTATATGAGGTATATATGAGTCAATTATTTACTCAGCGTTGTTTTGTCGATCCACTTGCACTTAATGGTCTACTCGATAGATCAGCATTGACTAAAAAACACCTGATTTGTAGTAATGAAGTAGAAGTAATGCAATTTCAATTTTTGTCTTCTGTGCCATTGGCAAATGCCTCATTTCTTTTTTTTGTGATATGACGATCAGTTTCTCCACAGCTGATCTGTTTAAAATGCGTCACCAACAAATCAAGAGGTGCATTTAGGACAACTTTTTATTTTTTGCAGTGACTCCGACCATACCTGCTGTCATCTGTAACGAGCAATCTAGGAACCTCTGAGAGATGCCTTGTGATCGACACTAACAGAGATCATCTCATTTACACCCTTGCCTTTGGATGTCAGTGGTGCCGTCGTATCAGAGCGATCCCTCTCCATCCATCAGAAATCAGCCGCTGACCCATACTTCCACCACGGTGTGTGTGTGTGTGTGTGTTCGTGGGCCATGTCTCATTAAATAGTTAGCCCTTCATTAGCCAGAGTGTCAATTCCTCGTAAGCAGATCCCCGCGTTGCCCGGGTGGGAAACCGCCGTGGCGACCCAGCCGCTGTGACAAGTTACGGTAACTGTGTAACGTAATCGGTGGCCCGGGCGGGAGCGCTCTGTAGAACACATCTGATACATGCTAATTCCTGTCGGCCACATCCGATAGCTCGGCCTACATTCGCCACGTCCGGCTGAAGACTGAAAGATCCAACATGGCCGACATCGCTGACTCGCTGTGGATTTAACTCCATTTAACTGTTACTACAACCGTAGTTTGAATAACAGAGATATGAGACTTTGACATTTGTGGTGTTTAGTGACTCATACAGGGCGAATATGTTTTATTGCCGTCCAAATCTGCTGAATGGAAACAACAAGGAGACCTACAGCATTAAAAATAAGTCTATATATAAGTTATATTGTTTGTGTTTACATATGCAACGGCATGTGTGATGCGGTGTATGAATGATAAGAAGCTTGCCCCTCCCTCGTATCATTTATACATATAGTTTTTTACATGTAAATTGTGTTTTTTTTATATATAGTTATTTACATGTACATTGTGTTTTCATGACATACGGTCACCTCTTGCTGCAAAGATTATACTTTTCGGGGCTCAACATGAGCTGTACAGTAACCATCAGTAATTGGTTGACAGTGTGAGTTTCTCCACTTGCCTCAGACAGCACGGGGTCAAACAGGCTGTCGAGATAACGATCCATCCCTCTCTGACGCTCCGAGTCTGTGGGGACGAGAGGAGAGCAGTTTAACGTACACCGTAATCAAGATCAATGTGTGTTAGTGCTCTCATATGCATATCTTATAATAGTGTACCTTGTCCATCAAATCCAGGTAAGGCTGAAGGTATGAAATCACCCCTTGTGTCAAAGCCGCCGCCCAGCAGGCTTCTATTAAACAGGAAATAATCACTACATAAAGTAAGCAGCAGGGGAAGAAAAACTAAGAAATGTTATCATCAAAATCCCCAAAAAGGTTTAAGAAATAAAGCACTTCACTTATTTTTCGGAGGAATAATTAAATACATTGTACATGTGTATTATTAGAATGAATAAGTAACATTCTTTGGACAAAAGTACAAACACTGTACATAAAACGTGCGTCTCACATGCTGGCATTCGGCCGGACTCTGCCTGGTTCCTGTGCAGAGATGATGAAGTAGCTGCTGCGTTTGGGGAAGTCGGCGGGAAGCTCCAGGTCCGACATCAAGTCCAGAACGTAGTCTGAGCCCTCCAGCTCCACCAACTGAGCCGGCTCCTTTAGCAGCACCGACCAGCCTCGGTGCCCGTCCACCACGCCCCTGCACGCACACACACAACAATACAACAATTCGCAAATATTCTCACAAAAGACGATAAAACTCCATTTCAAATCAGCATTTCAATCAACAGTCATATTGTTTGGCTTCCTCCGTTCCACTTTTTTATGTCATGGAAGCTATACATCTAGTGTTTTACAATAAGACAATACCTGTGTTGTAAGATGTCTTTGGCCATTTCTTCTCCTGTTGTCCAGGAGTGTAGAGGACACAGGAAGGACACACCTGGAGACAAATAGGCTTTAATACACAGCGGTGACTCAACAAAACCACTTTGAAATGTTGTGGATTTTATTTTTCTCATCTTATAATCCATTGAAAAGATAGTTTGGATGTTTTTAAGTGGGGTCGGGTAAGGTACCTATCCATGGTAAGAGTATTACGTCAATGCTCGGCTCTGCCCCAGTTTGGAGAAAAAGACTAAAAGCAGAGGTGCAAAGAGAAGTGAAGCTGTAAATATCTATACGATGTACTCACAATGTTTTCACTGCTTTGCCTCGATGTCAGATAGAATTTCTGAAGGGGAACTGAAGCTGTTATATAAAATCTACTAGCGCTTCCTTGATCAGTTACTTTGTGTGACTTTGAATTAATGTCAACCGACACTTAAAAACACACACAATGACACAAACGAAATAACTGATCAAGGAAGCAGTCGCTCAGCAGCCCAAAGCATTAAAAGCTCCCCAGCCAGGGGGCCATGATGACTTTACTACATTAAGTATAACTTACGTTTCAATACGGTTATGAAATAGTTCTTCTTCTGTTTCCCCTTAAACAAAGTTGGTAGTGCTCCCACATTTCTCCATCACCAGCATCAACAAACAGACACAAACAAGGCTATCAGGTGTTGTCTAATCCTCAGTCGGCCTGCCAAAAGGCCAGAGGACAGATTAGCTGCATGAGAGGAGGAAATGAGAGACAGACAACCCCTCCCTGCTGGGCAGTGCGCACACTGGCGGAGCGCATGAGAAAAAAATAAATAAAAAATAACCCCGGAAAGGTGAGGTTGGGTCAATGATTAAAATCATTTAAAAACCCATTTACACCTCTTCTTTATTTACTGGGGCTGCAGAAGGGGGTCCATTGGGCACTTCGCAGCAAACGTTGCAAAACGAGATCTCATCCCTCCAAAATGTTGTAACTAGATCTGAATCCTAAACATCCACGTTGTGAGTGCGTGCGTCCTCACCATCAAAACAGTGTGTGTGCAGAACGGTGTGAGCTCTCTTGCGATTGGCCGTCCACTCTAGCAGACAGGGCGGGTACGTCCGGACGTGCTCTGGCCCGACACTCAGCCGCCGCAGAGCTTGAAGCAGGCGGTGCTGACACACACAGTCGTAGCCCTCGGGCCCGTAGTCGGACACGAACCTACAATAACAAAGGACGAGCGCAAAGCGAGAACAAACGGGCACTGAGAGAATGCACAAGGATCGGAGAAGCAGGTACTAAATATGCTGTGTCATCATTGGGAAGCCATTATTTTGCTGTTCGACGGTGTCTCCTACTTCAGCAAGTACTTGGCCAGCCTTTGAGAGGGCAGGAAGGCAGAGAGACAGGAGGAGAGGAGGAGCCAACCACGCTCTGAGTTCAGAATGTTAGGATTCCTCCACACCTGACGGAGGAGAGATAATGTGCAACGATTGGGAAAGATGACGTCTTATTTTGGGCTTTTATTTGCACCTCATCGACTAGGAGAACGAGACGGGCCTCACCTGATTTGCCACCTGAGCCATGATCTCATCTCGGAGGCTGGGATTGGCCAGTCCTCTCTGGATGATGTAGTTCCCAAACAGATTCTCCTGGGCGCCATTCAAGTTTGGGTCACCCATAAATCTTAGTATCTATCAAAAGAATGCTGAGTTTTAGCTGCAGGACAGTTTTTGTTGTCTGTGTTTGAAGTTTCCCAGCAACATGTGAATGCAACACGTACCAGAACGAAGACGTTCAGAGCTCCTTGCTTTAGCTCCTCATCCATTCGAATCAGTGAACTCTCCAGCGGGGCCGTCAGCATCCCAAACATTGGCTCCTACAACACACACACGCACACACACCCACGTACACGCACACACACCCACAAAAAACAAACAAAGTACTTACAATCGATTACACAAACTGACAGTAACCATAGTTACATAGATGTAGCTCTGCAGCAACACGTTAATGGTTGTCTTCACGTCTAAATGTTCTGTGTGTGTGGGTTTGTGTATATGTGTGTGTGTGTGTGCGTGTGTGTGTTTACCCTAAATATGGCCCGGATGTAGTGTGTCATGAGGTAGTTGTTGATATCCAGGGGCAGGGTCAGCTGGGGGTCAACCTGTACCTTTGGAGCCTGGACCACCGCTAAGCAGTCAGAATGTAGCTCCTCCCCACCTGCACACACACACACACACACACACACACACACACACACACACACACACACACACACACACACACACACACACACACACACACACACACACACACACACACACACACACACACACACAGGGCCGTGTGTCACCACACGAACACAAGGTTAAATATTATTGAACCCAACTTCAAACAATCTGGATTATATTATATACTTTTCACATACATATTCATATGACATGTATACTTATTTATTTATATGCAAGTGTGGTTTGACTGTGAATTTCGCCACAACAAAAATTACATTTTAAGTGCTTTCATGGGCATTTATCCTTTCTGTGTGTGTGTGTGTGTGTAGTTGTGTGCACCTGAGGCTGCCTGTAGCAGAACGGCCAGCTCAGCAGGGACGGGCAGCGTTGTGACATTCACCACCTCTCTGTTGACGCGATCCTACACACATTGCAAACACACACGTCAGCATCGTGTCGCACACTGATGCTACGCCTTCATCTCTCTGCTCAAGAAGTGCGTCGAACACTTTCACCTCATTTCACACCCTCACTCACCTCTTCCGCCTTCCTTGCAGGCTCCACCACTGTCTGACAGAAAGAAAAACTGCATCACACTTTTATTTATTTAAAAAAGAAAGAAAAGAACTGCAAGTGACCCAGCAGTAGTGTGCATACCCTCATGTAACGCTGGCAGCTGACGATGAGCAGCACGGCAGAGCGGAGCCTGGTGAGATGCTTCCTCCTCAGAGCAAACCTTTTTCTATTCAGGTACAGCGATGACATTGAAACATGGATTAAGCACAACATGGCCAGATAATAACGACGTCCCTTCAATCAGCACAGGCAGCACAATTTGTTGCAAAGTTTGTATTAACGGCACTCATAGTTAGTTATAGTTCATCAAAGCGTGAAATATCACTTTGATCTCTGAAGCGTCATCAAAAACTCAAAATGTCTGACCTTGCGTTTATTGTAATTTTGGTGTCTTTAAGCGAGCAGAGGAATTTCTACCCATTCAAATAAATTGTCAGAGTGGCTGTGAGTGAGAAGTTGATCACCTGGCCTGAATCCTCTAATCGAGACAACCCAAGAAGCAGGTTGTCTCTGCTCTCTGCAACCAAACACTGAAGTCTGAACTGCCGAGCTGAAGACGGAAACCAACTCATGCACAACAGGGCGCTGCTATTAAAAGGGATCTTAAGCTGATGATAAATGGATGGTTTAAAAATAAGTAAATGGATCAGAATTATCATATTTTTTCTGTATTTTCTACATTTAATGGGGATAATAAATATCCCTCTGCAGTCAAACTGTGCTGTGCCGCCTGTGTGAATGCTATGAGGGACATTGATTGTAAGTTGATGTTGAAAAAAGGTAAAGATTACCTGGCCAGGTATCCCCTGCAGCGACTTTCAAACAGGATCATCCGCCGCCGCATCTTGGCAAAATTCCTCCTGACGAAACCCGCTCGGGTGTATCTCTGCAGCGTCAGGGCGGCAAAGTTGAGCAAACGGTCGCGCTTCCCCTCCAACAGCTGATACAGCTCCTCCTTCAGGAAAATCTACCACACAAGCAGACGCAAACCTCGATATCACAGTGTTTATTTCTCTGCGTGATTCAGTTGAACTTGTTTTTGCACGTGTGTATGTTACGGAGAGAGCTCACCTTACTGACTCCCAGCTGATACGAGCCGCTCTTGACGGGACAGAGCTTGTGGAGCATGATGACACAGTTTTCTCCTTCTGCCGGTGGAGGATCCTTCATGCAGAGCAGGGCTTTGTACCTGTGCGTTCCCACACAAAACATGACAATCCAGATGTGAATTCAGGAGTAAATGCAAACGATAATCGTTTAGGTAAAGCCTATTAACGGAGAATCTGCATGTTTGAGTCTGTTTAGGGTTTTAAGTTACATTGTAGACCATCTAATGGCTGCCGTCTGTAGCTTACTCGGTCAAGAACGCAGCAATATAAAAAAATGCAGTCCACATTAGTCAGTTAGACACACAACATGGGAAAATAGTATGCTTTGTATGTAGCAGTTTCGGTGCAATTCTAATCAAACGTGAATGATGGACTCTCAAACTGAAACCAGATGTTAGAGGTGGTGTGAGATTGATCGCTTTACTACTACGACTAGAAGTAGAGGAGCCGGCAAGTGACAGATGAAAAGAAGTTAGTGTGTGAATTTCACCCACACCAGAAAAAAGCAATATTTCAAGCCATTGGTTCAATCAGAGGGCCCATTTCTCCTCATTGTGAAGACCAATAAGTAACCAACCTTTTTAGGAAGCGGTGAAAGTGCATTCTGATTGGATAACCCTCCTTCCTGATAAGGATGGTCTCCATGATGCCAGAGTAATGCAGCTGAGTGTTGACCAAGTCCATGTCAAACACTCCTGGCTCCTACGCAAACAAACATACAGAATACAGGTGAGCATATGTTACAGATCAATACGCAATGCAAAACACTGCGAACCTGCACACATCATCCAACTTGCAAATCTACCTTATGTTGGTTTGGCTTGATGCATCGTACAAAATAAGAGTTACACCTGTCACAGATGGATGAGAACGAACAGATGAATAAATGTATGATTTATAAAGGCTTTGTACGTCAGTCGAGCTCTTTCCAACTGAGAGGAAAACCAAATAAGCAAGAAATCGGTTGAGCATGGCGTGGTTTTACAGTTGAAGCTACATATAAACAGATCCCCTGAGGTCCTCGCCTTTTCCACTATAAGAGACGCGACCAAGCTCAAATCAGGCAAATCAAATTCCTCTTCCCAAGATAGACGGCTCCTACAAACCCCGACACACACTGAGGCTTATAAGATGCCAGAACTGATCTCTAATCACTTTATTCTCTTTCTGCACCGAAGCACAACCCCCTTTTCAGTGCTCGCTGCCTACTCAGCCAAGGCCTAAACACAGTATGAGTCACTCTCTCTTTCAAACTCTCCCCCACCCCTTTAATGGGGAAATAGATCTGAATAAAAGTATCTACTGAATGACACATACAGTATTATCTTATGACGATAAGTTCCATATTCTGCTCACTCATTAGGAGGGCACTCCGTTCAGTATTAAAGTTACCAGTGCATATTGGGAAGGAAAGGTGGAGGCTTTCCAAACACAGTAGCCCCAGGGCCTGAAGGCGCCTCTGGCTATATAGTGGCCTATTATTTAGCTGGCGAGTGTTGTTTTCCAGGCATGTAGGCTGGGCTTTGAGATACGCACGACGCCACAGCATTAGCGTTTAGTTAGTGTGGGAATGTATGAGGTCACTAGGCACATTTGAACACATTTACACAATTTCAACACTCAAATGAGGGGAAGGAAGGCCGTTTAGGCACTAATCATTGGCAAACAGTATCGAACACAATGCACTTTTTCCCACTGAGGCAAAAGGTTGGACTCAAACCTTTCCATCTTCTCCAGCAGGTCCTGCAGGCTGCTCTGGAACTTCGCGCTGACCGTGTTGGCCTGATGGCGGCGAGCCGCGCTGCTGCGCCGCGCATTAGAAGTAGACTCTGAATGCTTTAAAAAGAGACCGGACACCATCTGTGTTCACACATACATACACAATGTAGAAGAAGGAGAAGAGGTAAACCAACGTCAAGTCCATCCCGAGTAGTTCAGTATGTCACATAGCAGTTGGGTGCAATTTGTAGGAGGTTAGTTTGTGAAATGAGTTCCAAATGGAAGATGAACATATAGCACAAACTCAACTTGATGTAACAAACAAAAAATGTTTTAACAACTCCCAACATGAATTGAAAAAGAGGTTTCGGTTAGATTGTTGGATATCTCTTGACAGAAAAGTAAATAAAATGTATTGTGCCGCACCATCACAACACAAACTGATGAGTAATAGTCAGGATATTTTAAAGGTAATTGAAGATGACTTAGGATAATAAAAAAACTAAAGGATAATAAATACTGTAAATGTTAGGTCAACAGGAATGTATAAATAATTTATAATAAAAAGTTTCAATATCTCACTCTGTTCTTGCTCTGGATGAAGAGGTCTAAAACATCCTGGCGGACCATGTCAAAGTTCTTATCCAAGAATTTGTGCACCTGCAAAACAAATCAAAAGGAAAAAACGTGAGTCCCAAATTTAAACCAGGAATAGCCCTGTATATAACTTTTACTGTGTTCGACCCACCCAGTGGCTGTCTGATGGAGTAAAGCCAGGAAAACATTGTAGATATAGCGCACATTAAACTGATCATATTATTTAAATTGGGTCTTTATTTCAGGCGGCTAAGATACGTTTCTTCTCCTGTCAGTTTCTTCCACTGGGGGCGCCCTGGCCGCCATCTACTGTAGATATTACACGACTATGGGAGAGCACTCCACACCACCAAAAACCCTACAAATCCACTTAACACAGTAGAGTAAATATATATCCTACTTGATTTTTGTACAGTATCGATGTTTGTTTTATACTTAAATAGAAACCAAAAAAATAAATAACTGAGATAAAGATGAAGAGAGAAATACAGAAATAAAGAAGTGAACCTGGTACGTGACTTTCCCAGCAAAGTGCTTCAGGGTGAACTCTGGCTGCGGCATCTTTGGCCTGGCGTACAGCGGGTTGTTTCCATGGTGATAGTGGCACTTCTGGAGGAAGGTGTGGTCTGTTGCCTAGCGATGATTGAAGACGGTTAATGTTTGGCGAGCCTCAGAAACTAAACGTCGACGGCACACATGTGAAATATGAAGACGTGTAACAGTGGAACAGCGTCTTCATATTTCACTCTGAGCATCGGAGACATTGTATAACACGTTTGTCTGAAGAACCCAGTTTCTTACATTACGAGCCCTGGGAGTAATGATAACGGCAAGGTAGGCAATTAGATGAGCATGTGGAATCATTTTGTTATTGATCTCAACTGGCTACAATAGACTCAGGCTGGTGGTTTGTGAAAAATCCAATAAGTGTGATATTTTCTTTTTAACTCAATTTCTTTTCAAAACTATGAAATATTTAGATCATGTTATTGTCAGCTCTGTTTCAGAGAAGTTTTCTTTTTTTTTTTAAGTTTCTTGTAATCCGACCTAACTTAATTTTCAGTAGAAAGGAGTTCCAATAACTTTGGAAAAGAAGAGATTAGTTTGACAAGCGTGGAGGTACCTGAGGGAAACCGCACTGGTCGTCCAGTATGCGCAGTATCCCATGAGGCTTTGCAGCAATGAGGTCGAGACAGGCCTGGTTGTGGCTGAAGGTCTGCTGCTGCCACTTGATCTGCTCCCGCATGTACTCCTCCTACACACACAGCACAAGACCCCATCAGGCTGCTGAGTGTCGTCCCTTTTCACTTCACTGCGTCCACTGTAGTTTGTGAGGTTCAATGCCTTTGTTGGTTTATGAGAGCTTTTCTGAAATGAGTCACGTTAGAAACCAGGCTGTTTCTCCAATAGTATTTTTTGGCTTCACAAACAGTTTTTCTTGCATTTTTGACAAAAGAAATAGCAATGTGAGGTTGAATTCTCTCCGATTTAGGTTTCACGCGGTCGGCGTTCATTTGGTGTTTCAAAAAGCAAAAAGATCTCAACATGTGTAAATGGGATTGAGACGTTTTAAACTTGTTTCAAGTGAGTAATGTCACTGTATTGGGACACAGTGAAAGAATTGTCTACAAAGTTAGAAATCAGACATGAACTTCGGTAACTACACAATCAGATTTCTTCGCAATTTTACAAAAACAAAGAAGGATTGATGTATCATGATACCTCGATCCTTCTTTGTTTTTGTTTGCCACCACAAGCTTGTATATTGGGGCTTATACAGTATATGATTTATCGGATTATATATAAGGGCCCTTGGGTGCACCTAGAGTGGATTGGCCCACTAACAATTCATCTTTTCACATTTTTAGTGAAGTTAAACACTCGTAGATATTCCAGTTTCTCTCTTCCTCTACCTCTTGCGTGCTTTACACTCACAGTTTAAGTAATCCTATTACTGTAGAAGGCGGAGTGTAACTCAATTGCTAAACTCCATGTGAATGCTTATAGTGCAATGTGCGGCTAAGACCTTTCTTATGATTAAACCAAGCTGATTCTTTCCTTTCATACTTTTCAGCCAGATTTTGACTGGTTTTAAACTAGATCTCTTTTAACAAGCAGACTTGCAAATCCATCCTCAAGAATACAGATATTTCTCATCGTCTTATTGTTAACTTGTGATTTCCCTGACCTGCTCCTCCTGGAAGATGACCCTGTTGAAGAAGAACTGCAACGTTTCATTGGCGTAGTTGATGCAGAGCTGCTCAAAACTGTTCACCTGTAGCTCCTGGAAGGTAGAGAGAGGAGACAAGGGGGGAGCAGGGGAGTCAATTTAACACGGTTCAGCTCAGACGCTAACAGCGCCGTCACATCATAGAGCGAGATCAGTCTACGGCTTGACCTCAAATCCATAGATGTCCAATATGGAGACGGAGAGGGCTTCGTTGCGAGGGTAGACCCGGCCGTTGATGCGCTCTGTCAGCCAACTAAACAGCAGCGAGTAGAGGATCTTGGCAACGGCATCTCTATGAGAAACACACAATAAGGTTTCTATGGAAACAGAAAACCTGGTTCCTATGGAAACAGAGGACATCTTAAAAATCTCTCCCCCAGCCCTGACGTCCTTTGTCCTCGTATGCCTCTACCAAAGATTGTAAGAGAATATCAAAGACGCTTCATTCCCTTTCACTAGTCTCCTGGCATGCTTTTTTTTCTTTTTAAATAAGGACATTAAAATGCCTCAAATAAGTCAGATAAACTTTTTTGATTCAGGTCCCCATGCAAAAGTAGGTTGTATTCAAACAGATACTTATTCAGAATTGCTCACCTGGCATCCACAGCACTCTCCACTGTGAGCGGAGTGAGGATCTTCTCCCTGACAGTATCCTGAGGGATCGAACACACGTCCGTTATCTGACCACACCTCTCCGAGCCTCATGATGTAACGAGTCTGGTGTCCTGCTCACTGTCAGTTTGAAGGTGACGGACTTCTGCAGGCCGTCAGGTGAGACCTGCAGCAGCTCAGCGACCACCCGGATCTCCTGCGCGCTCACCACTGCCGCGACCTCCTGACCCTCAGCCTGCAGGGACGCACACCCAAACGTACCAACGCACACGCATTCATTATCACCGCGACCCATCAACATCATCATTATCATTCAGCCGTGAAATTAAATGCATTTAAAAGCCTATTTGTGAGTGTGTGTGTGTGTTTGGCAGAGCGACCTGATGTGGCTGGAAGTAGACGTTCCCCAGATGAAGGACGGACGACAAAAGTCTGTAAATGCTTGTTTGCTCCTCCGGGGTGAAACGCAGGATGTCCATGGCACTCAGCAGACGCCTGAAGTCCATCCCGTCATCCTTTCCCTCTATGGTACAATCTCCTCCCTGCGCTCGAGTACACACATCCACAAACGAACACACTATTATCAACAACAGCGCACTTAGCCTCAGCCTGTTTGAGCACCGCTCTAATTAGGGGGAACATTATCAGCTGCAGCTTTCAGGCGTCCGGGGGTTCAACTTCTCACCTTGATGCAGTGATGTGAAAGTATTCCCCAGGGTGTGTTAGTACACTGCGACATCGCGGCAAGCTTCTGAGCACACTTTCAGCCACAGAGGGCAGTGGAATGTTACTTTGAGTCTGGTGATGTTTTAATGTTTTGAAATAAACAAAGCCATACGCACTGGTACGAGTAACCACCGCCATTAACAAGGTATTTAATCAAGAATATTTAAGCATTTCTGGCATGAGTCGTGTTGCGTTTCAGAGAGCAAGCGTATGTGCTATTAATAATAATACATTTAATTTGTAATGCACTTTATATTTAAGAAAATCCCAAAGTGCTTTTAGAGTTCACTAAGCCACACAGTCTGTGGTGTCCTCAGGTGGTCAGGGGGAGCATTCCACAGACTGGGAGCAGCTGAGCAGAAAGCCCGATCTCCCATTGTACGGAGCTTTGTCCTGGGAGGTTTTAAAAGATGTGCTGAGGCAGATCGGAGAGTACGTGTTGAGGTCTGTGGGGTGAGGAGTTCCTTGAGGTAGGGGGGGGCTTCACCATGGATGCACTGGTGGGTAAGGAGGGAGACCTTGTACTCAACCCTGAGTGAGACAGGAAGCCAGTGGAGTGATTTGAGGATGGAGGTGATGTGCTCATGTTTGCGCACCCTCAACAGGATCCTAGCAGCGCTGTTCTGTATATACTGCCATTTCTGGAGGCTTTTCTCAGGGATCCCGGTGAGGAGCGCATTGCAATAGTCCAGCCTGGACTATGTGCTAGCATGATATATATGAAATGTCAGAGAGCTCCGTCCAATAGATGGAGAAACAAAAAGGAACAAGGAGTGCTCTGGATTTTTAAGTGGTAAACTCACACTTATAGGATACCACCTAAAGGAAGCAATCTTTCCTCATTGGTGATGTATTGGATAGTTTAAGGTCATTTTGCCTCAGATAATTACTCAAAACCATGTGACTGAGTGACCTCAAGAAGACGTTGCTTAGTTTGAGGGGTCAAAATATAAAGTTAAAAAATCACAACATCAAGCCTGACTGGAAGCTACACAGTAACGTGTAACGTACGCACTTTGGATAGAAATCAGCAATTCACTCCAGGTTGCAACGGTCCTTTCCTCTGTATTTAGGTGGAGTTTCATGTTCATGCCATTAATCACCTTCTAAAACAAATGTGGCATTCTCAGAAAACTGACATCTCATTTGTTAATGTGACTGTGAAATAGATTGCAGGGACCACTCCTCATATCCGTTTGTGTGTCTGTGTGCGTGTGTTTCATCTTGTGCTGAGTACCTGATTCAGATAGTAGTAAGTCTCAGCTTCCTGCAGATACAGTGAGTGCTTCTCGTGAGGAGGAAGACCTGCCAACATCTCATAGAAGATGTGATAGTTCCTCTCTGATTTGGCCTGTGGGTGAAAACACAGCCACAGTAACACACATAAATCAACTATTTCATGGATTTATTTGTAGACTTACTGAGCTGGAAACAATACTGTGGAAAAGACAAACGGATGGATGGCTGATGAACAGACTGGGCTGTGTAACGATGGAGGGGAACATGTTCGACATCTCGCCATCTTCCTCCACCATCTCCTCTTTCTCACGATGACTCATTGGTAAGGAGACTCCACCTGACCTGCTCAGTGTGTGTGAGTGTGTGTGTTTGAGTCCATGTGTGTGTTTTTCACCTGAAAGACAATGCGGGACTTCTCCAACAGATACTGAGACGTTATGGCACCGCCGATTACACCCCTTGAAAAATGACACACACACACACACACACACACACACACACGGTAACAGGTCATGCATGTGTAATGTGTTTGGATGTTCTCTGGTTTAGCAGTAAATCAACTACTCCTCCAACAGTGTCCCCTCAACATGTTAACGTATGCTCCAAGTCAGCCTATATAATATGCTGCTTGCTGTACTCCATCGTGTATTGGGCTAACACATATAAGAAACTGTCACTACAACATAGCAATGTCTCGTTCCAATAAACTTCTTCTAGTATTTAAGGCCACGATGATTTGATGTGATCAAATTCTTTGGGTCTCTATTATCTAGATTCTCTACTCTTCTAAAAAACTCAAAACAGTCAGTGACATTTAATCTTTTCGTTATATTTTTAAACGTTCTAAGTACTCACTCCTCCATGTAGATCTGCGTGTATTTGCCAAAGCGTGAAGAGTTGTCATTGCGCACTGTTTTGGCATTCCCAAAAGACTCCAACAGGGGCGTGGCCTCCAGGATCTGACCAATCACCACAGACAGACACGTTACCATGGCAACCTTCAAGAGGGAGGATGGTTGTCGGTAGTCCGAAGAATACTTTACCTCAATCTGAATGAAGACATCAGATGGATAAGAGAGGAAAGTGTTAACAGTGTTAGCTTAAGTGACCACACAAAGTCCTGATAGAAACGCTGTACGTCTACCTGTTGTGTGACGTTGCATTTGTGGTGTATGGCTGTCAAGTAACGCAGGATCAGTTTAGTAGCTTCGGTCTTTCCTGAACCACTTTCTCCGCTGTAACAAAAACTGTTAACGTGAGTTTCTTACACAAACCGGTCAGAAAAAGGTTTGTTGTCTAAACAGTTCAACCTGAGCATTTAGCCTTTCGCTGATTACAAACTAGCTTCAAGTTTTAATGCTTTGTCCAAATGCTGCTAGTTGGAACAAAAAAACAAATATAAAATACAAAAATATCAGGAGCTTTCATACCTGATTACAATGCACTGGTCCCGTTTGGCATCCATCATGGTGGTATATGTTAGGCTAGCAATGGCAAAAAGATGACTGCAACAGAGCAAAACATCGTTTCATGAAAAAACACATTTGCATTCTCATTGGTTGTGCGTGCGTGTCTGTGTTTGTGAGATGTGAGAAGTGGCAGTGAAATACATAACCCAACCCTCCCTTGGCAACCCGCAGTGTAACAGGAGCCTCCTGCTAACACCTGAGAGTGCTGCCATTTACACCTGTATTCACCAAAATGCTGCATCTCAGAGCACGGCATACGACACATGTAGACAGATGTAGGATCACACACACAGAGACTCACGGACTGCACGGCCACAGTCAAAGGCGACATAGTTTATCTTGTGTATTTTGTTTTAAAACAAGAAAAGTCCTCAGAGGTCTAAATGTGTTAAATAAAGATTGAAAATACTGCAGTCGTGGACAGATGTGGTGTATTTTCATTCAACCAAAAGAAAAGTAAAAATATTCTGACTTTTTTTTTTAAAGTCTTTTAGTCAGTGTTGACATTTTCTGAAAAATACATTTACTTAGATAACAAATGACTCCCATAATCTTTGAATATTGGTCCTTTTTCACATTTTAAGGAAACAAATATTTAGGTTTCCTGCTGAACAACACACAGAAAGACTGAAAACACAACATTCCCCGGTTTAACACAAACACACACACACTCCTGGGTCTTACGGAGGGTTGTCACTCAGGCCGCGACCTTCATACTGAAGAACCATGTCTGTGCCATAAATGTTGAGCAACTTGTAGGGATTGACGGACACGAGGATGCTGCCTATGTAAGTCTGTGTGTGGACGACAGGAAGGACAGCGGATGTAGTAGACCATGTCCATGACATTTGATGATATTAGTTATCTCATTTGCATATTATACATTACGCATACATATGTGAGTTCCTGGTCGAAGCGCTTCTTCAGGTTCATCAGAACTGTGGTTTCATTCAGCTCACTGAAATTAAACACAGAGCACATGCTGTCACACTGCGGCAGGAAGCCCGCTTACTTGACATCCAATATTAATTACTTTCCGTGACATTCAAGACGTCAAAATCAGAAAGAGTCTCTACTTGGCAGGACATAATTGTGGAATAATTTCTTACTGCCGGTGAAATGACCCTACTATCTATTGCTGCGGACTCCTCCGGATGTGAAGAGATGATTTAGGGTGTGTACATGTTTGTAAAATACTCATTGCTAAGGAATTTATTTCCGAACTCAAAAAGGTTTTCATGGATTTTCATGGAAGACTACAGACTTACATGCTGTAAATAGATAGAAGAAACTGAATGAAAGACATTCATTGGAATGAGCTGCTGTTTGCTGCAGCAACAAAATGCTTGTGTGTGGCATGAATGGTTGGGGTGCTGCGTGTTAATACTGGATTCTGCTTACGGCAGCTGTGTCATGTCCTCCATTCCTTCCGCCCAGCTTTTCGCCCGATGGCCTGTTGTGGGCATGCTTAGGATAGAGTAGATCTGGTCACACACGCACAGAATGGTTTGCAATTAGTCCAACGCAGGCATGCAACATTGTCAAAGCTTTGAGGGTGTTGTGATCAGTTGATGCAGAAAGGATATTAAATATGCAGAAAATCAAATATTCTGTTAGGTTAAGATTTTGTGGGAACTATGGGGTACGCTTCACACTTATTGCTTGAATAACATATACATTTCACAAAAAATGAAATCAACTTTCATTCAAAAACAATCAAATTTAGCTACCTTGTCATACCAGCTTTGACCAGGTACCCTATCTCTGTTGGGAGTCCAGTTAGTGTCCTGGATCTGTCCGTCCACCGGTCGAGGTGAGGGTGAATATCCCTCCAACAACCCGTCTTCTCTGTACATGGACCACTTTGACAGATTCTGGACCGTCCCGTGTGGTAGAACCCTCTCAGCTGCCCAGACCTCTTCCCCCCCTGGCCCTCCACCATGGGCATTTCTGGCCCAGTGTCCTGAGCTCGGCCCATACGGAGGAACCACAGCGTAGCGATTATCCTCTCCCTGCAGGCCTGTTGGCACCCTGTATGAGGCATAGCGAAGCTGCTGGTTTTGGACGGCTTCAGACAGATTTGGGACGTGGAAACGGCGTGTGAGAACAGAGCCGTCAGGCAGCCTGTTGAAGAAGGAATCACTTAAATGAACAACATATAACACAGGCTTCTATGGAATTAACAAATATATTGAACATTGAAACATCTTTTGTGTCATTTTGAACCTGGTATATAAATGAATACATTTCTACACAGAAACTTTACCAGGAGACCAAGAAGCTTTTAAAGAAGTTAGAGAGTAAACACATTATTCCAGAGAAAACAGGGACTACATTCGTAGTTGGATCAGAACTTTATGAAGATTTTTGGCAAGTAATTCTGCACCCGGACAAGCCTGGTCATTAGTTTCTATTATTATTGTAGCTCCCTACCTATATTTGACATCACGGAGTTCGTCTTTCCGCAGTGCAGCGGATAGATTAGGAGGGGTGGGTTTGGGTGTGCCGGACAGTACAGAGTTTTCTCTGAGATGATAGAGACCTTCCGACCGAAGTGCATGGTTTTGCCTGAGAGCGGCTGAAAGGTTTGGAGTAGAGGGTTTTTGGCCCGGAATAACCAGGGATCCATCCGGGAGGATGTACGAAGCACTACGCAGGTTCTGATTCATGAGAGCCTGCAGAGACACCAGGTAGTTATTCAAGGTAATAACAACAATTCCATAAATGTTTACGTCTGTAATGGTTGAAATGCTATGTCTGAATTTCCTTGGGAAAGTTAAACAAGAGAAAATAAAACAAACAGTGCTGCAGCAAAGTTAAACTAAGTTTAATTTAACACTCACTCTGGACAGGTCAGGGCCAACTGGTTTTCGTGGGTCAATGATGATTGTTCCATCAGGCAGGGTTAAGGACACACCCTTAAGGTAAGGATTCTGTAGTGCAGCAGCCAGGCTTGGACTCTTTGGTTTCCTCGGGTCTACAATAATAGTTCCATCTGGGAGGGTGTATGAAGCTCCTTTCAGGGCTGGATTACCAAGGGCCTAATGTGCAAGTACAAGTGCAATACCATGAATCAAAAAGATTAGTACATTTCACTACAAATTGCTATTACCAAAACAAGGTCTACACAAATGTGTGGATTTCAATTCCCACTATTGACGAGAAGGGAGGACAGTCTAACACATCAACACACACTCAAAGTACCGGGTAGTGTGAACCCATAGCTAACCTTAGCCAGGTTGGGTGAAAGGGGTCTATTGGGGTCATGGACCCCTTCTGGTAGTGTGAAGGAGGCGTTCCGCAGGGCAGACTTTTGAAGGGCGGCGGAGAGGTTTGGAGAGACCGGTTTCCGTGGATCAATGATGATTGTACCATCAGGCAGGGTGTAAGATGCAACTTTCAGGTAAGGGTTCTGAAGAGCTGCTGAAAGGTTTGGGGACTTTGGTTTCTTGGGGTCAATCACAATGGTACCATCGGGGAGAGAATAGGAGGCTTCACGCAGAGCTGGGTTGCCGAGTGCCTTGGCCAGGTTTGGGGAAATGGGTTGCTGAGTGAGCAGACAAAGCAGAGCAATACAAATATTCATCGACTGAGAATTGATTAACAATATTAGGCGGAAAAAAGACAGGAGCACAACATTACTTGTTGTCTCGGGTCTACAATGGTGCCATCGGGGAGAGTATATGCAGCAGTCCTGACACTCTGGTTCTGAAGGGCTCTTGAGAGGTTAGGAGACATGTGATTCTGGGGAATACGCGGGTCCTGTGAGGGTGGGAGGGGAGAGTAATACAGAAGAGTACAAATGAAATAGAACAATTGTTGTTACTCCATGTGCAGACAAACATGCATGTTGTATAGTCATTTTGACTTGTTACTCCTATACTTACCCTGATAACTGATCCATCGGGCAAAGTGTACGTGGCTCCACGGACTTGTTGGTTTTGCAAGGCACGTCCGAGCAACGGGGAGGAAGGTGAAGCTGCATATGGTGACACCAAGGTTCCATCTGGCAGCCGGTACGATGCCTGCATTAACTGTCGGTTTTGAAGGGCACTTCCCAACATTGGTGAAGGGGATGGCGGGGGTCCATATGGGTACCGTCTAAGTTGTACAGGTGTCCGATAAGACGCCTGTCGTAAGTTTGGGTTCTGTTGAAGAGCATTATGGAGCTGAGGGCCAGCTGGTGCACAAGGGTTACGCCGTTGCATCATAGGAGATCTTAGAGAAGAGACATTCTGCAAATGAGAACGGTTCTGTAGGGCATCATGAAGAAGTGGTGACGGGCCAGGCTCAGAGATGTAATCATAGGGAGTAACAACAGTTGGTCCGTATGGTGAGTGGAACTGTGGGGTTTGATAAGAAGCCACGCCTCTCAGTGTCTGACCGTGTCTCATAGCTCCAGACAGAATTGGAGTGGAAGGTACGGACGAGGCATATGGGGACTGAGGCCTTTGAAGTGGAGACACATAGGAGGCTTCTCTCACTGTCTGGTTTTGCAAAGCTCCGGACAGCATTGGGGAAGAAGGGGGCATAGGCTGTTCATAAGGGGACAACGGCATTTGTAAAGGTGACGCATAAGATGCATCCAATATAGCTTGATTTTGCAGAGCCCGAGACAACATAGGAGATGAAGGGGACATGGGCTGCTCATAAGGGGACATTGATGATGGCAGTGTGGAAACCAAGGATGCATCCCGGATTACCTGGTTTTGCATTGCACCAGAGAGTGTAGGCGATGAGGGAGCATAAGGTTCAACATATTCTGTAACCATCCCACCCATGTCCACCATCTGGGATGGTTCTGGGCCGAATGGAGAAGCAAAAGACGCCTGTCTGATAGCCTGGTTCTGCAAAGCACCAGATAACATGGGGGAAGAGGGGGCGAGAAACTGATATGATGGCTCAGTATAAGGATCAGCATAGGCGCCAGACACATACATCTCTGGTGCATAGGCTGCATGATGGGCAGATTGAGGGGGCAGAAGAGGGGAGGACTGATGAGAAAGTTGAGGAGAGAAGCGCGGGGATGTAGGATGTGACATGTGTTTAAGGGAAGGCTGTGGAGAGGCGGGAGGCCTGCTTCTTATAGACTGCTGGGCCCTGAAGGGCCGTCCTCGGGCCACAGGACGAGTAGGATATCGGCCAGATTCTCTCCTCCGTTGGGGAGCACGGTGGACCATGTGAGGGGAGTGAAACGGGGAGGAGAAGGAAGAGTCCACAGTGAGAACTGAAGACCTATTGCTTCGTATGGAGGAAGCACGGAATGGACGCACATTCTGGGTGGGTGGAGGCATTGGGCGCCCTCGGAGACCCATAGGTGAGGGGCGGACGGTGCCTAAAGGAACATTTCTCCCATCCTGGGTCGGACCAATGGTGTTGGGTCCCTGAGCAGCCGAGTTGAACGACGAGATAAGGTAGAGATGATGGGCAGGCTGCGCTTCTGCAGGGGAGAAACTGCGGCGAGATTGGGGGGGAGAGGGGGATGGTCTTCTACTG